GAAGGTTTTACACTTTAACAAAAGACAGTTGGGAACCCCGAGAAGGTTTCACATTATTTAAAAAATAGATTTGGGCCCCCGAGAAGGTTTTAGAATTTTAAAAAACACATGTGGGACCCCCGAGAAGGTTTTTTGGATAATTAAAATACCGAAACAAAAAAATGGAAACATTGAAAAATTTTAATTTTAAAAATAAAAAAATTGCAAAGGTAAAAAATCGAAAAATCCACACATGGAAAAAAAAGAAAAATCCAAAAATCGAAATTTTTCGCACTGAAAAAATGAACAAATATAAAACCAGAGCAGTGAAAAACCAAAAAATTGAAAAATTGAAAACTCGAAAAATTGAAGCATCCAAAAACTGGAAAACCGAAAAACACAGAAATTTGAAAAATTACAAATCGAAAAATTGAAGAAACAAAAAATCGTAATTCAATTATTAAATTAAAAATTGTAGAAAAGGTCAAAAAAGTGAAAACTAGAAAAATTGCAAAATCAAAAATTAAGGAAACAAAAAATTGAAAAATCATGAAAGTAAAAAATCTAAAATTGAAAAAACGAAAAATTAAAAATCCAGAACTGAAAACTTTTACATTTAAAACAAGAAAAATTATAAAATCAGAACATTGAAAAACCAAAAAAAGTAAAGAAAATAAAACGAAAAAAACTGTAAATCAAAAAATTGTTGAAATGAAAAATTGAGAAATTCAGAATTGAAAACCCGCAAAATTGAATATCGAAAAATTGCAAAATCTAAAAATTCAAACATCCAATATTTGGAAAATTGAAAAATTAAAAAATTTTAAATGAAAACCCGAAGGTTGCATTTCATATAATTGAAAAAAATTATTCAAATTGAAAAAACAAAAATTGTAAAAATGGTGAAAATTAAACACCAAAACGAGAAATTGCAAATCAAAAAAAAATCTAAATTCTTAAAATCGGAAAAGTGAAATATCACCGAAAAATTGAAAAATTCTCAAAATAAAGAAAATAAAAATCCGAAACGAAGAATTAAAGAATCGCAAAATTGAAAAAGTAAATATTTTAAAAATTATGTATTAAATATTTAACAGGAAAGCTGAAGATATGAAAAATGGAAAAATCATGAACCTCAAAATTTTAAAATTGAATAACATTTTTGAAAAAACAGTTGGGGTCGCCGAGGTTTTGCATAAAAAAAAAACAGTTAGGACTCCCGAGAAGGTTTTACATTTTTAAAAAAGACAGTTGGGACTCCCGAGAAGGTTTCACATTAAGAAAAATATATTTGGGGCCCCCGAGAAGGTTGCACATTAAAAAAATATATTTGGGACCCCCGGGAAGGTTTTACAATTTTAAAAAGATAGTTGGGAGCACCGAGGAGGTTTCACATTATAAAAAAAAGACATTTGGGGCCTCCGAGAAGGTTTTACATTTTTGAAAAAGACAGTTGGGGTCTCCGAGAAGGTTTTACATTCTTAAAAAAATAACGGAATTGGGAACCCCGAGAAGGTTTCAGATTAAAAAAAGATATTTAGGACCCCCGAGAAGGTTTTACATTTTTGAAAAAGACAATTGGGGTTCCCGAGAAAGTTTTGCATAAAAAAAAACAGTTGGGACTCCCGAGAAGGTTTCACATTCTAAAAAAAAACGTTTGGCGCCCCCGAAAAGGTTTTACATTTTTAAAAAAGACATTTGTGGCCCCCGAGGTTTTACATTTTTGATAGACAGTTGGGGTTCCCGAGAAGGTTTAACATTTAAAAAAAATACAGTTGGGACCTCCGAGAAGGTTTCACATTCTTAAAAAAAGTCATTTGGGCCCCCGAGAAGGTTTTAGATTTTTAAAACACAATTGGGATCCTCGATAAGGTTTCACATTGAAAAGAGACATTTGGGACCACCGAGAAGGTTTTACAATTTCAAAAAAGACAATTGCGATCCCCGAGAAAATTTCAAATTAAAAAAGGGAGTTGGGACCCCTGAGAGGGTTTCACATAAAAAAAAAAGTATTTAGCGTTCCCGAGAAGGTTTTACATTTTTGAAAAAGACAGTTGGGGTCCCCGAGAAGGTTTTACATTGAAAAATAAAAAAAAATCGGAAAATCCGGAAACTGGAAAATCAAAAATTCGAAAAGTTGAAAAACCGAGTCAAAAAATCGAAATATGGAACAATCGAGAATGGAGAAATCAAAAAATCAGAAAGTTGAAAAATCGAGAAATTGAAAATTCTAAATGAAAATAGGAAAATAGAAAAATTGGAAAATTGAAAAAATCGAGAAATTGAAAAGTCGCAACATTGAAACAGAAAGATGGAGAAATCGAAAAATGGAAAAATTGGAAAAGTCGAGAAATATCCAAAATTGAAAACTCTAAATGAAAAATCAGGAAATCAAAAAATCGACACATTGAAGAATCAAAAGATTGGAAAGTAAAATTGAAAAACTAAGAAATCGGAAAAGTCGAAAAATCCAGAAACTGAATGCGGAAAAATCCAAAAATCCAAAACTTGAAAAGTGTAAATTAAATATCGGAAAATCTGGAAATTGGAAAATCAAAAAATCGAAAATTTAAAAAACCGACAGATTGGAAAATCGAATCAAAAAATCAAAAAATTAAAAAATATAAATGTGGAACAATCGAGAAATGGGGAAATCAAAAATCGAAAAGTTGAAAAATCTAAATGAAAATAGGGAAATCAAAAAATTGAACAACTGTAAAATGGAAAAATTGAAACATAGAGAAATCTAGAACTCGAAAAATGGAGAAATTGGTAAATTCGAGAAGTCTAAAATTTGAAAAGTGGGTAAATCGAAATATTGAATATTGAAATACCGAAAAATCGAGAAATTGAAAAATTAGGAAATCAAAAAATCGAAAAATGGAGAATCAAAAGATTTGAAAATAAAATCAAGAAATTAAGAAATCGGAAAAGTCAAAAAATGGAGAAACCGATTGCGGAAAAATCGAAAAATCCAGAAATTGAAAAATGTAAACTAAAAATAGGAATATCTGGAAATTGGGAAATCAAAATATCGAAAAGTTGAAAAACCGAAATGTGGAATAATTGAGAAATGGGGAAATTGAAAAATCTAACTGAAAATAGAAAAATCGAAAAATCGAGGAATTGAAAAGTCGCAACACTGAAAAATAGAAAAATCGAGAAATCAAAAAATTGAAAAATCAAAAAATCGAAAAAAGTCTAAAATTTGAAAAGTGTATAAATCGGAATATCCAAAATTGAAAACTCAGGAAATGAAAAAATCGAAAAATTGAAATATCAAAAACGTTGGAAAATAAAATCGAAATTGAATCTAAATGAAATTAGGAAAATCAAAAAATTGAATAACTGTAAAATGGAAAAATCAAAAAATCGAAAAGTCTAAAATTTGAGAAGTGAATAAATCGGAATATCCACAATTGAAAAACCAAGACAATTGGTACCGCCGAGTGGGTTTTACATTTTTAAAATAGACAATTGGGACCCCCGAGAAAATTTCAAATTAAAAAAGGCAGTTGGGACCCCTGAGAAGGTTTCATAAGTCTTAAGTACTTGCCACGCCCACCCGCCCTTTATATTCTTAAAGGGTATGTGATTTGCCGAAATAAAGTCTTATTTTATCAATCTTTTGATTTTTCGACCTCCCGGTTTTAGATTTTCTGTTCTTCAATTGTCATTCAAATTTTCGATTTTTCAATTAATCGATGTTTTGATTTTCCCATTTCTTGACCTTCGAGTGTTTCGATTTTTTAAGGTTTCTATTTTTCGACTTCACTTTTTTGATTTTTCGATTCTTCAGTTTTTAGATATTTCAGTTTTAGGATTTTTCAATATTTCAATTCTTCGGCTCTTCTATTTTTGACTTCTGGATTCTTCGATGTGTCTACCTTTTTACTTTTTCGATTTTACAATTTTTGGATTTTTAAATTTTAGATTTTTCAATCCTTTGATATTTTAATTTTTCAATATTTCTTAATCTTTCGATTTTTCGACTTCATGGTTTTAGATGTTCAGGTTTTCGATTTATCAGTTTTTCAATTTTTTATTTTAGCCTAATTCGGTTTCTCAGTTTTTACAGTTTTCCATTTTTTCGTTTTTTGATTTTTCCGCTTTTCCAATTTTTCAACTTTTAACTTTTTGTTTGTCGATTTCTCGTTCTTTGGATCTTTCAGTCTCTCAATTTTTCAATTTTTCCAATTTTTAAGTTTTTTGATTTCTCGATTTTTCGAAATTTGGATTTTTCGATATTTTGATTGTCAATTTCTCAATTTATAAGTTGTTCAATTTTTAACTTTTCGATTTTTCGATTTTGGCCTATTTCGCTTTATCAATTGTTCGACTTTTCGAGTCCACGATTTCTTGATCTTTTGATTTTTCAATATTTTGGTTTTACGATTTTTTAAAGTTTCGATTTTTCGATTATTAGATTTCTCGAATTTTCGATTATTTTAATTGTTTATTTTTTTTTCTCACTGTTAATTTCATACAATGTATCGAAAACAACCACAAAAATTGTCACTAAAAACATTTAAAAAAAAATTCATACGAAAAAGAACAGTGTTTCCAAAACGTTTTCCCGAAAAAAATCCATTGGGTTATTACGATTTCAACCATATTCTTAGTTTAAGACGTTTTGCTAGTATAACACAAATAAAGAATTAATTCTTAGTTAAACAAAATATGTAAAATCATCTAAATATGTACCAAAAATATTCACTTAGTCGTTATAAAAACCGACCAAACGACTATTTCCCGCAGAAATTATAGTCTAAATCTGCCAAATCGCTTCTGAGCGCTTAGAGTCGACATTGGCCTGAGCGCGCTCTGGTCTGTAAATCAAACAAGTTCTCGGGCGACGAGTTGTAGTGAAACAAGTTTTTTTATATTAATCTATGGTAAAGACGTCATTGGTGAAGCGAAAATATAATGTTGAACTTTCTTCGTTTCTGAAGCATAATCAATGTCGGGATACCTTGCCCGATGAATGAATTTTGTGTTGTTAATTGTTGATTTTGGTGTAGCCTTGGACTGCGCAAGCTCCGAAACCCCCGACGTGGTGCCAATCGCGGTAGGCTGCGCCCTCGCCGCCCTGGTCATCATCGTCCTAATCGCCTACTTGATCGGAAGAAGAAGATCGCAAGCTCGCGGTTATCTCTCCATGTGAGTTACATTTAAAACACTCCACCGCTTCTGTACGACGGGTCAGTGTACTCAAAAAAAATTGTCATTTTTGTTCCAATCCATACGTGTTTTTTCTCAGCTTGAAACTGTATCCGTTTAAACTATGTCCATCTTTCGTTTGTCCCACTTGAAAGAGTGTTTTAACAATTAGTTATAATTAGTTAAATTCGATCATCCTTCCTAGTTTGTAATTCCACGATGTATACTATCCCCGACAAAATTCCATAAATGGATATTACTGTTTAGGCGTTATCTGAAATTTGTCCACTTTGAATTTCTCGAATGTAGTAGTGTTTGGTTATTTTTTTAAAGTACGATTTTATTGGATTTAGTAGTACCAAATTACTGATAGGTACTGTTATATAAAGATTTGGTATGGCTAAAAACTGTATAGGCTGTGACAGCGAATTAAAATGTAAATGTTGCGATGTGGTAACATTAATAAATTTTCTGGGATACAAACTGGTTTTTCTTCGTTCCCATGCCCCGATGTGCTTGTGGAGTGTTTTTTGTACGTAAACACAAGTCTTGTCCGATTTTAATTCGTTGCGTTTTTCTAGGTTCGCGCAAAATAAAAGAGAAGAGGATTACATCCCGATGAAAAATTTATCGTGCTTTAACTAAAAAAGAAAACGCTTATTATTGTTAATGTAAGTGCTCGGAAACGACGAGCAAACTGTTGCGAAAGAGTGATATTATTTGGATTCGTCCTGTAGTCTTTTAGTTCTCAATTTTGATACGAAATGTGATTCTATTGAAATATTGTGATACTAGGGTTAAATTTATTTATTATTTCACTAGAATCTAGTCGAGTGAATGTGACATGTATTTAACTCGTCCATCTGATGAATATGTGCACATTTATTCAGTATTAGAGGTAGGACCCATTTATACAGTTAATATTTTACACAGTAGATGCACGCTTATTACCGTGTTTCATCAGTTTGACTTTTGTATTTTGTTCGATTATTCATTAAAATGTTGTTCGTTTATTTTGGGATTGATTTTTTCAATACCTTACTTAAGCCGTCGCCTACGTCGGACGACAAAAAGCCTAGAAACGCACACCAAATACTTACATTATTATTATTATCGTTACTTAGTTTTACACATCACTCTTAACACAGTTTCGACAAATACTGTAACGGCGGCGGGAGGTATTTATAATTTTAAAAAATACTTAATTATTTCCAACAGCTTTAAAAAAGTGATAACGAATAATGACCAACCACTGTGGAAACAAAATGAACGAGAATAAGAGAGTAAAAAAATGGAGAAAGTGTTATACTAAATTAAAGAGAATTTGAATTGGCTTATGAAAAAAGAAAAAAATGTCAATGGCATTAGTTGGTAATCTCCAGGGTAAGTATATTATATAATTGTGTCAGTGTTTATAGAGTTGCAATTTTTTTTAATATTAATTTTTCTTTAGGTGATTATTATTATCTCTGTGCGGCTCGTTTAACTTTATAATAGTTACACAACGCGCTTGTCCGTGAACTTGATCATATGGTAAACGTTAACAATCAGTTTTTATTTTCTTATACCACGGCTGGGTTTTCCTTGGGTTTTTCATAAAAAGTACGTTTCCATACTGTTTATTTTTATTTAAATGTCAAGGTCGGTGTTTCACTACTCTTTTAATCAATCACTTTTGCTTTATTTCACCTCTCTGGAAAAATCAAAAATTGAAAATTGTTTCATTCAAAACCAAATCATGGAGAAATCGTACAAATGTAAAATAAATAAAACGGTAAAATTGTATAAATATATAATTGAAAAATCAAAAAATTGCAAAATTAAAAAATCAAAAACTCAATAACTGAAAAAAACGAAAAATTTTAGAAAGGGAATTATGAAACTAAAAAATTGAATCAGTAAATGTCGGATCTAAAATTTGTAAAAATATAAAACTCAAAAATCAAATCATTTCAAAAAATTATTTATTTTTTTTATTTATTTTATATTATATTGTTACAAAATTTAAAAATAGAAAAATTGAGAAATCATGAAACTGAAAAACCAGAAATTTGGAAAACTGAAAATCGAAATTTTGAAAAATTGAAATACAAAAATTGCAATATCGAAACAATGAAATTCGGATAATTGAATAATTGTAAAAACGAAGAATTATAATATTGAAATCAATTTCAAAATTGCTGCGGCTCTAATGTTTTCTTTAAGAACGAATTAAAAAAAAAATGTGGAGCTCTTGATGTTTTTTTTTTTTTAATTTATAGAATATGCGAAATATCGAAAAATGGGGAAATTGAGAAGTGGAAGAAAATAGTTAAGAAATCGAAAAACTGAAATACCAAAAAGTTGAAAATTTGAGAAATCGAAAAATCCAGAAATTGAAGAATGTAAAAAAAATCGGAAAATGTGGCAAGTGGAAAATCAAAAAATCGAAAAGTTGAAAAACCGAGTAAAAAAATTGAAATATGGAACAATCGAGAATGGAGAAATCAAAAAATCAGAAAGTTGAAAAATTGAGAAACTGATAATTCTAAATGAAAATAGGAAAATGGAAAAATTGAGTAACTGCAAAATGGAAAAATTGGAAACTTCGAGAAATCAAAAAATTATAACAATCGAGAAGTCTAAAATATTGAATATTAAAATACCGAAAAATCGAGAAATTGAAAAATCAGGAAATCAAAAAATCGAAAAATGGAGAATCAAAAGATCTGAAAATAAAATCGAAAAATGAAGAAATCGGAAAAGTCGAAAAATGGAGAAACCGAATACGGAAAAATCGAAAAATCGAGAAATTGAAAAATGTAAACTAAAAATCGAAAATCTGGAAATTGGAAAATCGAATCAAAGAATCGAAAAACTGAAAAATCTAAATGAAAATGGGAAAATCGAAAAATTGAATAACTGCAAAATGGAAAAATTGAAAAATCGGGAAATTAAAAAAATCGAGGAATTGAAAACTCGCAACACTGAAACAGAAAATCGGAAAGTCTAAAATTTGAAAAGTGGATAAATCGGAATATCCAAAATTGAAAAATCGAAATATTGAATGTGGAAAAATCCAGAAATTGAAAAATGTAAATTAAAAATCGGAAAATCTGGAAATGGAAAATCAAAAAATTGAAAATTTAAAAAACCGAAAGATTGGAAAATCGAATCAAAGAATGAAAAATTGAAAAATCTAAATGAAAATAGGAAGAAAATCGAAAAATTGAATAACTGTAAAATGGGAAAACTGAAAAATCGGAAAATTAAAAAAAATCGAGAAATTGAAAAGTCGGAAAACTGAAACATAGAAAAATCTAGAAATCAAAAAATTGAAATTCAAAAAATTGAGAAGTCTAAAATTTGAAAAGTGGATAAATCGAAGTATTGAATATTGAAATACCGAAAAATGGAGAATCAAAAGATTTGAAAATAAAATCGAAAAATTAAGAAATCGGAAAAGTCGAAAAATGGAAAAACCGAATGCGGAAACATCGAAAAATCCAGAAATTGAAAAATGTAAACTAAAAAACGGAAAATCTGGAAATTGGAAAATTATAAAATCAAAAAGTTGAAAAATTGAAATGTGGAACGGTCGAGAAATGGAGAAATTGAAAAACCTAACTGAAAATAGAAAAATAGAAAAATTGAATAACTACAAAATGGAAAAATTGAAAAATCGGGAAATTAAAAAATTCGAGGAATTGAAAAGTCGCAACACTGAAACAGAAAAATCGGAAGTGTCGAGAAATCAAAAAATTGAAAAAGCAAAAAATTGAAAAATCAAAAAATCGAAAAGTCTAAAATTTGAAAAGTGGATAAATCGGAATAGCCAAAATTGAAAAATCGAAATATTGAATGTGGAAAAATCCAGAAATTCAAAAATGTAAATTAAAATCGGAAAATCTGGAAATTGGAAAAACAAAAAATCGAAAAGTTGAAAAACCGAAAAATTGTAAAATCGAGTCAAAAAATCGAAATGCGGAATAATCGAGAAATGGAAAAATCAAAAATCGAAAAAGCAAAAAATTGAAAAATCAAAAAATCGAAAAGTCTAAAATTTGAAAAGTGGATAAACCGGAATATCCAAAATTGAAAATCGAAATATTTTATATTGAAATGCCGAAAAATCGAGGAATTGAAAACTCAGGAAATCAAAAAATCGAAAAGTCAAAGTATCAAAAGATTGGAAAATAAAATCGAAAAATTAAGAAATTGGAAAAGTCGAATAATCGAGAAATTGAATGCGGAAAAATCGAAAAAACCCGAAATTGAAAAATGTAAATAAAAAATCGGAAAATCAGGAAATTAAAAATCAAAAAATCGAAAAGTTGAAAAACTGAAAAATTAGAAAATCGAGTCAAAAAATCGAAATGTGGAATAATCGAGAAATGGAAAAATCAAAAAATCAAAAAGTTGAAAAATCGAGAAATTGAAAGATCTAAATGAAAATGGGAAAATCGAAAAATTGAAAAATCAGTAAATAAAAAAATCGAAAAATTGAAAAGTCGCAACACTGAACATAGAAAAATCGAGATTTCGAAAAATGGAAATATTGAAAGTCGAGAAATCAAAACATTGAAAAAATCAAAAAATCGTATTCTAAAATTGGAATATCCAAAATTGAAAAATCGAAATATTGAATGTTGAAATACCGAATAATCGCGAAATTGAAAATTCTAAATGGAACATCAGGAAATCAAAGAATCGAAAAATTCAAGAATCAAAAAATTGGAAAATAAAATCGAAAAATTAAGAAATCGGAAAAGTCGAAAAATCGAAACACTGAATGCGGAAAAATCTAAAAATCCAGAAATTGATAAATGTAAATTAAAAATTGGAAAATCGATGAATTGGAAAATCGAAATGTGGAACAATCAAGAAATGGAGAAATAAAAAAATCGAGTATCTGTAAAATAGAAAATTTGAAAGATCGGAGAATTGAAACATCGACAAATTGAAAAGTTGCAAAACTGAAACAAAAAAATCGAGAAATCGAAAAATGGAAAAATTGGAAAAGTCGAGAAATCAAAAAATTGAAAAATTAAAAAATCGAAAAGTCCAAAATTTGAGAAGTGGATAAATTGGTATATCCAAAATTGAAAAATCATAGTATTGAATGGTAAAATACTGAAAAATCGAGAAAGTGAAAAATCTGAATGAAAAAATCAGGAAATAAAAAATCGAAAAATTGATGAATTATAAGATTGGAAAATAAAATCGAAAAATTGCAAAATCGAAGTACTGAATGTTGAAAGACCCAAAAATCGAGAAATTGGACAATCTAAATGAAAAATTAGGAAACCAAAAAATCGAAAAATTGAAGAATCAAAAATAAAATCGAAAAATTAAGAAATCGGAAAAGTCGAAAAATCGAGAAACTGAATGCGGAAAAATCGAAAAATCCAAGAATTGAAACATGTAAATTAAAAATTAAAAAGATTGGAAAATCGAGTGAAAAAATCGAAAAATTGAAAAATCGAATGTGAAGCAGTCGAAAAATAGAGAAATCAAAAGATAGAGAAATTTAAAAATCTAAATGAAAATAGGAAAATCGAAAAATTGAATAACTGTAAAATGGAAAAATTGAAAAATCGGAAAATTTAAAAAAATCGAGAAATTGAGAAGTTGCAAACAGAAAAATCGAGAAATCGAAAAATGGAAAAATTAAAAAATTGAAAAGTCTAAAATTTGAGAAGTGGATAAATCGGAATATCCAAAATAAAAAATCGAAATATTGAATGCTAAAATACCGAAAAATCAAGAAATTGAAAAATCTAAATGAAAAAATCAGGAAATCAAAAAATCGAAAAATTGAAGAATCAAAAAATTGGAAAATAAACTGAATGCAGAAAAATCCAAAAATCCAGAAATTGAGAAATGTAAAACAAAAATCGGAAAATCTGGAAATGGAAAATCAAAAAATCGAAAAGTTAAAAACCGAAAGATTGGAAAATCAATTAAAAATATCGAAAAATTGAAAAATCGAAATGTGAAGCATTCGAAAAATGGAGAAATCAAAAAAATCGAGAAATTGAAAAATCTATATGAAAATAGGAAAATCGAAAAATTGAATAACTGTAAAATGGAAAAATGGAAAAATCGGAAAATTAAAAAATCGAGAAATTTAAAAGTCGCAAAACTGAAACAGAAAAATTGAAAAATGGAAAAATTGGAAAAGTCGAGAAATCAAAAAATTGAAAAATTAAATAATCGAAAAGACTAAAATTTGAGAAGTGGATAAATCGGAATATCCAAAATTGAAAAAACTAAATCTGAATGTTGAAATACCGAAAAATCGAGAAATTGAATGAGGAAAAATCAAAAAATCCAGACATTTTTGAAAAATGTAAATTAAAAATCGTAAAATCTGGAAATTGGAAAATTAAAAAATCGAAATGTGGAACAATCGAGAAATGGAGAAATCAGCAAATCGAAAAGTTGAAAAATCGAGAAATAGAAAAATCTAAATGAAAATACGAAAATCGAAAAATTGAAAGATCAGAAAATTAAAAAAATCGAGAGATCAGGAAATGGCAAAATTAAAAAAGTCGAGAAATCAATAAATTGAAAAATCAAAAAATCGAAAAGTCTAAAATTTGAGAAGTGAATATCCAAAATTGAAAAATCGAAATATTGAATGTTGAAATGTTGAAATACCGAAAAATCGAGAAATTGAAAAATCTAAATGAAAAATTAGGAAATTAGAAAATCGAAAAATTGAAGAATCAAGACGAAAAATAAAATCGAAAAATTAAGAAATCGGAAAAGTCGGAAAATCGAGATTGGAAATCTGAATCAAAAATCGAATAATCTAAAAATTGAAAAACCGAAAAATTTGAAAACTTCAAAACTGAAATTTCGAAAAATTTAGAAATCGAAAAATAATCATTTGAAAAACCTAAAATCTAAAGATCGTGAAACTGAAAAATAAAAAAAAACGGCTTCTGGTGTTTTTATTAAAGAACTAATTTGAATAAATCTTAGGAGCCTCTGGTATTGCGTTTAAAAAAAAATAAAGAATAATCTTGGGGGGACCGGTCGTTGGTTAAGAATTTAAAAGCATCTGGGGAAAAAATTTGAAAGAATCTAGGAATCCCTTGTGTTTTTAAAGAATTTAGAAGAACCTTGGGATGTCTGGTGTTTTATTTTGAAAGAATTTAATTTTGTGTGTTTTTTTTTTAAGAATCTAGAAGAACCTTGAGGACCTTTGGGGTTTTGTTCTAGAAAGAATTAAAAAAATTTGTGAGCTGATGTTTTTTTTTTAATTTTAAAGAATAATAATCGAAATCGAAAATCTCAAATATCAAAAAAACGAAAATTCGAGAAAATCTGAAAACTGAGAATTTGAATAACTGAAGACAATTGAAAAATCGAAACATCTAGAAATCGGAAAATCGAAAAATTAAAAAATTGTAAAGTCGAAGAATCCAAAAATTGAAAAATCAAGTAAACGAAAAGTCGAAAATTTGAGAAGTCGATAAATTGAATTATCCGAAATCTAAAAAGTATTGGTGTTCCGTGATTCACATATTTTCCATCTTTTTGTCGCCTCTTTTTTTCGCATTTTTTATCATTTCTTTGTGTTTCGCATTTTTGTTGCCTTTTTTAAATGTTTTTTATCGCATATTTTTTGTTGTCCTTTTCGTATCACCTTTTTTGGATCATTTTGTTGTAGCCATTTTTTGTCGTCTTTTTTTTTAATTATTTTTTTATTTTTGTTTAATTACCTTTTTGATGATTGCAGCCAAGAATCCTAAATCAAGCACCACATTCGATTGGTGGATCGGATGGATACCTTTTGATGTGACTGATGTTAGTTTTTGTTCGAAGGAGCAAAAATTTTGAAACTTTGGAACAGTATACAAATTAATGTAATAAATTCATTTTTTGTAAATTTCTTGAATGTATGATATCACCAATTCCAAGCTGGCAACTGCAGCATAAAACCGTGCCATAAAGCATATCAACAAATTTTTTTGTTCTAATGTGTATTCAAAATATTGAGGTTGTGTTCGTTACCGTCCAAGTAGTTCCAATTTAACCCAACGATGGCGCCACCGCAGATTTTAAAATTTTTGACAGCCTGATTCACTGAGGTTGAAAATCCAGTATTGTAGATAAACATTCACATGAGAACGCCAACTCGAGTGCTTCAGAAAGAATTCGAACCTTAATTCCGACAAAAATTTTTATAGTTATAGATCGACTTAAAGACAGACATTCCGCAATTATTGTCCTCACCAAGTGAGTAAAGTAAAACCCGTCCCTTTGATTTTCGCGATCAGTTGATTTTGGAGTTGAAGAAATAATTGTGGAGAGATTTTATAAATTTTGGCTTTTGTTGGACTTCTTTTGGGAATCTAGCAGTTTGTACGAAGAATTTTACACGCCTGTCAAAATCTATCGGGGACATATCAAAAACGTGATCGACAAAGACATCCGTTTAGGTTACTCTTGCTTTGACTCAGTTTAGATACTTTTGTTTAGATCCTTATGTTTTTCCAGCTGGATGCGACGTCGTCATCCCTATAGGCCAACTCCACAACGACCCGAAAGTCTGGCCTGAACCTAAAAAAATTCAACCCTGAGAGATTCGCACCAGGGGAAAGTGCCAAGAGGCTCTTTCATCCCTTTCAGTTTCGGGGTTAGGAATTACATAGGTTGGTGGATTTAGGGTTTGTGGGTTGTGTTTATTGTGGGTTTTAGGTTTCAAGTATGGAATGATGTCTGCGAAGTATATTCTAGCGAGTATTTTGAGGGAGTTTAAGGTGAGAAGTGTGGGTTTAGAGACGCTGGATGATATCGAGTGGGAATTTATTGTGGTTTTGAAACCCAAGAATAGTCGGCTGGTTTTTGAAAAAAGAACGCATTGAGGGAGTTTATAAATGTTTTATGTAATGTAAAGCGATTAAATTTTATCTAAGTATACCTATATGTTTTTTTTATTTGGTTTTTATTGTAAGCACACTAGAGTAAAATGTTTACTTAATTATGCAACCAGTTATACACACATGTGAACCACGTCTTTTTCTAAAAGGTCGTATTTTCGTTTCATAATTACACATACTGTCTGAAAAAGTTAGTCTAACGTATTTTTATTAACATAGAGACTTTTGTTTTAGTTTAGTATGTCAAGGTCAATTAAACGAAAGATTTTCAGGTTTTCTTGACGTTTCATAACCCCTAGATAAACGGGTAATTTTAGGAAATTTTAGCAAAATCGTGCAGATGGTAAATCGATAATCAAACTTTGCCCCCACCTACACCTTGATGACGTCAACTCAATATTTTGCTGGATAAATCCTACGCAAAATGCCCATACTGCATGGGTATTCGCATTTTTTGTCACTTCTTTGTGTTTTGCGTTTTTCAACTGCGTTTTTTATTGCCCTTTGGACATTTTAAATAGGATTCATTTGTCAAAATTTTGGGCTGACGTCATCAATTTTTTGGAGGGGATAAGTAAATATATTTTGAATAAAAATTTATTATGCTTATTATCATATGGTTAAAACATCTGCAAGATTTCAAAGCATTCGGTTTTGCAGATTCAAAATTAAATTGTAAATGTAATATATTTTTGTTTCCTTAAGAATACAAAGTTAACAAAGTTAGTTGAGTTACAAAAGTCTCTTTTGCTCCACGTTGGCCACCAACGAGCGATTTTCAAGATTTTTGTGAAACTTTGCTGGTTTTGAATTTGAATTTTCTGTCCTCGATAGTTGATGCTCAGCAAGAACCACGGGAAGGTCTGGAGCAGATCTCGCTAGGAAAGGAGAGGGCTAGGATTTGTTAATGATGGATAGAACGTTATACAGTACAATACAACGGAAATACAATACAGGTACCTACAATCTAGATACAATACAGAATACACTACAGATACAGATACAATTCAGATACAATACAAATGCAAAGTTAGTACCCAATACACCACTGGAAGAAATTGCACCAAAAATTGAGAATGTTGCAAAATGAAAACCCAAGCAAGCACACCGATGGAACTCGGGACGAAATCTATTGGTCGCAGCGCTCACACGCCCAAGGGAGAACGCAGCCGCATAAATCCAAGGTCGTCTTACCTCATTCTCAAAGAACGATGCAACCCAGCGTCTAAGGGCCAAAAGAACCCCCCCAGGCCAAAGCGTCTGACGACATGGAGAATTCAAACCCGGAACCAAAGAATGCACTGTTGCAAAATTAATACCCAAGCAAGCACACCGATGGAACTCGAAACGAAATCTATAGGTCGCAGCGCTCACACGTCCAAGGGAGAAGTCAGCCGCATAGATACAGGGCCGACTGACCTCATCCGTTTAGGATGATGAACCTCATCCGTTTAGGATGATGACCCAGCGTCTAAGGGCCAACAGAACCCCCCCCAGGCCAGAGCGTCTGACGACATGGAGAATTCAGCCTCGGAACCAAAGAATGCACTGTTGCAAAATTAAAACCCAAGCAAATGCACCGTGAAAACAAAGCATTTGCACCACTGGAGCTAAATTGGCAACACCCAAGTTAAGTTAGTAACACATACAATATACAGTACAAAATGCTTCACTTACAAGAGTTACAATATACAAATTTCTCCACGTTTGCCAACAAAGAGCGATGACTCTGCTCGCTCGTTGCTGTTGCCCAGCAAGAACCAAACAATACGAGGAGGTCTGGAGTGCGTCTTGCCATTAAAAGAGGACTAGGGTTTGATAGCATGCGTGAAGGACACCGTATTTTGTAAATTTGGACGCCGTACTTTAACAATGATGCATACGGTATTTTGTGAATTATGAACGCAGTGCTTTGTATATTTTAAGCCGTACGTTATCAGTGCTGAATGCATGTTATTAACAACAAATTTCAAAAAAAATCGGGCATTTTTGGAAAAATATCCAGTTTCCTTCGTGTTCACAGCACTTAATACAAAACATTTTCGCTAATATTTATTAACAATAAATTAGAAATTCGCGAACACGTACTACTTTTAACCCAAAACGGAGCTCCAATGTTGCTGCTACCAGACCGGAATCAAAACTGACCAAAAAGGATCGAAAATGTCACCTTGTATCAGGTAGCTCACGTGATAGTGACGTCATCGTACGTCACGATGAGATTGCAAAAATTATTTTTCATATTTTGGCCGGGAAAATGCACATTTTCGGGGATAATTTAACATTGTTTAAACAAACTAATTTGTTTTTGCTATCCTCGTGTTCTTAGGAAAATGGATTTCGGTTTAATTATCATATATTGATAGTTATCATATTTAAACATTATGAATTGTATTAATTATGTTTAAATTTTATTTAATTATAACGCGAAAATTTAAACATTGTCGAATAAACGAATCATGGAATCCGATAAATTAAAACTGAAGTCGTACTTACTTTGTTTTCGGTCCTTTTCGGAAAAATATCCATTTTCGTTCGTGTTCACAACACTAACACAATATATTTTCCGTAAAATGTATTAATAATAAACTAAAAGTTCGCCAAAACGCTCCATTTTTACGCCAAAATGAAGCGACGATCTTGCCGCCATCAAACAGAAATTAATACTGAACACGAAGGACCGCAAAACGTGACCTTTATACAGTTAGCTCACGTGACATTGACGTCATCGTACGTCACGATGAAATTGCAAAAATTATTTTTCATATTTTGGCCGGGAAAATGCACATTTTCGGGGATAGTTTAACATTGTTTAAACAAATTGATTTGGTTTTAATAATTTCGGGTTTGTAGGAAAACGAGTTTCGGTTTAATTATCGTATATTGATGCCCATCATTTTTAAACATTATAAATGATATTAATTATGTTTAAAATTTATTTAATTATATCGCGAAAATGTATAGCTTTGACCCACCAACTTCAATCGTTTCGAACATTTTTTCAAAATTTAAACATTGTCGAATAAACGAATCATGGAATACGATAAATTAAAACTGATGTCGTACTTACCTTGTTTTCGGTCCTTTTCGGAAAAATATCCATTTTCATTCGTGTTCACAGCACTAATACAACATATTTTCCGTAATATCTATTAATAATAAAGTAGAAATTCGCTAACACGCTTCACTTTTACACCAAAATGAAACGACGATCTTACCGCCATCAAACAGAAATTAATACTGAACACAAGGGACCGCAAACCGTGACCTTTATACAGGTAGCTCACGTGACATTGACGTCATCGTACGTCACGATGAGACTGCAAAAATTATTTTTCATATTTTGGCTGGAAAAATGCACATTTTCGGGGATAATTTAACAATGTTTAAACAAATCGATTTGTTTTTAATAATTTCGGGCTTTTAGGACAACGAGTTTCGGTTTAATTATCATATATATTTATGCTTATCATATTTAAACATTATAAATAATATTAATTATGTTTAAAATTTATTTATTTATATAGCGAAAATGTATAGCTTTGGCCCACCAACTTCAATCGTTTCGAAAATTTTCCCAAAATTTAAACATTGTCGAATAAACGAATCATGGAATCCGATAAATTAAAACAGAAGTCGTACTTACCCTGTTTTCGGTCCTTTTCGGAAAAATATCCATTTTCGTTCGTGTTCACAGCACTAACACAACAAATTTTCCTTAATATGTATTAATAATAAACTTGAAATTCGCTAAAACGCTCCACTTTTACAACAAAATGAAGCGACCATCTTGCCGCCATCAAACAGAAATTAATACTGAACACAAAGGACCGCAAAACGTGACCTTTATACAGTTAGCTCACGTGACATTGACGTCATCGTACGTCAGGATGAGACTGCAAAATTTATTTTTCATATTTTGGCCGGGAAAATGCACATTTTCGGGGATAATTTAACATTGTTTAAACAAATTGATTTGTCTTTAATAATTTCGGATTTGTAGGAAAACGAGTTTCGGTTTAATTATCGTATATTGATGCTCATCATATTTAAACATTATAAATGATATTAATTATGTTTAAAATTTAATTTATTTATATCGTGAAAATTTATAGCTTTGATCAACCAATTTCAATCGTTTCGAAAATCTTCCCGCAATTTAAACATTGTCGAGTAAACGAATCACCGAACTCAATAAATTAAAACTGAAATCGTACTTACCTTGTTTTCGGTCGTTTTCTGAAAAATATCCATTTCGTTCGTGTTCAGAGCACTAACACAACATATTTTCCGTAAAATGTATTAATAATAAACTAAAAATTCGCTAAAACCATCCACTTTTACGCCAAAATGAAGCGACGATCTTGCCGCCATCAAACAGAAATAAATACTGAACACAAAGGACCGCAAAACGTGACCTTTATACAGGTAACTCACGTGACATTGACGTCATCGTACGTCACGATGAGACTGCAAAATTTATTTTTCATATTTTGGCCGGGAAAATGAACATTTTACGGGGATAATTTAACATTGTTTAAACAAATTGACATGTTTCTAATAATTTCGGGTTTGTAGGAAAACGAGTTTCGGTTTAATTATCGTATATTGATGCTTATCATATTTAAACATTATAAATGATATTAATTATGTTTAAAATTTATTTATTTATATCGTGAAAATGTATAGCTTTGATCAACCAATTTCAATCGTTTCGAAAATTTTCCCAAAATTTAAACAATGTCAAGTGAACGAATCACGGAATCCGATAAATTAAAACTGAAATCGTACTTACCCTGTTTTCGGTTCTTTTCGGAAAAATATCCATTTTCCTTCGTGTTCACAGCACTAACACAACAAATTTTCTTTAATATGTATTAACAATAAACTTGAAATTCGCTAAAACGCTCCACTTTTACGCCAAAATGAAGCGACGATTTTGCCGCTATCAAACAGAAATTAATACTGAACACAAAGGACCGCGAAACGTGACCTTCGGACAGGTAGCTCAGGTGACATTGACGTCATCGTACGTCAGAATGAGATTGCAAAAATTATTTTTCAAATTTTAGCCGGGAAAATGCAAATTTTCGGGGATAATTTAACAATGTTTAAACAAATTGATTTGTTTTTAATAATTTCGGGTTTGTAGGACAACGAATTTCGGTTTAATTATCATATATATTTATGCTTATCATATTTAAACATTATAAGTGATAATAATTATGTTTAAAATTTATTAATTTATATCGTGCAGATGTATAGTTTTGATCAACCGACTTCAATCGTCTGGAAAATTTTCCCAAAATTTAAATATTGTCGACTGAACGAATCACGGAATCCGATAAATTAAAACTGAAGTCGTACTTACCCTGTTTTCGGTCTTTTTCGGAAAAATATCCATCTTCGTTCGTGTTCACAGTACTAATACAACACATTTTCACTAATATTTATTAAAAATAAACGAAGCTCTGTTGTTGCTGCCACCAAACCGAAATCAAAACTAAACACAGTGGACCGAAAAATGTGACCTTTTATCAGGTAGCTCACGTGACAGTGACGTCATCGTACGTCACGATGAGATTGCAAAAATTATTTGTCATATTTTCGCTCAGAAATTGTACATTTTCGAGGTTACTTTAACAATGTTTAAACAAACTAATTTGTTTTTGCTAACCTCGTGTTCTTAGGAAAATGGTTTTCGGTTTAATTATCACATATTAATAGTTATCATATTTAAACATTATAAATTATATTAATTATGTTTAAAATTTATTAATTTATATCGTGCAAATGTATAGCTTTAATCAACCGACCTCAATCGTTTGGAAATTTTTCCCAAAATTTAAACATTTCTTAGTTGTTTTTGGGTCGTTTTGTTTAAACTCCCTTTTTATTAATATTTCTATTGTCTTTTTTTGTTACTTTACTGATGCCTTTCTGGTCGCGTTTTCTTATTCCCCCTTCTTTTGTTGTATTTTTTCATAGATTTTTCTTTAACATTTTTTGTCGCCCCTCTTTTCTTCATCTTTTATACCGCCCTTTTTGTCACCTACCTTTTGTGTTGCCTCTTTGTCGCCATTTTTTGTCGTTTTTATTTTGTCGTCTTTTCTTTGGCACTATTTTAAATAGCCTTTTTTCATGCCTTTTTTTAAATATTTTTTTATTCTCCTTGTCACTTTCTGGTATCTTTTTTTGTCATTTTTTATCACTTAGTGTTTTATTCTCTCTTTTTGTCGAATTTGAGTTACATTTTTGACACTTTTCTTTTGCAATTTGTATACACTTTTTTGTCGCTTTTTCCGTCTTTTTGGGAGCCTCTTTTTTCGCATTATTCAACCGCATTTTTTGTCTCCCTTTTTTTGTCCCATTTGTTTTTAGTTCCATTTTCCTATTGTTCTTTTTTTCGCCCATTTTTTGTGGTGGTTTTTGCTTGCCTTTATGCTTCGTCCTTCTTTGATGCCGCCTTGTTTCTTATCTTCTTTTTGTGTAGCCATTTGTTGTTGTCTTTTTCTTATTGTTTCTGTTTCTTTTTTAGTCGCCGTTTTGGATACTTTTTGCGTTTTTTTTTATCATGTTTTTGTGGTAATTTTGCTTTTTTTGCTCTCTTCGTTTGTTGTTTTTTTAAACGCTCTTTTTTATTCTTGGAGTTTTAACTCCTTTCTTTTCGTATTATAGAACACGTGTACGACGTGCGCCGGAATAGGATATCGAGTTCGACACCGACACCGACACCGGTCTCAACTCAATTTGAACATAGGCATGTAACGCCACACTATATTTTTATACAATATCATTATAATAATTAGATATTTCTATATGATAAATGAATAATAAAAGAAATATATTTTATAATAAATAACAATTGACAATACATGGATATTTACTTTAATTAACCCAATTATCGTCATTAATTATTGTTTTGTCAAAAAATACAAATGCAACATATTTTTGGTTTTTATTATTTTTTAAGAGAAAATTAATGACTTCGCCGCGTATACGTGTTTAATTTATATAAATTGATAACGCAGAGTTATTACTCCTTCTGTGCGTCCCTGGGTCGACGCACTCTTTTTTCTTTTGATGCCTTTTTGGCCTCGTTTTTTTGAACCTCTCCTTCTTTTGTCGCATTTTCTGTGGTATTTCTACTATTTTCCAGCGCCTTTTTGTCTGGTTTCGTTTCTGTTGCGTTTTTTGTTTCCCTTTTTTTTCGCGCATTTATTTTGTTGTTTTATTCATCGGTTTTTCTTTAGCATTTTTGTCGCTCTTTTTTTTTTTTTCATCTTTTTTTGCCATCCTTTTTGTCCCCTACTTTTTGTGTCCCTTCTTTGTTACCATTTTTTGTCGTTTTTTCTTTGGTACTATTTTTAATAGCTTTTTTGATCCCCTTTTTTTAAATATTTTTTGTGTCCATTTTCAGTAGCCCTCTTTTTATTCTTTTTTGTTGGCAATTGTTGATGCTTTTTAAAAATTTTTTCCCCTTTTTACCCCCTCTTTTCTTGTCGTCTTTCCATTGTCGCTTTGTTCGCCTTCTTTAAGTACCTTTTTGTCGTATTTTTGTTGTCTTTTTGCCGTGGATTGGAAAGCCCTTTTTTGTGTAGACATTTTTTTGTCGTCTTTTTTTGATGTTATTTATGTTACTTTTCAGTCGCCGTTTTGGTTTTTCATTTTTTTGGTGTTAATTGTTGCTCTTTTTTGTTGTTTTTTTCTGTTTTTTTTATTACTTTTTTACCGTCTTCTTTGTTACCTTACTGACGCATTCTTGGTAGCGTTTTTTAATCCCCCTTTTTTGTCGCATTTTCTATGGTATTGTTCCCTATTTTTAGCGCCTTTTTCTCTGCTCCTGTTTTTGTAGCGTTTTTTTGTTTTTAGAGTCGCATTTATTTTTTGTTGACTTCTTTCATCGCTTTTTCTTTAACGTTTTTAGGCTTTTTTATCATCTACTTTTTGTGTTGCTTGTTTTGTCGTCTTTTCTTTGGGACTATTTTTTTAGTCTTTTTTCATCCCTTTGCTCTTTTTTATTCTCTTTGGTTGTCTCTTTCTGGCGTCTTTTTTCAGTTTTTTCGCCTTTTTTTGTCGGTTTTCCTACGTCACTTTATTTGTCTTCTTTAATCCTCTTCTTTTGTCGTATTTTTTGTAGTGTTTTTTGCGGTGGGTCGGGGAGGTGGAGAAAGGGGAATCTGTCTGATCGCATTAGCATTTAATCGTGAGGGCAGAGAAAAAATTAACGTAACTAGATGCAAATACACAAGTTATTACAGACGTGTGGCGGCAGATCTAAAATTACGGCAGTCAACAAGAGCACAATAAAAATACCCATAGGGGCGGAGTTTGGGGCTCCTGGTCGTGGCTGTTCTCCCCCACGACGGTGATTCTATCTATCGCGGGCCTACCGCAAAGCAATTATCTATTACGTACGTGCAGGCCGTTATGGTCGCAAACTCGCACTTGGGTCCCGACTAAGTACAGAAGCCGACAGCGTTACGTCATCTCGACCCCCCTGAATTCTATTCAAATCTGCATCTTTTGTACAGATGGCGCGATGAATCTTGCCAGCTCAACTAGGAACCGCGCACTCCGCTTCACTTTCAATGACTCTGATATTAACGACAAATGAACAAGTGTTAAAGTTTCAAAAGAACAATAAACAACAATTAAATTTGTCATACAATCAGATAATTTATGCGATCGATACATTTATTAACAAACTATTTACCAAACAAAAACTAGCAAAGAATTTTTTCTCAAATTCAAATTATTCAAATGTGATTTCGTGCCGCTGTTAATTAAATTCAGCGCGAAAATTTGGGTCAAATTCGGTCACCACACCTTATTTAACTTATAGAGATTTTCATAAAAGAAATAAAAAGCACCTCAAAAAAGTTTATTTCCATCAAAACAACCATCATTTTAATAAAAGTAATCAAAGCAAATTTAAATCATTATCATTTACATTAGGAAAAGTGCATGTGATCAAAATTTTCTTTTTTCGAAACGTAAACGACTATTTTTAGCCTTCAGCATTACCATATATTCCCACTGGATGTCCTTCCATGATTTCATACCGACAGTTTGTACTTTGAAGTTCCTCAGAATCGTCGCAACCATTACTTTTACCAGCATCATTCCAAATTTTAGACCTAAGACAAAAATACAAAAAATACCAGTGCTGACAGATACGGACCTATACAATTTCTGGAACCATAACTGAAGGGAATGTAGGAACAACGATGTCTTTTCGCAACTTCATCAGGGAGAAACCGATCTGGATCAAATTTTTCCGGATCGGGCCACACCTCCGGATCTCTGTGTAGAAGCACTAGAGGAACGACAAGGTTAGATCCGGCAGGAAAAACGTAAGGATCTGGAAACACGAAAAATGTATTGTTTGGATTCATCTTCTAAAATATATTACCGCATTTAATGTCTTCGTCAGCATATCGCAAAATGAAAGGAATTGTGGGAACTAGTCTTAAAATTTCTTTAACAACGCGTTTTAAATAATCCAGACGATTCAATTCTTCCTGAGTTGGACTGCTTTCCATGTTTGGCAGAACTGAGACGAGTTCCTGATAAACTCTTTCCTGAAAGAACATCATTATGGTTGTATTAATATTTTTCCGTGATTTACTTGAATATCTGAGTAGATTCCTAAAATCGTTAAAATCGTGTTTATTGTGATTGCTGCCGTTTCGCTTGCCGCCATCATCATAAAACTAGTTTCTTCCAAAATTTCTTCACGGGTGATCTGCTCGGTTCGACTTAATTTAGTCAAATTTGGTAGAAATCGCTTACTTTCAATAGTGTCATCTGAAAAAAAAACCTGCTAGTAATCGAGGTGTTCAGAAACAGTAAATGACTTATCATTTTATACACATACTAGTTTTGTCTTCGGATTCGTATGATTTGTATTCTTGTACTATTACCTGAAAGGCAAAAACAAAGTTAAAATTTTGGGACATTATAAAACCTACGCTTTCGGTCATTGCACGACCATTTTGACAAACCACTTTATGCTCCTTGTATAAGTTGGATAATTTCCAAAAGAAATCGATCAGAAGCCAAAATGTATGAAATCTCTGTATAAGTATTTCTTCGAATCTGTATTCAAAATCAGTAAAAGCTACTAAAGAGAAAAAATACTTACCTGACGGTGAGTGAAATAGCCCGTCGTCGTTCTTTAAGTTGATAAGGCTTTACATTTGTTAAGGTTACTATAAGTAATTACCATGCAGAAAATATAAGAAAAAAATGAAGAAACAATACCTAAAGCAACATCAAGTGTTTTTTCCCAGACGACTGAAAGGAAATCCGTTTGTTCGGTACCTTCTACATCATACAAGTACTTCACTATTTCCCTTGAATATTTAACAAATATACCATGAAAAGAACTTAAAATCTTCAAATTAAAAGAGGGATTGATCATTTTTCGATGTTCTTTCCAGATACTGACTACGAATTTTAAAATTTGTCAATGTTCGGTTATGAAATTTGTTACCTTTTGATGTCAGTAGAGTGTCTTTCATTACATCGTTAAAATTCTCGTAGAAAGGTGACTTGTTTAGACAATTTGTCAAAATTTTTTCTACATCTGCCGGTCTAGTGGTAGCTATATACAACTGTGGGCCTGCCCATGTCATTATAACCGGCTTATAGGAATCCATAATTCGGTAAACTAGTTCAAAAAAATCTGAAAAGTGATTTTTTGTGTCACACTTGTTCGAAACAAATCGGTAGTTATAATAAGTATATCATTAACTAAATTTGATTACTTACTATCCTTTGTTGCAGACAACAGGTACGCACTTCCTACCAAGGGCAGTGAGAATGGTCCAGGAATTTTCCAAGCATGATACAACAACCATCGCTTCTTCCATAGAACCGAAATGAAGATAAAAATCCCAGAAATAATGAAAATCCAGCTTATCATAGCAAAAGGAGTAAACACACGACAGTGGTAAAATAAAGCGAGTTACATTTAAGTAGCTGCTTTTAAAATTGTTGCCAGATCATAGGTACGCAGTAGACAATTACGCATAAGTTTCCAAGGATTTTCAGAGGATGTGAATACTTGCTACTAACTTAAATAATACATTGTTGCATTTTAAAAATACGAGATATGTACATATCGTTTTAATAAATATATGTATATTTTGAATGAACAAACTTGAGTCCAGGTGCTGCAATTGTTTCCATTCTGAGATAGTAGGTACTTTGAAGAAAAGTGGCAGCTTTCTTGTCACCATTTATAAGCTTAAAAAATCCAGAAATTTCGTTCGAAAACTAAATTGTGGAATTGTCATCTTTGTGCTGTTCGGGTGGTTGCCGGCCTCCAGTTTTGGGCTATTTCAGGTGATAAAGATAGATATAGATAGACCCATTCTTCTGTCTGGAGCGAACATTCCGAAAGCCAGCGAATAAGAGATAGTTTGGAACGCAAATAAGCGCATTGACTACCCCCGCAACAGCAACAAAACTCTTCTTAAATCTACCACTCGATAGAGGGCGACGGAAAAAATTGTAGGAATCTCATAGTAGGCATTAAGATATTATCCGTTCACGATCTATATCCATGTATAAAAGGGTTGGTAAAAGACAACAACCTTGGTGTAATGGTTTGATGGGTTTAGCTCTTCTGAAACATTTTTCCGGCCTTAAATTGAATGATTTATGTATATAGCTATTACTAATGCTTACGTCAGTGCTCTTTATTTGCTTTTACTAAGTACTTCCAAACTCTTATTAATACGAACGTTACTATACGCCTTCTCGAAGTCCATGAAAAGTTACAAAAAAAAATGAAAATGCTTAAAATTTGGTGCAAAGTAACCACATGGATGGTCTAACTAAAATTATACTTATTTTGTTGTACGTTAGGTAGTTTTTCACATACTACCTTGGTAAATTTAGAACGAGAGATGCGTAAAAATATCACCCCCCGATAAGCTACAATTCACTCCATTTCCATTATTTCGCTATGAAAATCTGTATCATCACCGTCATTTTCAAATTCAGATTCTGAATCAGATTCACCTAGCGAAATAATGATAGGAGGTATAGATTCGTACGAAAGATTTCCCATATTTTTTCCCCAATCTGCCAAAATAAGTTTTTCACAATGTTTACAAAAATTTTGGCACATGCTTAGAGTACATTTACAAAGCGCCTCAAGCCATAAATTCTCCACCCTATTTTTTAATGAAAGTTGAGAATTTATATGCTTGTTCTAATAGTTCTTACAAAATCCCCACGCCATTTCAATTGGATTATATTGACAATGGTACGGAGGTAATCTAAGAACTTCATGGCCACTTTCTCTTAATGTCTCGTCTACCAAATATTTTTTTTCTATTGTTTCTGAAGGGTTTAATTAAATCCCACAACTGTTTCTTCGAAATTTTTTGTTTATCTTAAAATTCCATCTCACTTAAATAATCCTGATACAATTTTTTTGCATCTGTTTTTACTTCCCGAGCGTAAGCAAAGGAAGTATTGTAATCGAGTCCGTCGGTCGACTCTCTACTTTTACGTTTTCTCGATCTTTCATGACCCCTAGAAGACGAAGAAATAGGTCTCCCATTTCCGTCTGTCTGTCCGTCTGTCCGTCTGTCCGTCTGTCCGTCCGTCTGTCCGTCCGTCTGTCCGTCTGCCGTCCCGGATTTTTATTAGACAGATAATCTCCGAAAGTACTCGACCGATTGTTGTGAAATTTTGTACTTATGTTAAGAATATCATGTAGATGGTAAAACGCTAACCAAAATTTGTCTAATCATCCCCACCACTACTAAAAAAAATCAAAATTATAAAACAACATTTTGAAATTTAATTTTTAATCTGCTAACCAGAATGCTTTGAAATGTTACAGATGTTTTAAGGGTATAAAGAGCATCATAAATCTTTAGTCAAAAAATATTTGCTTATCCCCTCCAAAAACTTGATGACGTCAGCTCAAAAGTTTGTGGAATAAATCATATCTAAAATGTACAAAATATGATGAGTCTGTACTTGTGATCTATCACTCCATTCATATTTTTTGGATTTGCATATACAGGGTGACTCAAAAAAATTAATGAATGCGTAAATATATTTTATTGATTTAATCAGGAACTACAAAACCGAATGCTCTGAAATCTTGCAGATGTTTTAAGGTCATAAAGAGCATAATAAATGTTTAGTCAAAATATATTTGCTTATCCCCTCCAAAAACTTGATGACGTCAGCTCGAAAGTTTGCCGAATAAATCATATCTAAAATGTACAAAATATGATCAGTCTGTACTTGTGATCTATCACTCCATTCATATTTTTTGGATTTGCATATACAGGGTGATTCAAGAAAATAAATGAAAGCGTAAATTTATTTTACTGATTTACTCAGGAACTACAAAACCGAATGCTTCGAAATATTCAAGATATTTTAAAATTATCATAAGCATGGTAAATGTTTGATCAAAACGTATTTGGTCGTCCCCCCTAAAAAATTTATGACGTCACCACAAAATTTTGCTGAATAAATCCTATCTAAAATGTACAAAATATGGTGAGTCTCTTCTTGTGATTTATCATTCCATTCAAATTTTTTCGATTTGCATATACAGGGTGACTCAAAAAAATTAATGAATGCGTAAATTTATTTTATTGATTTAATCAGGAACTACAAAACCGAATGCTTTGAAATCTTGCAGATGTTTTAAGGTTATAAAGAGCATAATAAATTTTTAGTCAAAATATATTTGGTTATTTTCTACAAAAAACTGATGACGTCAGCTCAAAAGTTTGCCGAATAAATCGTATCTAAAATGTACAAAATATGATGAGTCTGTACTTGTGATTTATCATTCTAATCATATTTTTGGATTTGCATATGCAGGGTGACTCAAAAAAATTAATGAAGGCGTGAATTTATTTTATCGATTTAATCAGGAATTAGAAAACCGAATGCTTTGAAATCTTGGGAATATTTTAAAGTTATTATAAGCATGGTAAACTTTTGTTCGAAATGTATTTGTTCATCCCTCCTAAAAAAATTGATGACGTCACCCTTAAATTTTGCTGAATAAATCCTATCTAAAATGCAAAAAATATGATGATTTTGGACTTGTGATTTATCATTCCATTCATATTTTTTAGATTTTCTTAAGAGGTGGTTCAAAAAAATTAATGAAGTCAATTTATTTTATTGATTAAATTAAAGGCAACACTTATTATTAGTATTACACCCCAACCAACCCAATTTGGTAGACACAAAATTTGTTAAAGGAAAAACTCGGTTGAAACATAAGGGTAGCACGCTTATTTACATCGACTTTAACATTACAGACCTGCATTTGTTTTATGCGCTCACTTGGTTCCGCGAATGTGAAATAGACATGTTTATAATCAACCAATTGTGAATTTCACCGCCAAGAATTAAAATAAAACCCAATGTTTTATATAAATAGCGGAAGTCGAAGCAATAAAACCGATGGTCGTTTTGTTTACAGTTTCTCTGTTTGACTCTCACGTATGCTGTTACGCCTGTCATCTTAAATTAAGAATGTTTATACATACACGATTTTCAGTTGCCTCTGATACGTATACGTGAGTAAATTGTTTCGTTATTTTATTGATTATTACAAATCAATATTCAAAACGACCCAATTCATTTTCCCGAAAATTTGAGAATATAATAATTTTATTCTTAGTATTACACTACATCTATCCCAACTGATATACGTGTCCTTGCGAAAATGTTGATGACGTCATCGCAATTTTTTTTTAAATTCCCACTACAAAAATGTAATGAGAAAAAAAACACAATAGGCATGCAGTCGTCAAGTTTCCAACAGCGAGGGAAGTATTGTCTAAACTCTTTAGACCAATTTTTCAGAATGTGTCTCCTAATCCTAACATGACTGATTTTTATTCGTTCTCTAAAATGTAATGCCTTAGGGTTGGATCAAATTTCGTTAGAAATGATACAGTTGTGCAGCTCTGTGATACTTCCTCACATTACTCATTTAATTAATTGCTGCATCGAAGCTGATTACTTTCCTACTGCTTGGAAAACGGCTTTAATTAGACTGGACGGAACTGTAGTAATACCATATTTTGTAAACAATTGTCGACAATCTTCTCTGTACCCGAGTCCACCAATAGCCCTAACACATTTTCTCTGAAAAGAGAATATCCTTGCAGCATGAGCAGAATGACCCCAAATGAGTATACCATAAGAGATAATACTGTGAATTGTGCCAAAATAAGCAGTAACAAGAATATTTTGAGAAACAACACTATAAAGCTTACGGAGCAGAAATAATTTAGTTGCCAATTTTTTTAACATATATATAATCAACATGAATCTCCCAGGTCAATTTCCCATCAAGATGGAAACCAAGAAATTTTACGTAGTTATTTTTATTAATCTCACTTGAAAGTGGAAAAAGTAAATGTTGCGTTTTGTCTTTATTGGCTAACAATTTGTTCGCTGAGAACCAATTACTTATTTGTGTTTCGGCTTGACTTGACATTTCATTTAATCTGTTAATATCTTTCCCAGAAATTAAAACTGACGTATCATCTGCAAATAAAACAAATTTACCGTCTAAAGTTAGATTTGATATATCATTATTAATGTAAACCAAAAATAAAAATGGCCCAAGCACTGACCCCTGCGGCACTCCTGCAACTAATTTTTGCTTAGATGATGCTGAATTATTGAAATATACATATTGTTATCTATCAGTCAAATAAGATTTGATCAATTTGCATATTAGACATAAATATTCCTAAAATGACTCCTAAGTGTACTACATACAGAGACTTTAAAAACTTCTTGCATGATAAATTTATGTTAGACTTAAATAAAAAATCTTTGGATAACATTTATTACATCCTCAATATTGAAGATAAAATCAGGTACCTTAACACAACTGTGTTAGAATTATTTGACTATCACGCTCCGTTCAAAACCTCGTTCATTTCAAAGCCCTATGCACCTTGGCTCACCCCTTCTATTAAAGAATTGATGAAACAAAGAAATCGAACATTAAGTTTATATAAGCAAACTAAATCTGCTCAGCACTGGCTATTTTATAAGCAGCTAAGAAATTCTACGGTTGCTGCACTGAAACGGGAAAAAAAGTGTACTTAGATTATGAAAGTAATACTTCAAACAAAAAAAGACTATGGGTTGCACTAAAAAAGTTAAATATTCAAAAAAAAGCTAAAGGATGTGATCTATCTACATTCAGTGCTGATGAAATAAATGAATATTTTTTGTCAGTATTCACTCCTCCCCAAAACTGTGTTGAAGCTGCTAATAACATAAAAGGTATCAAATATAAACCAAATAGTAACTTTAAATTTTCATTGGCCACTGAGGAGGAAGTGTTTCAAATCATAAATAGCTTGAAATCTAATGCTATGGGTATTGATGGTATCTCTGCTTACATGATTAAATTATGTTGTCCTAATATAGTTCAGCCAATTACTCACATTATTAATTGCTCTCTGGAGACTAGATACTTTCCAGAATTATGGAAAGTGGCTTTAATTCATCCTATTCCCAAAATCGACGAGGTAAACTCTCCAGAAGACCTACGACCAATAAGTATTCTTCCAACATTATCTAAAGTCTTAGAAAAACGTATCTATAATCAAATCTTTAATTTTATAGTAAAAGAAGAGATATTATCTGAAGATCAATCTGGTTTTCGCAAGGGATATAGCACAACGACAGCTCTAGCTTCTGTTATCGATGATTGCCTGATTGAACTTGACAAAAACCACGCAAGTATTGTAACTCTTTTGGATTATTCAAAAGCTTTCGATACTTTGGACCACCAACTCCTCTGCACAAAACTGGAATATTATGGGTTCGATCAAATTTCTGTTTCTTTTTTTAAATCATATTTACAAAATCGACATCAACAAGTTGTAACCGAGTCTGGTAAATCTAAAATTGGCTTAATAACATCAGGCGTACCGCAAGGCTCGGTCTTAGGCCCAATTCTTTTTACTATATATACTTCCCAATTGTTGCAGATACCTTCAGTACCTAAAAAGAGAGCCTTTGCAGATGACACCCAAATGCAGCATCATTTCCTACCTAACGAAGTTGATATAGCATCTAACCATATAAATAATGACTTACAAAATATAGCAAATGTTTCATCTGATATTAACCTCCAACTGAATATAAATAAATGCAAAGTTATTTGCTTCGCTCCCCGAAAATTTAAAAATGTTCTTTTTTACAATATTAATGTTAAATTTGATAACATAAAACTACCAGTTTTACATACTGTAAGAAATTTGGGATTGGTGATTGATGACGATTTTCGTTTTAAGACCCATATTTCTAACATTATTAAAAAATCTTATGTAGCATTGAAACTTCTTTATTCAAATTACCTTTTACTCAATTTTAAATTGAGGAAGAAATTATGTGAGTCTCTTGTCTTGTCATATATAAATTATTGCCTAGTAATATATTACCCATGTCTTGACAGTATTGATAAATACCGTCTTCAGAAAATCCAAAATAATTGTTGTCGTTTCATTTTTGGTTTGAGGAAATTTGATCATGTGTCTCAGAAAATCTGTGAGCTTGGTTGGATGAAAATTGACAAATTGTTTCAGTATCACCTATCTATCTTTGCTTTCAAGTTATTTTCCTCTAACTCTCCGCCGTACTTGCGTTGTAAATTTCATACAAGAAAAAGTATGTTAAACTCAAGTCTTCCATTAAGGAATCTTAAAGAACTGTCAATGCCAAAGCATTATACATCTATCTTTCAGAGATCTTTCACGTACAATATTATCAAAGTTTACAATAAATTTTTATTAGAGTTTAATTCAAGTTCTTCCATCAATTGTTTTAGGAAAAAAATTAAAAAAATGCTTGATTAATACTTAGGTTTAAGTTTATTATTGTGGTTCTCTTGCTTGTTGTTAACTTTTTGTTATTATTATTATTCTTATTATTTGTATAAATTTAGTTTTTAATTATGGATTATTTAATTTAATTTAATTTAATTTAATTTAATTTAATTTAATTTAATTTAATTTAATTTAATTTAATTTAATTTAATTTAATTTAATTTAATTTAATTTAATTTAATTTAATTTAATTTAATTTAATTTAATTTAATTTAATTTAATTTAATTTAATTTAATTTAATTTAGATTTAATTAGTTTAAATTGTTTAATTTGATCATTACCTAGCTGACTCCTGTCTAGATATTTAATCCGTTTTTCTGTACAAACTGTTTGGTTAGTTTTATTTTCTTGTGAATCTAAGGTTAAGTGGAATAGCCAATGGCTAGACTTCGCTTATTATTATTTAATAAAGTCCTATTATTATTATTATTATTATTATTATTATTAAGATCGGGCCTTCTTTTCGAAACTGCAAAAAACATCTTTTTATTGCAATTTTTTGTTGCAGTTTCAATGAAAATTTTTGGTTTTTAACTCTTCCGCCGCTTGAAAGTCCCGCCACGTGAAAATAGATTATGAAGTAAATTTAACCCCTTAATTAGGAGGTTGTTGTTGCTTTATTGACACAAATGTTTACAAAAAAAGAGTGACAATATTTTTTTTATATATAAATACATCTAACTTTCGATACATTGATTATCATTTACATTAGGAAAAGTGCATGTGATCAAAATTTTCTTTTTTCGAAACGTAAACGACTATTTTTAACCTTCAGCATAACCATATACTCCCACTGGATGTCCTTCCATGATTTCATACCAACAGTTCGTACTTTGAAGTTCCTCAGAATCGTCGCAACCATTATTTTCACCTCCATCATACCAAATCTTAGACCTAAGACAAAGTTACCAAAAATACCACTGCTGGTAAATACAGACCTATACAGTTTCTGGCACCAAAACTGAAAGGAATGTAGGAACAACGATGCCTTTTTGCAACTTCATTAGAAAGAAACCGATCTGGATCAAATTTTTCCGGTTCGGGCCACACATCCGGATTTTTGTGTAGTAGCACTAGAGGAACGACAATGTTAGACCCGGCAGGGAAAATGTAAGGATCTGGAAACACGAAAAATGTCTTCTTTGGGTCTATCTTCTAAAATACATTACCGCATTTAATGTCTTCGTCGACATATCGCAAAATGAAGGGAATTGTGGGAACTAGTCTCAAAGTTTCTTTAATAACGCGTTCTAAATAATACAGACGGTTGATCTCTTCCTGAGTTGGACTGTTCTCCATGTTTGGCATAACTAAGACGAGTTCTTGGTAAACTCTTTCCTAAAAGATCATCTTTGTGGTTGTATTAATATTTTTGCGTAATTTACCTGAATGTCTGAGTAAATTCCTAAAAACGTAAAAACCGTGTTGATTGTAATTGCTGCCGTTTCGCTTGCCGCCGTAAGCATCAAACACGTTTCATCCATAATTTCTTCACGAGTGATCTGCTTGGTTCGCTTTAAGTTAGTCAAATTTGGTAGAAATTGCTTACTTTGAATAGTATCATCTGAAAATAGAACCACCAAATAGTAAATGAGTTATGATTTTAAATGCATACCATTTATGTCCTCCGAATCATATGATTTGTATTCTTGTAATAGTATCTAAAAGACAAAAATGAAAGTAGATATTTTTGTGACAAATAAACCTACGTTTTCCACAAATGCGTGAACAGTTTGACAAACCACTTTATGCTCCTTGTGTAAGTTAGATAATTTCCAAAAGAAATCTATCAAAAGCCAAAACGTATGAAATCTCTGTATAAGTATTTCTTCGAATCTAAAATCAAAATCAATAACTACATCTGTTATATAAAAAGGAATAGTTACTTCACGGTAACTGTAATCATACGTCGTCGTTCCTTTATCACTTGCGGGTCTACGTTGGTTAAAGTAGCTGTTAAAACAATATTGGACAACATTATAACTTGCAATAATAAAAACAATGATTTTTTACCTAAAGCTACATCAAGTGTTTTTTCCCAAATGACTGGAAGGAGATTCGTTTGTTCTTCACCTTCTGTGTCACTCAAATAGTTCACCATTTCACTTGAATATTTAACAAATGTATCATGATACGAATTCAAGATCTTCGAATTAAAAGAGGGATTGATCATTTTTCGATGTTCTTTCCAGATGCTGACTGCGAATTTTACAATCTGAGACTGTACGTTAAAAAAATTTTAGTACCTTTTGACGTCAGCAAGGTGTCTTTCATTACGTCGTTAAAATGCTCGTAGAAGGGTGACTTGTTTAGACAATTTGTCAATATTTTTTCTACATCTGTTGGTCGCGTGGTCGCTATGTACAACTGTGAGCCTGCCCATGCTTTTCCTACTGGTCTCCAGGAATCCAGCTTTCCATAAATCAGGTCGAAAAAATCTGATAAATAAAAGTGTTAAATAAGTTAATAAATAACTATAACTACTTACTATCTTTTGTTGCCGATAACAAGAACGGACTTCCCACAAGGGGCACTGAGAATGGTCCAGGAATTTTCCAAGCGTGATATAACAACCATCGCTTCTTCCAAAGAACCGAAATGGTGTTAAAAATTACAAAACAGATGAAAATCCAGATGAGCATAGCGAAAGTAGTAAATACACTACAGTGTTTAAGCAACCCGCTTTTAAAATGGTACTTTTTTATCTACCAAACTGTATCTAATTTAACTTCATAGGTCAACGATTCAATATTACTAGACTAAAAAACTAGATATGAACCTGTTCCAGAAATGTTCAATGTATTTGCCATAACATCTGAATGGTTAATATGTTTTTTAGCACTTCATGTCTATTAGCTGTTACTATTTGTCATCATATGCATATATGAATATGTATTCAATATGTATTATGAAATATTCATTCAATTGTATTTGCTTTTTTTTATTAAATTTGACAGCACTAAATGAATCGATTTCAAATTCAATTCAGTTTTTAAGTTTGTGTTAAATTTTGCATAGGATAATAATTAATAATAAGTCTGAATATCAAGGGCAGATATCTCGATCTTGGTATTTCCAACTCACCTTGCTCTAGTACTCATTGTGAAGGTACTTATCATCTTGCTTTGCTTGCTACTTTAACAACCAGTAGACATTAATCGTTGTGAATTATTGCTAATAAAACAAGGTATTATTTTTCATTAATAAATAAACCAAAAATAAAAATTAATAAAACATTTATAAATTATAAACAAAAACAAAACCAACACAAGAAAAATCCATTAAAGCAGAACCAACTAAACACTAGAGAAGATGTTCGAAATTCCTGCCTTGACAAATCAGATATCCTCTAAGAAAAGAGAGGGTGGGTGGGTGGGGCTAATGCCTGCTAAGATAAGACTGATATTGGCAAATGATCTTCTCTCCAAGAAATGAAGGGCGAGTGGACAGGGCTGATACTTACTAAGATAAGACTGATTTTGCCAAAGGACACACCCTCTAAATAAATTTGATTGTTCTGACGATTATAACTTCCCTTAAGACCAAATGAACATTCGTCAGTAAAACAAATGTTCCTCAAAAACTCTCCATCAGCCTAGATTCTCTCAAGCGTTCCTTCGTAAAACTCCATACGTGAGAAGTAGTCCCCAGGGTTCAATTTTTTGTCATAATGCTTTTTGAAACTATTCTATCCCATCTAAACATTTAAGATCCCTAGAAAACGTCGTACCCACTTGGTTTTATTTACTTTTTATCACCTTTGAAAATAAATGTAACTTTGTTTTGTGAAATATTATTTTTATTTTTGTTGTTGTTAACAGAATAAACAAATAAAACAGTAATACAAAAGTTTCTGAATCCCAAAACACATTCGTAATAGAGAAAAATATTTTAAAATGTTGATGAGTCAATGTTCTACATTTCTCTCTCAAAAATTTCTTGTAACGAACATGCTTCCAGGCGGCAAAAATTCCATCCCTGCTTAACGAATATAAAATCAATTGACTTTCAATCTTTAGTGATTCGAAAAAAAAGTGTGAAATTTATCCAAATTAGCTACTAATTTGGATAAATTGAGTTGTTCGTTGATTTCTGAGAATAATTTCTAATTTCTCTTTGACATTTGGATTTTGCATGGTTAATCCAAAGACGCGATCGCCGAATTCGACAGTGCGACGGAACATTTCGCGACAAATCGGACCGGGCGCGAATTTCAAAATACGATTTTTAAAACTTTTTTACAGTGAATGAGCGCGATGCAACGATTTGAAAAAAATTGAACAAACGAATTTGGAAGGATACGATACGTGAACTCCTTCAATACATATATCAAGGAGGAATCAAATTTATTACGGCTAGTAAGAGTAAAGTGCTAAAAACTCAAATAATCATTCAGATCTTCTGTAATATGTAGTTATTTTGGATACAAGGCCGGAGAGGATGCACTTAGTTAATTAATGCATCGGTAATTTCGTAATTATAATACCAGATAGATGTTAGAATATAAATGCGAACATGGTTGTTATCCTTCTGTCCTCCTGGCTTATGCAATTAATTTTTTATCATTTGCGTCATAAAAATACGACATACAATAAAAAATTCACTATAGTTTTTATTTATTTTAATAATTCGTATCGCTAATTAAGTAATTCTAGTTTTAATACTACGAAAATTATTATGAAATGGCGTTTTTGGTTTTAAATGTAACGGAATTCGCTGCAGATTACTGGAGATGAACAAATTAGCCTTTGATGAGGCAGTGAAAATAGCCCATGCAATGGCAATGTGAGGAAAGAATGTAAATAATAACCTTTATTCTATTTTAGAACCATAATCTTATTTATAAGCACCCAAATGCGGGCTTAAATTGGCCTTTTTAGCACAAATCTGTCAAAAATTGCTAAGCAACAATTGATTGTTCATTTACACTAATCAATTAATTATTCAAACACGCTTCGATATTCAACGTTTTTCTTAAGTTGGAAAAATAATATTTTTCAAATCATTACCTGACCGACTTCAAATTCTTCTAAACTTTCGTTTGAATAAAGGTTTTCCGCTTCTTTAATTTACATTTTGAAAAACGAATTATCCAATAATCAACGTGGTATCCATAACAACATCAAAATAATAGCCAGCTATGTATTAAAATTCGCATCGGCACAATTCACACAGTCTTGCCGAAAATACTCAATATTTCGTTAAAAATAGTTTAGAAACTAAAATAGAATAAAACGTTGTATGTACCACGTGCATAATTGTCGATTGTGGCACTCGGGAAATTAAAAGCCCTCCTTCGTCGGGCTTTAAACATTCCCTCGTGCCACAATCTCCCTGATTATGCCCTTAATACATAAATAACTATTATTGCCCTACAGTTCCTAGAACCTCTTACAGAGCAATATTAATACTTATAAATAAACAAAAAATAAGATCGAACCGACGATTTAAATATTAATTAACACACAAAAAAAACATAAATCAAATCCTAAGTAAGTAACAAAAAAAAAAACTAAACTAGTGTCATTAATTTAACATGTTCCTCGCTAATTTCCTAAAATTTATTTCATTAAGGTAAAAGACATCCAAATCCTTAAACTTGTTATTATATAACATACAGATTAAATTAATTGGATATCTCAGTAATATATTTGTATGAGCTGCAGGAAAGTATAAAGACAATGCTCCTCTGCAACATAGCCGTGGAACATGAAATGAAATCTTTGCTAGTAACTCAGCACAATCAATTTTAAACTGAACGATTTTATGAAAGAACGTTATAATGGCGATTTGTCTTCTACTATCCAAAGATAGCATTTCAAATTCAGCTAACAAAATGGAATTATCAATTCCACGCTGCGGATAGATACCATGTTTTTTGAACCAACAAAATTTGAGAAATCTTCTCTGAACTGCTTCAATAGCACTTATATGAATGAAATAAATTGGATGCCAAATAATACATCCATATTGTAAACATGCAACAACATAAGAATTAAACAAAACCTTAATTGTTGAAATATTATTAAACGACTTACCTTGTCTTATTATAAAGCCTAATAATGAAAATGCTTTCGCTATTATATGATTAATATGATACACAAACGTTAACTTACAATCAAAAAAGATACCTAAATCTTTGATGACGCTTTCTCTAATTAGTGGGTCATTACCAAACTTATAATCATAAATTGTAGGAGAGGTCTTACGTGTAAACGATACTACTTTACATTTATTCACGTTCAAATATAGTTTATTGGAAGAACACCAAAAATTAAGTCGGTTTAAATCATCTTGCAGTAATTGTGCATCTTTGAAATCATTAATAACGTTATACAACTTGGCATCATCAGCATACAGTAGAAGGGGGCATTTTGATATAGTTGGTAAATCATTGATAAACATTATGAACAATAACGGCCCCAGATTGGCTCCTTGCGGCACACCAGAATGTATTTGATATGTAAAAGAAGAGAAACCATTGTAGAAGACATACTGAGACCTATGAGAAATATATGATTTTAAAAGATGTAAAACTAAACCTGTAATACCAAATGCTTCAATCTTAGATGTTAAAATTTTGTGATCAATGCGGTCAAAAGCTTTTGAAAAGTCTGTATATATTACATCCACTTGTGATTGGTTATCAATCTCTTCAGCAATAAATTGAGATATACATGCCAGGTTTGTGACAGTTGAGCGTTTATCAATAAAACCATGTTGTTGTGGTGAAATAAAGTTTCTCACATGAGGATATATGTAAGAGTATAAAATAATTTCAAGAACTTTGGAGAAATTACATAAGATACAGATCGGAGGATATTTTGAAACATCAGCTTTGTCTCCAGATTTAAAAACAGGTATAACTTTAGACAACTTCCATTTCGATGGAAAGACACCATTCTTGAGGGCGGTATTAAATATTGCTAATAAAGGCTGAATAAATACATATTTGCAGTCACGTACGAAGAAACTAGGTAATTCATCTGGACCGGCCGTAAATGAATTATTGAGACAATTTATGGCAGTAAGTATATCATGCTCAGTAATTTCTTTAATATAGAACGTTGGTGTGTTTAAATTGTAAGTATCATCTATATTGGAGTTATTGTCAGAAGATTGAGTATAAGAAGAATGAAAATAAGAGGCAAATGCATCAACAATATCAGAAGGAGTATTAAGGGAATTATCATTATAGATCATTCGACCAGGAATTCTGGTCAGACCTTTTTTAGATTGTACATATGACCAAAATTTTTTGGGGTCGTTCCTAAGATCAGTTTCTATATCCGCGAGATATTTTTTATGTGAAACAGCTATTTGGTTTTTTAGCAGTTTACGGTAAAATTTGAACTTTGAGTAATAAAATGAATTTTTATATTTTTTATATTTCTTATGATAATACAATTTGGATTTAATATTACTGATTATGTTACTATCAAACCATGGTGGGAATCTAGTTTTTTTGGAAATAGCTCTGTATGTTGGCACATGTTTGCTTAATATTTTATATAAATAGCTGTAAAAATGTTCTACTATGGTATCAGTGTCATTGAAATTACTTAAAAAAGACCAATCCACATTACAAAGTTCCTGATAAAGCAAAGGAAAATTAGCTTTACGAAAATTGAAAGACTTAGATTGACTTACATTATTATTTGGAAAAGAGTTTGTGCTATCACTTGTCAAATCAATTAAAACTGAGAGAGCTGGATGGTAAGAGTCTTCTACAACGATAGGAACTAAATCACGCATGACCTTACAATTAGTATTTGAGAAAACAAGATCCAGCAATCTATCACTAGATTTTTTGATGATGTTATACTGAGATAGATTCAAAAACTTACTAAAGTTGTTAAGTGTAAGAACAAGAGTATTATTTGTATCAGTAGTGTATTGTGGAATATTAAAGTCTCCTATTATAAACAAACTATCATCACCACTAAAGTTATCTTCAAAATAATTACAGAGTATAAGTAAATCATTATGAGAAGGTGTTCTTGGAAAATAGACAACAAATATATAGAATGGTAGTCTGTTTAGATAGCATTTACACCCTACAATCTCAACATTGATCAATTCATTAAGTAGATTAGTTAAATCAATATTTTCTACAGTGATAGAGCATTTTAATGCCAAAAGAACACCCCCACCTCTTGAAGTATTTAACTGATTATAATTACGATCACACCTATACACATTATATAAGTGAGGGGATATTATTTCTGAATTAGAGATAGAATCATTTAGCCATGTTTTAGAAATACAAATGATGTCAAAGCCAATGTCACTAGTGCCATTAAAAAAATCATTTACTTTATTCCGAATACTGCGCACATTTTGATAATATATTGAGACAATTGGAACGTAGGGAGACATTAGTTTAAATTATTGACCTTTGTAATACTAGGAATACCATTGAAAAACTTAATACGAAGATTAGCCTCTCCATTTGCAATTCTCTGATTTAATTCTTCTTTGATTCGACTAAAGTAGGCAATCTGTCTTGGTGTCCTATCCATTGAAACTTTTATATTCCTGAATTGGTCATCACTTTGAATTTGGGTACGATTAGATTTCAATTTATGGAAAAGTGTTTGTGCATGTTGAGCGTTGTCGAAACGAAGTTTTAAAGGTCGAGGATGTGGACGCGAAACATCAAGTCTACCTAGGCGGTTGCACTTAAAATCCATTGATATTATGGAATCATCAAGTCCATATGATGTTAAAAATTCAGTTATGCAACTCTTATCTTTAGCAGTTTTCTCAGAGGCAGCTAAACGGGCAGATTGTTCGGTTAATCCATAAATTATTAAATTGGCTTTACGATTTTGACGATCATTCACCTCGTGTATTATCTCCTCAAAATTCACATCAGTAAGTTTTTTTGCCTCAGAGAATTGAACCTTCAGCGATTCCACTGATTTCGCCATATCACTGATTATTATTTCTTTTAACGGTGGTATTAATTCACAACAATTACAAGTGCCATTAGGATCCTTTGATACGTTGATTTTACGGCAATCAGAACATTTCCATTCTATACCTTCAGTAGATTTTATTACGTCATACTGAGCTTTTGTTATTTCAGTACACTTGATGTGAGAAAATGTGTTACAAACTAAACATTTCAATCCCGGAACAGTAGGGGTAATTGACACCTTACATTTTGTGCACGCGGCAGGCATTATCTGACACAATTGGAACTTATTACTCACTTATAACTGGTAAAATTGTATTAGAATCACAGAGATATTTAAAACACGTCTACTCGATACGACCTCGGTAAAATTATTAAATCAATGAATGTATAACAAATACGTCAAATATAGAGTTGCCGGACAACAGATGGAAAGAAATAAACTCCATCAAAAACCTGTGAACTTACCACCATTTCTTAGTTTGTAGAATTTGCAAATTTTATTTAAAAATAAATGTTGTCTTTTAATTTTTGGTTATTTAAAGTGAACTTGTCACGTCCATCACAAAAAGTGTCATGTCCGTCCTAATCAATATTTGTACAAATCCAAAATTATTGCGTAAATGATGGGTATGACCCTTCAAATCTCAGAATTTTTTAACCAAAAATGATAGGTCAAATTGATCCTGCAGGTAGGTACAGAAAGTATCCCCTACACTGTATTATTGAAAATGTGTACATTGTACATTTTTAATGGCAATATGCATTTTTTTTTGATACATGAATGCAGTAAACATTTTGCATAGACTCTAATTAATAACCATTCAGATGTTGCGCAAAAAATTCTAATGACGCAAGTAAACGTCCCCACAGTAATTAGTTTTTTCACTTAGTAAAAACTCAAGAAGTTAAACCGGACACAGTTTGGTAGGTCGTCAAGAGTATCATATTAAAAAGACATTGCTTAAAAATTGTCGTGTCTTTATTACTTTTGCTATGCTAATCTGGATTTTTACTTGTTCTGTAATTTTTATCATCATTTCGGTTCTTTGGAAGGAGCGATGGTTGTTGTATCACGCTTGGAAAATTCCTAGACCATTCGCAGTACCCTTTGTGGGAAGTGCGTTCCTGTTATCGGTAACAAAAGATAGTAAGTGATAAAATTTAGTTTTTTTCCCATTTTAAATACTATCGAAATGTAACACATTTATTTATCAGATTTCTTCGACCTGATTTGTGGAAAGTTGTATTCCTGGAGACCAGTTACCAAATTCTGGGTAGGTTCCCAGTTGTACATAGCGACCACGAGACCGACAAATGTAGAAAAAATATTGAGAAACTGTCTAACCAAGTCTATGAAAATTTCAATGACATAATAATACCCTGCTGACCTCAAAAGGTACTAAAATTTCCTTAAAACACAGTCGTAAATTGTAAAATTCGCAGTCAGTATCTGGAAAGTACATCGAAAAATGATCAATCCCTCTTTTAATTCGAAGATCTTGAATTCGTATCATGATATCTTTGTCAGTTATTCGCGAGAAATGGTGAAGTTTTTAGATGACAAAGAAGGCGCCGAACAAACGAATTTCCTTCCAGTAATCTGGGAAAAAACACTTGATGCAGCTTTAGGTAAACAAATTGGGCGAGTTTGCTAAGATTTAAACAAATTTATGCGTAAATGTAAATGATATGTTTTTTATTGTTTTCGTTTTAACAGCAACTTTAACCAACGTAAAACCGCATGTGGTAAAGGAACGACAACGTATGATTACAATCACCGTGAAGTAATTCTTTGTTTCTGTTTAACAGTTTTGATCAATTTTGATTTCAGATTCGAGGAAATACTTATACAGAGATTTCATACGTTTTGGTTTCTCATAGATTTCTTTTGGAAATTGTCCGACTTACACAAGGAGCATAAAGTGCTTTGTCAAACTGCTCACGAAATTGCCGAAAACGTAGGTCTTATTAATTACGTCACAAAATTTTAACTCTTATTTTTGTCTTTCAGTTAATAGCAGAAGAGTACAAATCATATGAATCCGAAGACAGAAATGGTATGTATATAAAGTCATAAGTCATTTACTATTTATTTATTTTTTAACGATTGCTAACAGTTTTTTTGTTCAGATGACACTATTGAAAGTAAGCGATTTCTACCAAATTTGACTAAATTAAATCGAACCAAGCAGATCACCCGTGAAGAAATTTTAGAAGAAACAAGTTTTATGCTTATGGCGGCCAGCGAAACGGCAGCAATCACAATCAACACGGTTTTAACTATTTTAGGAATCTACTCAGACATCCAAATAAATCACGCAAAAATATTAATATCACGACAAAGAGGTTTTTTTAGGCAAGAGTTTATCAAGAACTCATCTCAGTTCTGCCAAACATGGAGAACAGTCCAACTCAGGATAAGCTCAATCATTTGGACTATTTAGAACGCGTTATTAAAGAAACTTTGAGACTAGTTCCCACAGGTCCTTTGATTTTGCGATATGCTGACGAAGACATTAAATGCGGTAATATATTTTAGAACGTGGATCCAAAGAATACATTTTTCGTGTTTCCAGATCTGTACGTTTTCCCTGCCGGTTCTAATCTTTTCGTACCTCTAGTGCTACTACACAGAGATCCGGAGATATGGCCCGAGCCGGAAAAATTTGATCCAAATCGGTTTCTTCCTGATGAAGTTGCAAAAAGACATCGTTGTTCGTACATCTCTTTTAGTTTTGGTGCCAGAAACTGTATAGGTCTGTATTTATTAGCACTGGCATTTTTTTTTACTTTGTCTTAGGTCTAAGGTTTGGAATGATGGTGGTAAAAGTAATGGTTGCGACGATTCTGAGAAACTACAAAGTACTAACTGTTGGTATGAAATGGAAGGACATCCACTGGGACTATATGGTTATACTGAAGGCTAAAGATAGTCGTTTACGTTTCGAAAAAAGAAAATTTTGATGACATATATCTTCCCAAATGTAAAAATTAACCAATGTATCGGTAGTTTTCTAACTATTTTTGTATATGTATTGTTACGTTGCTCGGGCGAATAAAATTGGCGTGGGTAAAACTCAACAATGTATTCTTAATAACTCGAATTACACGACTAACTATTAGGTACAGCGATTATGTACAAAAATTTCACTGGACGCTCTTGATTCAACTAGCTGAACAATCCGTTCCCGACGGTCGCCTCTATTTAAATCCAAACTTCTGCGATCGAGGTCTTTCTCGAATCCATCGCGACTGCCACTTCGAGATTTCCGGTAACCGGCTCCAGACTTGTCTTTATGCGCGGGCCGCTCGGGCGTCGATGAGTCACCCCTCATCGACACAGATACTAGAAAAACCCATAGGTAATGTTGTCTTTGTTATCTTTTATTAAAGCAATTTTTTGTAACACCTCACGTCAAATTTACGTGTCAAATAGTTGCCGAATTGTGAAAGAAAATTGGTCTAGTTTCAGTGTCTTAGCTAAAAAAATTAAAATATAAAGATATAAAACAATGGTCGAAATGCAGGTAAGTACAGAAAGTATCCCTACATCGCATTATTGTCGTTGCGAAATATGAGAAAAACATATAAAAATTCTGTGCGCCTTGCATAGAATTCGGACTCTAATTAATAACCATTTCGATGTTGTACAACATTCCTTGAAGACGCACTGTTGGAACAGGTTCGCATTGATGACGCACATAAAACTGCCAATTATATCAAGTTTTTTGGCCCAGTAACATTGAATCTTTGATTCATTAAATTAAATTAAATTACATACAGTTTAGTAGGTAAAAGAGTCTCACTTTTAAAACTGTAGTGTATTTACTACTTTTGCTATGCTAATCTGGATTTTCATTATTTGTGTGATTATTATCATCACTTCGGTTCTTTGGGAGAAGCGACGGTTGTTATATCACGCTTGGAAAATTCCTGGACCATACTCAGTGCCCCTCCTGGGAAGTGCGTTCCTGTTATCAGCAACAAAAAACAGTAATTAATTTTTTTATCCAACACCTCTTGATTATAAGGTCATAAAATTGCCGATTTTGAACACATTAGAAGGCCCATAAGTCACGACTTACCTTCATCATCAAATACTTTGTATTAGGTGCCTCTACTAGAAACTGTTGAATATGCTCTCTTTCAAGAACTTTTGCTTTCTTTGGCTTGTGATTTTTAGATTCGTTCTTCAAAAAAGCGATCAATCTGCCATATTGCGAAATATCAGCATTTTCGTGAAGCTTTAATGTCGCTCTTAACATGGAATATTTTGTCCACATTGAAGAGGCCGCAACTCTTTTGCTGACGTTAAGAAGTAACCCAACACAACGTCTTCGCTTACACCAGAAACATTATTTTCTTGCTTCCAGTTATTGAAGTAATTTAATTCCTTGTAATAAGCGTCTCTGGATTTCTTCGGTAACAAACTGGATGTGGCTTCTTCAACATCTTTCGCAATACTTTCCGGAAGAGCACGTTTTCTTTCCATTTGGATAAATATGACGAGTGCAGAAGCCGTATTCTTTTTCAAAAATTTTCTCAATTTGACGTAAACAAACAATTTGTCGTGGCAACCACACGGTAACTAATTCATAGGCTACCAGCTTTTAACGATATTGAATTTTTGGGATTTTCATGATGCTTTAAGTACTGTTACTGAAGGAGGTGTTGGATAAAACTATGTATCACACTCGTGTCTTAACAGTAAATAAGTCGCTTAAGAAAAATTAGGCCACTCGAGCAAGCTCTCGTGGCTAAACATTTCTTTCGCGACTTATTTGCCTTATAAGACACTTGTATAATAAATAGCTATTTTAATTGTCTTATAATAAAAACACGCGAAGTGGTTGTCATCAATAATCTCCTATAAGGGGGGCGTCTGGGCGCCAATTTTATCACTTTAAAATATCCTTTCTAAAACTCCGAGAGGTGCTGTCGCCTGGTGAGTTATTGAAAACATCGGTAAAGCTCTTCATCAATTTAATGGTGAGCTAATGCAAATCCCACCATAGGGATCGCTTAGATTCACCACAAGAAATAGCGAACGCTTTTTCTAGTCATTTTTCAAAGTCTTATGTTCAATCTTCAGGTGGTTATCAGGGTCAGTCTTCAGACTCTCACATTTTTGCAGGTGTTAGTGTACGAACAATTTCTGAAAGTCAAATACTTAAAGCTATAAAGAGACTTAAACCGACGTTTTCATCTGGTGATGACTGTATACCTTCATTTTTTTTGAAAGATTGTGCCAATGTATTAGTGACTCCACTTCGGAAACTTTTTAATTTAGTAATTGATACGTCCATCTACCCTGTAAGTTGGAAAGTTGGAAGAGTATGTGCCATATTTAAATCGGGAGACAAAGACAAGATTGAAAATTGTAGACCTGTAACAATTCTGTTCAACATCTCTAAGGTCTTTGAATCTATATTATATAAACACATTTATTATAACGTGAAGAATATAATTTCAGAAGAGAGTATTGAATCTGTCCAAAGGAAATTTTTAAAATATCTATGGTTTAAAGAAAGTGGTTCTTATCCCGTTTAGAGAATTGATAACAGTATTCTGTGTAACGCTTTTAATTTTACATCTCTTTCGGACAGACGAACACAGTATTTTGTTGTATTCTTACATAACCTCCTGCATAATAAAATCATATCGAACGAATTGATGTCATCGATATCCTTTAATATGCCACTAACAAATCTAAGATCTTTCAGAACATTTTACATACCTAAAGCGTCAACTAATATCTTATTACGGTCGCCTATTTATAAAATGTGTGATACTTTCAACATGCTAATGAATAACTACGATATTCACTTGATTAAAAAAAAAAGATATTATGATTGCATTACGCAAACACTTCTGCACAAATACACTTACATAGTTCTCTGTATGAGATGAGTGTGATTTTCAGCACTCTTGTGTTGTCTCTGCCTTTATATATTCTATTTCTGTTGTCTTTTTCTTTTCATTTACGCTGTCTGTGAGTGGCGTGAATTGTATTTTTTCTCTTCATATATTTCTGGTTTGCTATTTTGTAGACCCTTTAAGTGGACTTTAGTCTGTTGGGTCTTTATAATAAAAAAAAAGCAAAAAGCATTTATTTCGTTTAAATTGACCTACAATAATCGTCATATTGGATAAAATAATTCAATTTGAGTCGTTCAGTGATTACTGAGTGAGGCAGTGCGAGTTTGACGGGCTCCCAGGACATGTCACAATGCTGCCGATGGGGTTTAGAGGAAGACCAGCTGCTCGAAGTTTTCATCTCGGGCTTTTTGGATACGGCCTGAGTGTAGTTCGAGATGACTCGTTTGACGGGGTCGCGTACTATGACGAATGAATGGATCAATTTGTGCATTTATTCCGTTTAATTTGTCCTAACAATAATCATCACATCACACTGGATAAAATAATTCAGTTTGAGTTGTTCGTTGATTTCTGAGAATAATTTCTAATTTCACTTTGACATTTGGATTTTGCATGGTTAATCCAAAGACGCGATCGCCGAACTTCGGCGGTGCGACGGAACATTTCGCAACAAATCGGATCGGGCGCGAATTTCAAAATACGATTTTTAAAGCCTTTTTACAGTAAATGAGCGCGATGCAACGATTTGAAAAAAATACTGGCCGATAGCCCTCTTCGACCTCCACAAAGGCATCACTCAATGATAACTTTTAAGTGATCTGGGGAGATATTATAAAATAAAAACCAATTTGACATGTTAATTCTCTATGTCCAGAATTGGATGCGGCACCCTGTATACAGTATTACTTAGTTTTTTCAAATCGAACATCCTATATATTTTACATATTATGGTTGATCTCTTCTTAGGGTTTATAGCCACAGTTCATTTTTGAAATTTCTATGGGACGTTGCACCGTTATTCCAATTTTATAGAAATGTTTTAGCTTTGCAAGGTTTCATAAAAAAAAAATTAGGGTTATTTTTTAAATCTGTGTTATTTTGTGGAGAGATAAATAAAGATACGCGCTTTGCGCCATATAAATAAAATTGGGTTTTAATATATACAGGGTGTTTGTAGAACTTTTTCACTTTCAGTTTTTTCAAATAGAACACCCTAGAACAGAATAAGATGCAGTAATAAAATACAAGCTGTTCTATTTGAAAATTCTAGAATTGTTTGATTAAGAAGGTTATGTAGAATCTTCAGCTCAAAGAAAAATGCTAATTGCAAAACAGATTTTGACCGATAATGAATAATATGAAAATAATAAAAATATATGAAACATAATCCTTTTATATAACTAGAGAGTGCATGTTATTAAAATTTTCTTTTTTCGAACCGTAAACGACTATTTTTAGCCTTCAGCATAACAATATAGTCCCACTGGATGTCCTTCCATGATTTCATACCAACAGTTTGTACTTTGAAGTCCCTCAGAATCGTCGCGACCATTACTTTTACCACCGTCATTCCAAACCTCAGACCTAAGACAAAAAATACAAAAAAACACTACTGCTGACGAATACATACCTATACAGTTCCTGGCACCAAAACTGAAGGGAATGTACGAACAACGATGTCTTTTTGCAACTTCATCAGGGAGAAACCGATCTGGATCAAATTTTTCCGGTTCAGGCCACACATCCGGATCTCTGTGTAGTAGCACCAGAGGAACGAGAAGGTTAGAGCCGGCAGGGAAAAGATAAGGATCTGGAAAAACGAAAAGTGGATTTTTTTGGATCCATCTTCTAAAATATATTACCGCATTTAATGTCTTCCTCAGCATATCGCAAAATGAAAGGAATTGTGGGAACTAGTCTCAAAGTTTCTTTAACAACGCGTTCTAAATAATTCAGACGATTGAGTTCTTCCTGAGTTGGACTGTTCTCCATGTTTGGCAGAACTGAGACCAGTTCCTGATAAACTCTTTCCTAAAAGAGCAACTTTATCGTAATATATATGTTTTTGTGTAATTTACCTGAATGTCTGAGTAGATTCCTAGAATCGTTAAAACCGTGTTGATTGTAATTGCTGCCGTTTCGCTTGCCGCCATAAGCATCAAACACGTTTCATCTATAATTTCTTCACGGGTGATCTGCTTGGTTCGATTCAGTTTAGTCAAATTTGGTAGAAATCGGTTACTTTCAGAAGCGTCATCTGAAACAAAAACCTGCCACCGAGTCGAATCATATAAGCAATCAACAAACGATTTGCATATTTTCTGAACATAACTGTAATATGATAACAGTTATTAAGTTGCCTTTCAGAAATATTAAAAAAGCTGGCGGATGGTTACTGGCCACACCTTTAACACAAAGATTGCGATCTTATTGCATTTTTTTTTTTCAGAAGTTTAATCTGATGTTTGCGGGCGTTTGCCACTATGAAATATGTACCTATATACATTTTTTTTACCAGTTCTTCAATACTAGAAATAATCACATCGTAATTATCTGGTACATTATTATTTCTCGATGTACTTTCGTCCGGTATACATTTTTGCAATATTTTTCTAAAAACGTGTCGAAACAAGGGTCTTTCAACTTTTTAAAGAAAATATTGGCACTGATCATCGCATTGGCACATGTTATTTAAAAAATAAAATATATCCCTCAATTTAATCAGAATTCTTAGATGACTTTTTGAAAAATGAAAATTCCCATTATGTATTCGTATTAACTCCCTTATGCAAATTTCGACCCATTCTCGACGATTTCGAAATTTAACTAAATATTTCCATGTAGATTTAGGGCCGCAGAAGTCACTTCTGGTTTCACTTCTTCGATAACTTAAACCGTTTTTCCAAAATCGTCCATTGAAATATCGCAATTCTTAAAAGATTTCAAAAAATTAGAATTTCACACCGAATTTTCCGAAAATATTGCTCCGTTACCATAAATATGCTATGTTTTTGGAATCAGCGCGTCGGAAATATATATGTATCTGAGTTTTTTCAGAGTACTTGTCAAGATGAGACTGATTTTGGCAAATGACATATTCTCTAAGAAAATAAGGGAGGGTGGGCAGGCGGGGTTAGCACTTCTTGCTAAAAATAAAAAAAATTGAAAATCAAAAAATGACAAATTGAAAAATCGGATAAATGAGAAATCGGAAAATTGTACAAGTGTATAGTCGGAAAATCAAAAACTGAAATATCGAAAAATTGTAAAAAAAAAACAATTCTTATATAAAATCGAATTCGAAATTCCAGTTTTCATTTTTTTTTTTTAGTTTTTAGATTTTCCAACTTTAGAATATTTTATTTGATAATTTGTTTGGCAATTTTGCAGCTTTTAATTCCAATCTTTTGACTTTTCAAGTTTTAACTTTACAATGTTTGAATCTTTTAATTTTTAATTTTTCAAGTTCTCAGGTTAAAGATTTTCCTTTTCACGATTTGTCGTTTTTCGATTTTTTAACTAAAAGAACAAATTTATTCGAACCGAAATTTTGAAAAATTCAAAATTAGAAACAAAATTTTCAGATGTTTTAAAGTTACGGTAAACATGGCAAATCGCTGATCAAAATTACTCTTTACTTCGTTCCAAAAACTCGGTGACAAAAAATCAAAAATTGAAAATTTAAAAAAATAAACATCTATTTTCTCGATATTTTTAAAAATCAAATAATTGAGAAATCGGAAAACTGCCAAAATTGCAAAATTAAAAAATTGAAAGTTTTTTTCAGTCGCCCAGAGAAATCAAAAATCGAAAGACGCATTACAAAATTGAATATTTAAAAAGCGAGAAATTGAAGCATTCAGCAGTTGAAAAATCGAAAAACTGAAAAATTTAGTAGTAATCATTACGATAAGACTGATTTTGGCAAAAGACATATCCTCTAAGAAAACAAGGGTGGGTGGGCGGGGCTAGTACTTGTCAAGATAAGGCTGATTTTGGCAGATGACATATCCTGTAAGAAAACAAGGGTGGGTGGGCGGGGCTAGCATTTTTTCTTAGAAGAGTAGGTCATTTGCCAAAATGAGTCTTATTTTGGCAAATACTAGCCTGGCCTACCTGCCTTTTATTTCCTTAGAAGCTAGGTTATTTGGAAATTACTAGCAAATTTCGACCCATTTTCGACGATTTTCGAAATTTAACAAAATACTTTAGATTTCAGGGCGCAGAAGTCACTGCCGACCTCATTTCTTCTTTAACCTTTTTTCCAGAATTAGATAATTAATTCAGTGCACTGAAAATCAGTTTTTAAAAATTCCAAAAAAATCCAAAAAAACACCTATAGAAAAAAGGATCTTGCGTCATTTTTGCAAGCCGCTGCATGTTTTCAAGTTCAGTTCGGATTAAAGAGATATCGACTTCAACTAGCCTCTGTTCGGATTACTGGATGTTCGGATAATCGTGGGTTCGGATTATAGAGGTTATACTGTATTTATTTAGAAAAATACCAGAAAAACCAAACAGATGTTCAGATGTTCTTAGACTTTATTATTTTATAATGAAACCTGAACATGCTCGCTGCGCTCGCATTATAAACGTTGTTTTTTTTTTAAGTTTAGCGTCGTTAATATTTAAAAAAGTGATCTAGCGAAATTGTTTGGTCTCAATTGTTGGGTTTCAATTATAGCAAATAATAAATGTCTTGATTTTTTGAAAAATACACCCATAGAATACGAGCGCAGCGAGCACTTTCAGATCTTTCCAATTTTAGTAATTAAATGTAAGTCAGTGATTAAGAAAGAACCTCAGCCAAGTTGCCTAGGCTTTGTTGAAAAAATAAATCTCTTATTGTTTTAATTAATTAGTGAAGTTCAACTATAGTAAACAATAAATAAATCTCTAGATTTTTTAAAAATACACCCTTGGATGCGATTACAGAGAGAACGTTCAAATGTCTCCAACTTCAGTTATCGCTATTGTTTTTTTTTTTATTATTATTATTTACTTTTTGTGTAGACGATAAATGCGTGTTTATTGTAACCGAGTCCGTCAGCCAACTCCAGGGGATATGTTATTTAGTAATGTCACTCTTAACTTGGTAAGTACTATCCCCGCCCACCCTCCCTATCTTTTTTTAGAGGGTATGTCGTCTGCCAAAATCAGTCTTATCTTGGAAAGTACAAACCCCACCCACCCACCCTGTTTTTTCTTGGAGAGTATGTCATCTGCCAAAATCAGTGTTATCTTGGAAAGCACTAGCCCCACCCACCCACCCTATTTTTTCTTGGAGAGTAGGTCATCTGCCAAAATCAGTGTTATTGATTTAATTGATTTATCTGATTTATCCAACGGGCATAGCCCACATAGGATATACAACGAAAAGAAAAAACAAAAAAAAATCCTAATACAATAAATTATAACTGACAAATAACTTACACCATATTACAAATTACCAGACAGTGCTAATTTTGCTTTAATACCAAAAACACTTCGTTATCTTGGAAAGTACTAGCGCCACCCACCCACCCGTTATTTTTTTAGAGAGTATGTCATCTGCCAAAATCAGTGTTAACTTGGAAAGTATATTTTATATTTCTATAAAATTGTATATACTGAGCGACAATCTGTTAAAAATAAACGTCTATATAACGATAAATTTTAAGAAATTGTAAATGACTTATGACTTTATAAACATACCATTTCTGTCTTCGGATTCGTATGATTTGTATTCTTCTGCTATTATCTGAAAGACAAAAATAAAAGTTAAAATTTTGTGACATAATTAATAAAACCTACGTTTTTGCCAATGTCATGAGCAGTTTGACAATTCACTTCATGCTCCTTGTGCAAGTCGGATAATTTCCAAAAAAAATCTATGAGAAACGAAAACGTATGAAATCTCTGTATAAGTATTTCTTCGAATCTGAAATCAAAATTGACAAAAAATTGTTACACAGGAACAAAGACTTACTTCACGGTGACTGTAATCATACGTTGTCGTTCCTTTAATACATGCGGTTTTACGTTGGTTAAAGTGGCTGTTAAAACAATAGTGGATAGAATTAGCAAACTCGCCAAAGTTGTTTACCTAAAGCTACATCAAGTGTCCTTTCCCAGATGGCTCGAAGGAAATCCGTTTGTTCGACGCCTTCTGTGTCACCTAAATACTTCACCATTTCTCTCGAATAATTGACAAGGACATCGTGATACGAATTCAAGATCTTCGAATTAAAAGAGGGATTGATCATTTTTCGATGTTCTTTCCAGATACTAACTGCAAATTTTACAATTTATGACTGCGTGATAAGGAAATTTTAGTACCTTTTGAAGTTAGCAGGGTGTCTTTCACTATGTCGTTAAAATTCTCGTAGAAAGGTGACTTGTTTAGACAGTTTGTCAATATTTTTTCTACATCTGTTGGTCGTCCGGTCGCTATGTACAACTGGGGGCCTACCCAGAATTTGGTAACTGGTCTCCAGGAGTCCAGCTTTCCACAAAGCAGGTCGAAAAAATCTGATAAATAAATGTGTTACGTTTCGATAGTATTTAAAATAAAAAAAAAAATTAATTACTGTCTTTTGTTGCTGATAACAGGAACGCACTTCCAACGAGGGGCACTGAGACGGGTCCAGGTATTTTCCAAGCGTGATATAACAACCATCGCTTCTTCCAAAGAACCGAAGTGATAATAATAATCACACAAAGAATGAAAATCGAGATTAGCATAGCAAAGGTAGTAAATACACGACAGTTTTAAAATGAAACTCTTTAACCTACTAAACTGTATCTAATTCAATTTAATGAATCAAAGATTCAATGTTACTGGGCCAAAAAACTTGATATAACTGGCAGTTTTACGTGCGTCATCAATGCGAACCTGTTCCAACAGTGCATCGTCGAGGAATGTTGTACAACATCGAAATGGTTATTAATTAGAGTCCGGATTATATGCAAGGGGCACAGAATTTTTATATGTTTTTCTCATATTTCGCAGACACAATAATGCAATTGTAGGAATACTTTCTGTACTTACCTGCATTTCGACCATTGTTTTATATCTTTATATTTTAATTTTTCAGCTAAGACACTGAAACTGAACCAATTTTCTTTCACAATAAACCTCCTGTCAGAGGATTTTCAATTAACAACTTATTCTAAATTTGCATTTTTTTTTTTGCAACAGAACTCTATCATAGATACCGTGCTTGCAAATAGTTGACATAAGGACAACATTACCAACTACCGTCCCATTTCCCGGTGGGTTTTTCTATTAATATTATTATTATTAATATTAATATTATTATTTTATTGACGGATAACTCCAATTACAATAATAGTACATAAAATAAATATACAAGTATACAAACTTAAACTGCTTAATTAATTCATCTTAACAATAAGAAAAATAAGCAATAGAAATGAGAAGAGATAAAAATATATATATTTATAATGCCTAAAATCAGAAGACATAAGTAAAAAAATTGGTCTAAAGAGTTTAGACAGTACTTCCCTCGCTGTCGCAAACTTGACGACTGCATGCCTATTGTGTTTTTTTTCTCATTACATTTTTGTAGTGGGAATTTAAAAAAAAAATGCGATGACGTCATCAACATTTTTGCAAGGACACTTATATCAGTTGGGATAGATGTAGTGTAATACTAAGAATAAAATTATTATATTCTCAAATTTTCGGGAAAATGAATTGGGTCGTTTTGAATATTGATTTGTAATAATCAATAAAATAACGAAACAATTTACTCACGTATACGTATCAGAGGCAACTGAAAATCGTGTATGTATAAACATTCTTAATTTAAGATGACAGGCGTAACAGCATACGTGAGAGTCAAACAGAGAAACTGTAAACAAAACGACCATCGGTTTTATTGCTTCGACTTCCGCTTATTATATAAAACATTGGGTTTTATTTTAATTCTTGACGGTGAAATTCACAATTGGTTGATTATAAACATGTCTATTTCACATTCGCGGAACCAAGTGAGCGCATAAAACAAATGCAGGTCTGTAATGTTAAAGACGATGCAAATAAGCGTGCTACCCTTATGTTTCAACCGAGTTTTTCCTTTAACAAATTTTGTGTCTACCAAATTGGGTTGGTTGGGGTGTTATACTAATAATAAGTGTTGCCTTTAATTTAATCAATAAAATAAATTGACTTCATTAATTTTTTTGAACCACCTCTTAAGAAAATCTAAAAAATATGAATGGAATGATAAATCACAAGTACAAACTCATCATATTTTTTGCATTTTAGATAGGATTTATTCAGCAAAATTTAAGGGTGACGTCATCAATTTTTTTAGGAGGGATGAACAAATACATTTTGAACAAAAGTTTACCATGCTTATAATAACTTTAAAATATTCCCAAGATTTCAAAGCATTCGGTTTTCTAATTCCTGATTAAATCGATAAAATAAATTCACGCCTTCATTAATTTTTTTGAGTCACCCTGCATATGCAAATCCAAAAATATGATTGGAATGATAAATCACAAGTACAGACTCATCATATTTTGTACATTTTAGATACGATTTATTCGGCAAACGTTATGCTCTTTATAACCTTAAAACATCTGCAAGATTTCAAAGCATTCGGTTTTGTAGTTCCTGATTAAATCAATAAAATAAATTTACGCATTCATTAATTTTTTTGAGTCACCCTGTATATGCAAATCGAAAAAATTTGAATGGAATGATAAATCACAAGAAGAGACTCACCATATTTTGTACATTTTAGGTAGGATTTTTTCAGCAAAATTTTGTGGTGACATCATAAATTTTTTAGGGGGGACGACCAAATACGTTTTGATCAAAAATTTACCATGCTTATGATAATTTTAAAATATCTTCAAGATTTCGAAGCATTCGGTTTTGTAGTTCCTGAGTAAATCAGTAAAATAAATTTACGCTTTCATTTATTTTCTTGAATCACCCTGTATATGCAAATCCAAAAAATATGAATGGAGTGATAGATCACAAGTACAGACTGATCATATTTTGTACATTTTAGATATGATTTATTCGGCAAATTTTCGAGCTGACGTCATCAAGTTTTTGGAGGGGATAAGCAAATATATTTTGACTAAACATTTATTATGCTCTTTATAACCTTAAAACATCTGCAAGATGTCAGAGCATTCCGTTTTGTAGTTCCTGATTAAATCAATAAAATATGTTTACGCATTCATTAATTTTTTTGAGTCACTCTGTATATGCAAATCCAAAAAATATGAATGGAGTGATAAATGACAAGTACAGGCTCATCATATTTTGTACATTTTAGATATGATTTATGCGGCAAACTTTCGAGCTGACGTCATCAAGTTTTTGGAGGGGATAAGCAGATATATTTTGACTAAACATTTATTATGCTCTTTATGACCTTAAAACATCTGCAAGATTTCAGAGCATTCGGTTTTGTAGTTCCTGATTAAATCAATAAAATATATTTACGCATTCATTAATTTTTTTGAGTCACCCTGTATATGCAAATCCAAAAAATATGAATGGAGTGATAGATCACAAGTACAGACTCATCATATTTTGTACATTTTAGATATGATTTATTTCACAAACTTTTGAGCTGACGTCATCAAGTTTTTGGAGGGGATAAGCAAATATTTTTTGACTAAAGATTTATGATGCTCTTTATAGCCTTAAAACATCTGCAACATTTCAAAGCATTCTGGTTAGCAGATTAAAAATTAAATTTCAAAATGTTGTTTTATAATTTTGATTTTTTTTCCAAAAATCTGGACGTTTCGGGTGGAAAGTCGATTCAGAGTTGTAAACTACATGTGTAGGACTATGTTATTTTATACAATTGAAAACCCATTTACTATGTACAATTTTGAAGTGACGTCATCGCATTAGTGGTGGGGATGATTAGACAAATTTTGGTTAGCGTTTTACCATCTACATGATATTCTTAATATAAGTACAAAATTTCACAACAATCGGTCGAGTACTTTCGGAGATTATCTGTCTAATAAAAATCCGGGACAACAGACGGACAGACGGACGGACAGACAGACGGAAAAGGGGAGACCTATTTCTTCGTCTTCTAGGGGTCATGAAAGATCGAGAAAACGTAAAAGTAGAGAGTCGGCCGACGGACTCGATTACAATACTTCCTTTGCTTACGCTCGGGAAGTAAAAAAATAATAGAATTCTAAACTAAAAATTGTGTCGGAAATAATCGCTTTAGTTTTCTTTTAAACTCGTGTTTACCACTGTTGAATAATACGAAATCATTATATTTATTCAGATGATTTGCTGTCTCCACCATTCTTAAGATAGGATGATTCTTAGTTTTGTTGGTACTAGATACAGAAATTCTGAACGTCACTGAACTACGCGCAATACGACTATTGGCTGCAGGAATTAAGAACGTTAACTTACTTAACAATAAGGAATTGTCAATGTTACCATTATGAGACCATGGAGAAAGCAAATATCCGACATACAACGCCTATCCTCTAAAGAATTTATATTGAGATAACTACAAATGCAAGTGTAATCACCCTGATGATGACCACGATTAAGTTTAAATTCAATCAAACGAAGAAACTTTTTTTGAACTTTTTCTAGTAGATCACAGTCAACTCTATAATATGGATTCCATACTGAGGAACAATATTCAAGATGAGAACGCACAAATGAAATGTACAACAATTTAATGGACCACTGAGATAAATCACAAAATGACGCCAAATGAAGCCTAACATTCTAATTGATTTATTATAAATATGATAATAATGTTGCTTGAATGTAAGGAATGAATCAAAAATAACGCCAAAATCCTTGATTTCTTTCACACGAGCTATGACAGATCTTTCTAACTGATAATTAAAAGTTACCAATGATTTAGAGTTGAGGAAAGAGATCACACCCAGTAAACACAGTTGCGTCGTAGCGATGTTAATGCCACTTAACTCTGTCTACGATCTTGTTAGCTGTTACATACCAAACTGCGTACATTTGCTTTCCCTGTGCTATGTAATGTAATCAACAGTGACCCATGCTTGTAACATACTGGTGACATCCACATTGTTTCAGAGTAGAGACGTGCTCGCTGGTACATCATCATAACGTTGTGTTAGTATGTCGCTAGATTCTCTATATTTTGATGTATCTGTTACGTTTTATTTTAAACGCCAATATAACGTATTAAATGGACATAGACGTTACGTATATATCGCAACATCGTAAACATATAACTCTCAGTATATTTTATTAACATGATCTATGCGATATGAATAGGCATTTCAAAAAGTCTAGTTACCATTTAGGGATATGGATATGGAGAGTAAAATTTAGAGCTTACAGTAAATTATTATTTTATTCAATGTTTGAAAAAATAAAATATGTAATAAGTAATAAAATACAAAAATTAATACAAATTCATAATATAAATAAATAAATATATATATATGATTTCCTAATTCGAAAATAATACAATATAATTTACACTTAAAAAATACATAGAAACTATAAACTGTCGTTGTTTTTTCTTTCTTCAGGCGTTGACTAGAATGCCTTATCCACTCTAAGCAGCGTTGTTCTACTTCTTTTTCTATTGCGGAATGGGTCTTCATTGTAATTTCTTCAAAAATAAAAATTGTAATAATTATATTTATTGCAAAAAAAAATACCTTTCATAATATTCATTGTTCTTGTCCTAGCCATTTTGGAATTTTCCTACCGAACAAACAAGCTACAGTAAATTCGCTGATTTTTTTTTTTAAATACACGCCCCACATTGTTCTTTTTCCCGTTACCACCTATCTGGGACAATAGCAGTTCCTGAAATAAGAAAAGAAGAAAATATTTTTATGTGTATATATCGAGCGACTCTGAAATAAGTTCGGAAAATAAAACCACAACATCATGAAGTAGAGAAAATTTTAAGTAATTTCTTTTATCTAGTCCTAATTCAGGGGAAAAAATATCAAGATCTACACCTCATTCAGTGCCATTTGTTTTCATCTAAACAACACACAGCAAAAATAAAGAAAAAATTTAGTCACAATGGAAACTGAATAAATCATTGCCGCATCATTTACATTTAACAAGATGTTCCGTATTTGTTTCTTGAAACTGGAGAAGCAATTTAATTACTTTGAATCCGTGTGACAATTAAAGGATTTTTTTTCCGAATCTATTTGGAAGTCACCGCGTATGTATAACATACAGGGTGCTTCACTATAAGACTTTTCTGCAACCCACTATGTATGTAACGTGTTAAGCGAAATGTGTCATGTTTAGTAGGTTCCTAAAAAGTGTTATAGTATTACAGGCATCTACCTGTATATAATATCCAAAATTATGTTATATGTAAGTACATATAAATATATTTAGTCCAGTCATTTTAGCATAAAAAAGGGATCAACCTCGGAATGAGAGACAATAAGCTGAATTTTTGTATACGCCTTAATTTTGGCGTTCTAAAAGTTGTCTCAAAAGTCTCATAAAATCTCGTGTCTGCGTCGTAAGTTATTCAAGGTCAAAGGTCAAGAAAAACAGTTTTTTGCAATTATCTCAGTTTCTATTGCTCCAATGATGTTAACAATTATTATCATAATTGTAGGGCACAAAATTTGGGACAAATTTTATTTGAAATATTTTTTCATGCGCTCAATCGTTTTTGAGATAGAGGACAGTGAGCGCGTAGCGCTCGTCCATACGTACTGTAATGCAATCAACTGAATATCTGTGAATACTACCTTGAATTTTGAATAATTTGTATTATTAATCAATTAATACATTGTCTTTAATAACATTTTACATATTTTCAATATATTCATAGAATAATACTTACCTAAGTACTTTGTGTAATTAAAAACTCATTTAATGAAATATTTATTGTATATCTCAATTTATTTATATCTTTAAAATGTGTAAGTTTTTAAATACTTATTTTTCTATCATGATTATAACTGGAAGGTCTGGAAACAACAATTCAGGGCACCGAAGATGACGACGATGAAACAGAAATTCCCGAACGTCCAGAAGATGACGGTGAAGAAGAAGAAAATTGATACTTTTGTTCTTTAAATTATTAAAAATTTATAGATTTTCACTGCAATTCAATTTCAATCGTGAGAAATGTACAGCTGCTGAATAAAGATAAAATTAAAATATATTAACTCGTTTTACTTACTTCCTTAAAATTTACTTTGAAAAAATTAATATAACTTTAAGATATATAATAATCTAACCTAAGATATACCTACAATAAATATGTCACTTAAAGAGTTCTTAATTATACAAAGTAGGTAAGTATCATTAAATAAATGTATTGAAAATATGCAAAATGTTATTAAATGCAATGTATTAACTCATAAATAATACAAATTTTTCAAAATTCAAGGTAGTATTCACAGATATTCACGGTTGATTGCATTACAGTATGATTGGATGAACGCTGCGCGCCCACTGCCCTCTATCTCAAAAACGATTAAGTGTATCAAAAAATGTTTCAAATAAAATTTGTCCCAAATTTTATGCTCTACAATTATGATAATAGGTGTTAACATCATTAGAGCAATAGAAACCGAGATAATCGCAAAATAATGTTTTTCTTGACCTTTGACCTTGAATAACTTACGACGCAGTCACGAGATTTTATGAGACTTTTGAGAAAAACTTTTAGAACGCTAAAATGAAGGTATATACGAAAATTCAGCTTATTATCTCTCATTGCGAGGTTGATCGCTAATTTGACTGAACTAATTGTATTTTTTTAACTTACAAAGAAACCTGGTTGTTGTAGTAGGCAGAGATAATCTTCTAATTCCTCAAAATTTGTTTATCTGTGGTCTTGGCGGCATATCTTCTATTACTGTTTTCTCTTTGATTTGTCACATTTGATGACGTTTTCATATTGGAGATTTGTTCACTCGTTTCCTTTAAAATTTCTTTTGTTTCGCACATATTTTTTGTATTTGTTTCAAGTCTAGAGTAAAATTATGTTCATTAGCACCTAGTTCATAAAAAATTGCAGTAACATACCTTTGCAACATGTTATGGCAAAGCGCCTCACTTTCAAAAACAATCACCGTAAGTTCTTCAAAATCAGCGGGAGTATCTTCAGTGATTAATGGTGGTATTTCCAGCTTGTCTGAAAAAACTGTTGTTGTTATTTACGTACAGTTATCAAAAACAACAGAAGCATGTAAAAATTAAAATGATTACTTCATTAGAATTATATTAACTTACCTAGTGTAAATTCAACCCACACAATTTTCACAAAACTGCATTAAAAATGAAGTGAGTTACGGATTTACGAGAAAGGTTCGGTGGTTGTGACCCAAATGGCCAAATGGAATTCGACAGCTTCACTGTGAGTGTGAAGTGCAATAACCATAAATATGGAAAAAAGGGATCGTCCGACTCATAGACAAACCAAACTAACAAAGGTCCGACTGCACCCCCCAAACATCTGGTGGATAGTAAATGCAGAAGTTGAGCGTTATTTTTTCATTAGATAAAATAAATTTAATAAAATCAAAATTAACCACTCTCTAGTTTTTTTGCTACCCATCATCGCTTTATAAACGTCTTTATAAAATCAAAATTCGACGAATGAACTCTTCAAAACCTTGTCCCGTTTCAGGGACAATGGGCAAAGAATTTTTATGGCTTTGTTTGTGTCGTTGGGTCTTCCCTATATTACCGCAGATGTTTAAGGTGACCAGACGTTCCGATTTGATCGGAAGTGTACCGATTTCAATACTCTAATAATTCCGATTTCAAATTTCGTCCAATAAATGTTCCGATTAAAACATTCGTTCCGTGAATGTTCCGATTTCTATAAATCTGATAAGAATAAAGATAAATCCTCGGATAAATCACTAATTTTCATGAATAGTAATTTTATTTTGTGAAAAATTGGGAACAAAACTTGTGTCGATACGGTTGTCAGCACTGTTTTAAATGTCAGCAAATGTCAGTACTGTTAGTATATTACAACTAAAAATTTTCAAAGCAGTTATATATCAGATTACGATGGAAATGGAAACTAATGTTCCGATTTCGGACTTTTGAAATCTGGTCACCTTACAGATGTTCTATTTATCATTTGCCAAGCAGGTACTTACAAAATAACATTTCAAGTAAACAAGTTTACAGAAATAATTCTTAGAAATTATTACAATGAAAAGAACTTGTCTTTGGTATATTTCTAATAAAGCCGTTGTATTTTTCGCTCTGAATATAATTATTAATTAATCATTACGAACTCACTGACGAAGGTCACTTTTTAAAGAATACGACGACCCACATCTAATTGACCATATAATCTTTAACAATAAATTTCAAATAATACCATAGTGGTTTTTTTAAATTTTGATAAGGTGTTGTAAAACTATTTCTGTTTCTGTTTTCATTTCAGGTACCTACTGTATTTACGTGGGCAAAGGATGCCGTTCGTGGGATTTTAGGGGCGGAAACGTATACCTGCTTAAATACTGTAAATACAGTGGTGTCGAACGAAGACAACAACAGAAACATACCCGATGAATTGGTTATTATTAGAGAGCGGATTTTATGAAATTTGCATATCCGTTATTTTTTGCATATAAGTCTTGATATTTAATATGTGAACGAATCATGCTAATTAAAAATGAATACGGCTATAAAAAAATTGCATATTTGCATATATTTGCCTTCTGCTGCATATTTCACGTAACGGGTCCATATTTTGTATTTTTATCAATTTTTGTGCTACTTTGAAAAAAAAAAGCCATTCGATCGGCATTTTTCTAGAAAAACGAAATTTCATGAATCATATTGCAAATAACTGGGAAAGGTTTGGGTTTTATGGTAGTTTGGAGGAACCACTGGGTGTTAAGCCATTCTTCCAGGTAAATTCGGGTCCTAATTACTTTTGGAAATACCGTTCATTTCAATATTTTTATTCAATTTTGACATGTAAACAAACGTTTATTTTGCCGTCAGTAGGCCACTAAAGCTTTGGTTTATCCGATAGCGCCATAAAATTTTTAAACCGCTAGCGAAATAAAATTTTTATTTTGCTGTTTTAAAACCATAGTTACCATTTCTGTAATTTCTCCAGTGCCTTGCTGCTCTTTTCATTTAAGGAACTTTTGATACACTTTCTGATTTCCTCTTTTCTGGGAGCAAGTTTTGTCGTTGGAATCTTGCATGATTTTGCAATTTTTCGATAATTTTAGTTTGTTTAAAATAAACAAACACCGTCGCCAGAGTCACATACTACACACACACACCTGATATTGTAACCTAAATTCTAAGCATATAAAATTTTTATTTGGTCGCTGTCAGTTCTGACGTTTCTCGAATGTGAACTTTGAATCACCAATTTTTTCACAATTTGGGACTTGGGGTTGTCAAAATTAAATAAAAGTTTGTATTACACTCGCGGTTAAAATGAATGTGTAACTCGCGGTCTTAAGGCGCTCGCGGCATACGCCGCTCTCGCCTTAAACTGACCGCTCATTAAACATTCACTTTAACCGCTTGTATAATAAATAACTATTGTTCGTTACTTAAGTGTATTAATGGTATGTTTTATGGTGGTCGAAGGGACGTTATCCTATTATTTTTCATCGTGAGTTTGCATTTAAGTGTTTAAAGCGATAGAGATGTGTGTCAATATGTAGATAACTCAAATTAATTTATGCATTAAACCTTTTCCTGAACTTATTCTTCAAGAAAGAACTGTGTTTTGTTGTGCTTGCTCCAATCCGATAAGTATTTTTACATCTGTGGACGCAGTACGCAGTTTTTCTATTTACAAATACATACTTTAGAATCACCGGAAAAATTTTTGTTAGAATATTTCGAAAAATATTTAAAAATAAATTGTTACCAAAATAGTAATTAAATAGTCGATTACTACTATTTTTTAATTCGTTCTGTTTACCTATATTTATTTTTGTATAAGAATATTATCTTAAAAAATGTCATTTATTTGTCAGTGAGATCTAATTAAACACTTTGCAATGTGATTTATGTATTTTTTGTAATAAAAGGTAAGGTGTTTTTGCAATTTGTAAATAAATTTTGTTCGGTTATTACGCTTTTTTTTATTTTTGGAGCATATGCAACTGCATATCTCTGCATATATTAAGAAAGTTATTGCATATTTGCATAAATTTGATGCATGTCATATGATCATATTTCCCAAAATTTTGCTGCATATTTTCCGCTCTCTTCTTGTTATACATACACTCTATTACCGACATTAAAAAAAGTCTACACTATTTCGTCATATCTGCTGCTTTATTATCAGTTTTCAGTTAGTTACATATTGGATATGAAATTAAGTGAATTTTTTGAATAAATAATAATTTAAAGATCAACCACGAAAATAGTCAATTATAATTATACATTATACATTACCAGTTTATTTTAGAGCCCAAGATTACATTGGAAAAATCTAAACTTTTGAAAATTTAATGTTAAACAGATATACCTATAACTGAGTGCGAAAGTCAATACACAAAACTCGATGATCAATTATTGTTTCGTATTCAAATTATTATTTGTTTTCCTTACGATCAAAGTGAAGAAATTATTTAATTCATTTTTATTTAAGAACGATATCGCTAACCTTGAAATAGATTAATTTTTTAATTTCGATTTTTTTCTTTTTGTTTCTTTTGTTGCCGATCAACATATTTTGCATTAGAATTAATAAAATAAGGAAATATATCATTTTATTTTTCGAGCTCATTTCAAAATTCTGTATATGTATAATTGTTCCTTTTTGGCAGTGACGTATAGGCAGAGGTTAAAAAATAATGTCTCATTACTAGTCTTAATTCGTATTACCTGTTAGATGGGACATTTTTTAATTCTGATCATAAACTATGTGCATTAAGTCTCTTGTTCTGTTTTATAAAGCGCAGGTTGTTATGGACATATAAAAATAAAATTATAAATAAATATAATTACAGGAAATATAATATGAAAAAAAAAATTAAGAGCAACTCACTATTGGCGTCATCTCGCTTGTGCAAGATTTAAGACAGGGAAGAAATTTCTTTTTTTAAGACTCAGCATCTTTTGTTTATGAATATGCTATTTACTTGCAACACAAACATAAATAATAAATATAAAATAGAGCTATATAATACTCGATATGTATGTTTTTAAATATTTTTTGCTGTTGCCCTGTCAGAAACGTTAATTTTCGATTTAACATGCCATTTTGTAAAATCAACTGAAAAACACTTTGCATAATTAACTAATAAAAATAAAACATTCCGAAGAATGTATATGTATATATTAATCAGATATCTAGTAACGACAGTTAACATTACTTATTGGTTACATACTCCATTGTGATGTTACAAGGCTTACGTGCCAACTATATCGCTGCTACACAATAATGAGATATCTAGTAAATGCAGTTAACATTAGGTGTTAGTTACATAACAAGAGTACCACAGTGTGGTGTTTAAATGTTTATATGCAAGCTATATCGCTGCGACATAATAATGAGATATCTAGTAAATGTAGTCAACATTACGTGTTTGTTACATAGCATGAGTACTCCATTGTGATGTTATATAGCTTACGTTCCAGGTATATCGTTAAGACATAATCATGCGATGTACTTATTGTTCTTTTGTGAGTACGTACCTGTCACGTCAACATCACAACTGTGTTTACTGGGGCATAACACTTTTTGAGATTTAGAGGTAGTAAATTGCTCAAAGACCATGCATCTAATCTATTAATAGCTTCAAATCGTCAGCATATAATAGAAAATTCGAATTGTGAAAGCAAGATGTTATGTCATTAATAAATAACAAGAACAAAATAGGACCACAGTGTGAACCTTGTGGGACCCCCGATGTTACAGAAAAGGGAGTAGATAAGTAGTTCCCAATTCCCACCTGTTGCTGCCTATCACTTAAGAATGACGCTAACCACTTTATAGTGTTGTTATTAAAACCGTATTTGGATAACTTAAAAAGTAGCAACTTATGATTTACTTTATCGAAGGCTTTAGAGAAATCGGTATATGCAGCATCAACTTGAAGTTTATTGGCAAAAGCATCATTAAGAAAGGAATAGTATTCAATTAAGTTCGACAGAGTTGATCTATTTTTAACGAAACCATGTTGTTTTTCAGAAATTATGCCACTGCAATTGTTTAGACACTATGAAGTCAAAAATCTTTGCAAAAACAGATTGGTTACACACTCCTCTATAATTATCAGTTCTATTCCGTTCACCAGTTTTAAAGATAGAGATAATATAACTGTTTTTCCAAACTTTAGGAAATTTACATTCATTTAGAGACGATTGAAATAGCAAAATCAATGGAAGAGAAACTATGAAGACACAGTTTTTTAAGAGAATGCTTGGAATCCCATCTGGACCATAATTGGAGGAGGATTTTATTTGGGAAATATGCTCAAACACCTCAGCAATAGACACTTTTAAACCATAATCATTTACTTCCATATCCGGAACAAAATTAAGGTGGAAATTCCTATTGTTCTTTTCATATACAGAAGAAAAAAACTGAGCAAATAAGTTGGAAATTGCATTTCCACCTTTTGCACGTTCTTCATTAAAAACCATTTCCTCTGGAATACCATCGCATTTATTTTTATCCTTAAAGAATTTCCAAAAGTATTGAGGGTTACTCGACAAACTATTGTTAACTGTAGTCAAATATGACTTATAGAGATCTGTATTAAGTTCTTTGCAGTGATCCCTCAACGATCTAAAATAAAGGTAATCCTCAATCGTGCCCGATTTACGAAAAACTGAATGAGCTGCTTTTTTTACGAATCAAATTTTTTAATTCAGTATTGAACCATCTAGGATATGATGAACTATTCAGTTCAACAGTTTTTATTGGAATAAATGCCATCGAAAAGAATACCATAAAAAACTGAAACTTTATCATCCACATCCAGACCAACAAAACAACTTTCCCAATCCACAGAAGCCAGATAATCATTAAGCAGATGATAATTCCCATTAGCGAAGTCAAATATTTCAATTTCAGAAGACAGAACGGAAACACAAAAATTAGGAAGAGACCACGAATACGAAATGTGATGGACACTGTTATCAATGATTGTATCAACGGCGGCGTTTACTTGTAAGTTAGTAATATTTGAAAATATAAGATCAAGGAAAACGTTACGATTATTAGGGATAGTGTTAACCTGATCCAGACTTAAAAAAGAATAAGTAGAAATTAAGACGTCATAGCAATCCTTAGAAGAACCAACCAAATGATTAGTAATTTTATTCCTGTCCCAAATAAGAAAGGGAAGATTGAAATCACCGGCAATTATATAGTCGCAATTTGGAAATCTTTGATAAACAGATTCTATATATGATCGAAACTTACACAGTGACAAGCTTGCACTAGAGTATGCCAAATTTCAGCAATTCACTACTAAAGGATCTCAGTAAAAACAGCAATACAGCCACGAGAACCTCCAACTCATTTCACTGCTACACATATATGTAGTATGTGTGTCGATGAGGGCGGGCGCATGAAGACAAGTCTGGAACCGGTTACCGGAAATCTCGAAGCGGCAGTCGCGATGGATTCGAGAAAGACCTCGATTGCAGAAGTTTGGGTTTAAATAGAGGCGACCGTCGGGACGGATTGTTCAGCTAGTTGAATCAAGAGCGTCCAGTGAAATTTTTGTACATAATCGCTGTACCTAATAGTTAGTCGTGTAATTCGAGTTATTAAGAATAAATTGTTGAGTTTTACCCACGCCAATTTTATTCGCCCGAGCAACGTAACAATACATCTAAAAAAATAGTTAGAAAACTACCGATACATTGATTAATCTTTACATTTGGGAAGATACATGTTATCAAAATTTTCTCTTTTCGAAACGTAAACGACTATTTTTAGCCTTCAGCATAACCATATAATCCCACTGGATGTCCTTCCATGATTTCATACCAACAGTTAGTACTTTGTAGTTTCTCAGAATCGTCGCAACCATTACTTTTACCACCATCATTCCAAACCTTAGACCTAAGACAAAAATACAAAGAAATACTACTATTGACAAATACAGACCTATACAGTTTCTGGCACCAAAACTGAAAGGAATGTACGAACAACGATGTTTTTTTGCAACTTCATCAGGAAGAAACCGATCTGGATCAAATTTTTCCGGCTCGGGCCATATCTCCGGATCTCTGTGTAGTAGCACTAGAGGTACGAAAAGATTAGAACCGGCAGGGAAAACGTAAGGATCTGGAAACACGAAAAATGTATTCTTTGGATCCACGTTCTAAAATATATTACCGCATTTAATGTCTTCGTCAGCATACCGCAGAATGAAAGGAATTGTGGGAACTAGTCTTAAAGTTTCTTTAACAACGCGTTCTAAATAGTCCAGACGATTCAACTCTTCCTGAGTTGGACTGCTTTCAATGTTTGGCAGAACTGAGACAAGTTCCTGATAAACTCTTTCCTAAAAGACATCTTTATTGTTATATTAAAAATTTTTCGTGATTTACTTGGATGTCTGTGTAGATTCCTAAAATAGTTAAAACCGTGTTGATTGTGATTGCTGCCGTCTCGCTTGCCGCCATAAGCATAAAACTTGTTTCTTCTAAAATTTCTTCACGGGTGATCTGCTTGCTTCGATTTAATTTAGTCAAATTTGGTAGAAATCGCTTACTTTCAATAGTGTCATCTGAACAAAAAAACTGTTAGCAATCGTTAAAAAATAAATAAATAGTAAATGACTTATGACTTCATACACATACCATTTCTGTCTTCGGATTCATATGATTTGTACTCTTCTGCTATTATCTGAAAGACAAAAATAAAAGTTAAAATTTTGTGACGTAATTAATAAAACCTACGTTTTCGGCAATTTCGTGAGCAGTTTGACAAAGCACTTTATGCTCCTTGTGTAAGTCGGATAATTTCCAAAAGAAATCTATGAGCAACCAAAACGTATGAAATCTCTGTATAAGTATTTCTTCGAACCTGAAATCAAAATTGATAAAAACTGTTAAACTGAAACAAAGACTTACTTCACAGTGATTGTAATCATACGTTGTCGTTCCTTTATCACATGCGGTTTTACGTTGGTTAAAGTTTCTGTTAAAACGAAAACAATAAAAAACACATCATTTACATTTACGCATAAATTTGTTTAAATCTTAGCAAAGTCGCCAAATTTGTTTACCTAAAGCTGCACCAAGTGTTTTTTCCCAAACGACTGGAAGGACATCCGTTTGTTCGGCGCCTTCTTTGTCATCTAAAAACTTCACCATTTCTCGCGAATAACTGACAAAGATATCATGATACGAATTCAAGATCTTCGAATTAAAAGAGGGATTGATCATTTTTCGATGTTCTTTCCAGATACTAACTGCGAATTTTACAATTTATGACTGTGCGTTAAGGAAATTTTAGTACCTTTTGAGGTCAGCAGGGTATCTTTCATTATGTCATTGAAATTTTCATAGAAAGGTGACTTGTTTAGACAGTTTGTCAATATTTTTTCTGTATCTGTTGGTCGCATGGTCGCTATGTACAACTGGGAACCTATCCAGAATTTGGTAACTGGTCTGCAGGAATCCAACTTTCCACAAACCAGGTCGAAAAAATCTGATAAATAAATGTGTGTTACATTTCGATAGTATTTAAAATGAGAAAAAAAAATAAATTTTATTACTTACTATCTTTTGTTACCGATAACAGGAACGCACTTCCCACAAAGGGTACTGAGAATGGTCCAGGAATTGTCCAAGCGTGATACAACAACCATCGCTCCTTCCAAAGAACCGAAATGATGATAAAAATTACAGAACAAGTAAAAATCCAGATTAGCATAGCAAAAGTAATAAAGACACGACAATTTTTAAGCAATGTCCTTTTAATATGATACTCTTGACGACCTACCAAACTGTGTCCAGTTTAACTTCTTGAGTTTTTACTAAATGAAAAAACTAATTACTGTGGGGACGTTTACTTGCGTCATTAGAATTTTTTGCGCAACATCTGAATGGTTATTAATTAGAGTCTATGCAAAATGTTTACTGCATTCATGTACCAAAAAAAAAAAATGCATATTGCCATTAAAAATGTGCAATGTACATATTTTCAATAATACAGTGTAGGGGATACTTTCTGTACCTACCTGCAGAATCAATTTGACTTATCATTTTTGGTTACAAAATTCTGAGATTTGAAGGGTCATACCCATCATTTAAACAATAAATTTGGATCTATACAAATATTGATGAGGACAGACGTGACACTTTTTGTGATGGACGTGACAAGTTCACTTTAAATAACCAAAAATTAAAAGACAACATTTATTTTTAAATAAAATTTGCAAATTCTACAAACTAAGAAATGGTGGTAATTTTACAGGTTTTTGATGGAGTTTATTTCTTTCCATCTGGTGTCCAGCAACTCTATATTTGACGTACTTGTTATACATTCATTAATTTACATTCTTTCCTCACATTTCCATTGCATGGGCTATTTTCACTGCCCCATCAAAGGCTAATTTGTTCATATCCAGTAATCTGCAGCGAATTCCGTTACAGTTAAAACCAAAAACGCCATTTAATAATAATTTTCGTAGTATTAAAACTAGAATTACTTAATTAGCGATACGAATTATTAAAATAAATAAAAACTATAGTGAATTTTTTATTGTATATCGCATTTTTATTGACGCAAACGATAAAAAATTAATTGCATAAGCCAGAAGGACAGAAGGATAACAACCATGTTCGCATTTATATTCTAACATCTATCTATTATGATAATTACAAAATTACCGATGCATTAATTAACTAAGTGCATCCTCTCCGGCCTTGTATCCAAAATAACTACATATTACATAAGATCTGAATGATTATTTGAGTTTTTAGCACTTTACTCTTACTAGCCGTAATAAATTTGATTCCTTGATATATGTATTGAAGGAGTTCGCGTATTGTATCCTTCCTAATTCGTTTGTTTAATTTTTTTCAAATCGTTGCATCGCGCTCATTCACTGTAAAAAGGTTTCGGCGATCGCGTCTTTGGATTAACCATGCAAAATCCAAATGTCAAAGAGAAATTAGAAATTATTCTCAGAAATCAACGAACAACTCAAACAGAATTATTTTATCCAGTGTGATGATTATTGTAGGACAAATTAAACGGAATAAATGCACAAATTGATCCATTCATTCGTCATAGTGCGTGACATCGGCAAACCAGCCATCTCGAACTACACTCCAAAAAGCCCGAGATGAAAATATACAAAATATTTTATTAGGTATTCTATGTTCTACTGCGATTAGAAGAAAAAGCGAGGGCCGGCTTGTTCTTCAACGGTTAATTTAATTAGTAGGTAATTTGTGTAAATTTCACACTTTTTTTTCGAATCACTAAAGATTGGAAGTCAATTGATTTTACATTCGTTAAGCAGGGATGGAATTTTTGTCGCCTGGAAGCATGTTCGTTACAAGAAATTTTTGAGAGAAAAATGTAGAACATTGACTCATCAACATTTTAAAATATTTTTCTCTATTACGAATGTGTTTTGGGATTCAGAAACTTTTGTATTACTGTTTTATTTGTTTATTATGTTAACAACAACAAAAATAAAAATATTTCACAAAACAAACTTACATTTATTTTCAAAGGTGATAAAAAGTAAATAAAATCAGGGGGGCATGACGTTTTCTAGGGGTCTTAAACAGATGGGATAGAAGAGTTTCAAAAAGCATCATGACAGAAAATTTAAGCCTGAGGATTACTTCTTACATATGGAGTTTAACGAAGGGACGCTAGAGAAAATCTAGGCTGATGGAGAATTTGGTTTACTGACGAATGTTCATTTGGTCTTAAGGAAGTTATAATCGTCAGGACGATCAAATTTGAGCAATAGGTATACAAACCTCACGTGGTCCATGACCATCGTTATCAGTGGCGTGCAATTGTTAGTGTGTGACTGGGGCGTCTAGGACATCATGTCGTTGCACCATTTTTCATCGAATCTAGATTGAATGCTCAGAAGTAGGACATTATCCAAGCTTAGCAAATACTTCCTGGGACTCGAAGGGTGTGGCATCTGCAGCAGGTCTTTTATATCCAGGACCAAATCTCCAACATACAACAGTATTTTCCCCTCAATGTTGGAATGGAAAGTTGGGCCTGTGGATTCGTCGGATCTAAACCCCTGGGAATTTTTTCTTTGGAGATTTCTTCACGACCACCTGTATTCGAACAATACCAGCTATGCAAACAGAGACGCGCTGAAATAAGCAATCCAGCAATATTGTCTTCAGATTTCAACTCAAATGCTCATCAACACACGTAGGAGATCAATTTACTTACTGTACAGCTGCTGAGACCAGTCTTTTTGAGCAATTCTTGAAAATAGTGCAATACCTCTCCAGATTCGTACAATATTTCATTACTTCATTCATCAACAATTGTTAAGTTTTGTTATTTGTAGTTATCTAAATGGTTCATTAAAATATTCTCTTCAAAAGCGCCAGCTGTTTTGATGGTAAATCTTATCATCACACAAAAATATTTTGTGCAGTTTGTGCATTTATCCTGTTTAAATTGGTCTAGAATAATCGTCATTTGGATAAAATAATTCAAATTGAGTCGTTCAGTAATTACTGAGTGAGACAACGCGAGTGCATTCCTAGCTTGACGGGCTTCCAGGACATGTCACAATGCTGCCGATCGGGTTTTGAGGACGACCAGCTGCTAATTAGATGTAGGAACCTGGGTTTTCTTGCAGTTCTGGATAGAAAACCACTGCGATCTTGAGTACGCAAGACGTAGCAAAACTGTAGAACAGTTCGACCTTTACCGATGTATAAGTGGCATTGAACTTTTATGTATTGAGCTTCAGCTTCAAAAATTAAGTTTTCTTATAGGTATTTTTTATAAAACTAAATGTAAGTTAGGAGATACCACTGAGTTCTTTGACAATTTTCTGTCCTATGTGACACCTCAGTATGAAAATATTATCATTACTGGCAACCTGAATTTCGATTTTCATTTTGACAACACGTTACAAGAATGTTTTACCACATATGATTTTAGACAAATTATTACTGAAAGTACAAGATCTACTGCAACATCTGCTACTTTAATTGATCCCATATTTGTTAATAGTACTGATTTTATATATGAAAGTGGTGTAATTAATGCCGATCTAATTTCGGACCACAGGTAATACTGCACATTAAAAATTGATGTCCCGAATATTTCGCCTAAAATTGTTACATACCGTGATTTTAAACATTTCATTTATGATCAGTTCTTACTTGATCTCCATTCAGCGCCGTTTGACAACATTTTTTATTTAATCAGTTTTGATGACAAGGTCCAATATCTCAATGAATGCATCGCTGAATTATATAACTTGCATGCACCTGTAAAAACAGCAGTTGTTACGAAACCTTATGCGCGTTGGTTAACGCCTTCAATCAAGGAACTCATTAGACTACGCAACAATGCTTTAAGTTCATATAAAAAATCTCGAACAGTGGACGACTGGACTTACTATAAAAAATTAAGAAATCTCACATTAGCAGCAATTAGACGAGAAAAAAGAGCTATTCTCACTTTTCAGGCTCAGTCTATGAATAAAAAAGGTTTGTGGGCATCCCTCAAACGTCTTAATGTCCAGCATACTAACAAATTTTCGGATACATGTACATTTAGCCCCAGTGAAATCAATAATTATTTTTCTTCAGTTTTTACTCCGCCACATAACTGTAAAGATGCAACTAACGAAATTCGAAATAAAAAATACCGGGATGGAAGTAATTTCAAATTTTCGTTCACTACGGAAGATGAGGTTTTAGACATAATTTCTGCTCTAAAATCAAATGCGTCAGGATATGAAGGAATTACCCTTGAGATGATCAAATTATGCTTCTCTGTTATATGTAAATATATGGTTCACATTATCAATTGCTGTTTAGAGACTGGTTTTTTTCCACAAAGTTGGAAAATGGCCCTTGTCCGTCCTGTTCCCAAATCAACTGTTGTCAAATCGTTATCTGATTTACGGCCTATAAGTATCCTTCCAGCGTTATCAAAAATCCTTGAGAAAGTTATTTATAAACAGATTTATAATTACATCTCTGCTGAGGGCATTCTAACAGAAGATCAATCTGGTTTTCGTACAGGCGTCAGTACAACTTCTATTTTAGCAGTCACAATGGATGACTGTATAAACTCCATTGATAAAAGCTATGCAGCTGTAGCTTCTAGACTTCTCTAAGGCTTTTGATATGCTGGATCACGATCTACTATGTGCTAAATTGCAGTACTATGGTTTTGATTTAACTACGACTAATTTTTTTAGATCATATCTCTCCAGTCGTTATCAACAAGTTGTGATTGAATCAGGAAAATCTGAATTAGCCTTAATTACATCGGGTGTCCCTCAGGGATCGATGTTAGGACCCATCTTATTTATTATATATACTGCCCAATTGCTAAGCATGCCTTCATCAAGTAAAAAAAGAGCGTTTGCTGACGATACGCAACTTTTGCTTCATTTTCAGCCTTCCCTAGTTGAGGATGCGTGTAATGATATAAATAAATATCTTGTGAGTATTGTTAAAGCTGCGTCTTCAATCAATTTAAAACTTAATGCCGATAAATGCAAACTAATTTGCTCCTAAAAAACTCCGAATGGCTATTGCTAATAATATAGATATTAATATTGGAAATAAGAAGCTGCCTGTTTTGCAATCTGTGAAGAACTTAGGTCTCTTTATTGATGATGATTTCAAATTTAAATCTCATGTTTCGAACGTCATAAAAAATGTTATTTGGCCCTAAAAATGCTTTATTCCAATGTTTTAATTCTGAACTTCAAACTCAGGAAAAAATTGTGTGAAGCGTTAGTATTATCTCATATTAACTACTGTTTTATAATATACTATCCATTTCTTGATTGTGTTGACAAAAATCGTCTACAAAAAATTCAAAATCACTGCTGCCGCTTTATTTTTGGGTTGAGGAAATATGACCATGTGTCACCCAAAATTCGTGAACTTGGGTGGATGAAGCTGGACGTAGTATTTCAATATCATTTAGCAGTTTTTGTATGTCGGTTGTTTAAAACTCCATCACCTCCGTACTTGCGTAGGAAGTTTCGCTCAAGACAAAGTATTTTAGATACTAATATACCACTAAGGAAACTTCAGCAGTTGTCAATGCTAAGATTTTTTACCTCTATTTTTTGTAAATCATTGTCATTTAACATTATTAAGTCTTATAATAAGTTTAATTCTGAATTGCTGTACTGTACTTCTGTGAACAGCTTTCGGAAAAAAATAAAAAACATTCTGTTGCACTCGGAATCGTCATAAATTTAGTTATCTGAGACGCTTATACTTGTAGATATATATTCGGTATCCAAATTCTTAATATTTACTGTTAAATTATTGTGTGAATTATATATTTTTGTTGTGGTTACTATATACTTATTTATATTATTATTTTCTTTATAACTATTGCATCTCTAAGTTAATTTTATTATTTTATTGTTTTTGCATTGAATATTTATTTTGTAAGGTTGAGTGGAATAGCCTATGGCTAGACTCTGCCTAATCATGTATTATTTTAACATGAATAAAGTCCTATGTAGGTATGTATGGATGTGTGTATGTTTTCAATAACTCACCTCTCGGAGTTTTAGAAATAATTTTTTAAAGTAATAAAATTAGCGCCCAGACCTTATAGGAAATTATTGATGACAACCACTTCGCGTGTCTTTATTATAAGACAATTAAAAATAGTTCTTTTATATAAAAAATTGGTCTAAAGAGTTTAGACAGTACTTCCCTCGCTGTCGGAAACTTGACGACTGCATGCCTATTGTGTTTTTTTTTCTCATTACATTTTTGTAGTGGGAATTAAAAAAAAAATGTGATGACGTCATCAACATTTTTGCAAGGACACGTATATCAGTTGGGATAGATGTAGTTTAATACTAAGAATAAAATTATTGTATTCCCAAATTTTCGGGAAAATGAATTGGGTCGTTTTGAATATTGATTTGTTATAATCAATAAAATAACGAAACAATTTACTCACATATACGGCGCCGGTGTGTAATATCTAGAGAGCGGATTTCTGTCGGGCTAGGCAAGGCCAAACTCGGTACGGCTCGTACGGGATACGAATTCATTGCGGTTGCGGAATGCACTTCGCTTATTTGAGATTAGAATAACGCTGTTTCGTTGCACTCTACTGTTAATTCCCGTTCTCATTTACTTAGCCGTTTGATTAATAAATCGTTAATTATATTTATGGAATCAGTACTGATTAAATTCAGTGATTATCTATCACCCGCTACTGAGTCCCGGCGATCCAGCGCGTCCCCACCTATAATCGTGACGTAGCCCGACAAAAATCCGCTGTCTAGTAATATGAAGGGCAACTGAAAATCGTTTATGTATAAACATTCTTAATTTGAGATGACAAGCGTAACAGCATACGTGAGAGTCAAACAGAGAAACTGTAAACAAAACGACCATCGGTTTTATTGCTTCGACTTCCGCTTATTATATAAAACATTGGGTTTTATTTTAATTCTTGACGGTGAAATTCACAATTGGTTGATTATAAACATGTCTATTTCACATTCGCGGAACCAAGTGAGCGCATAAAACAAATGCAGGTCTATAATGTTAAAGTCGATGTAAATAAGCGTGCTACCCTTATGTTTCAACCGAGTTTTTCCTTTAACAAATTTTGTGTCTACCAAATTGGGTTGGTTGGGGTGCAATACTAATAATAAGTGTTGCCTTTAATTTAATCAATAAAATAAATTGACTTCATTAATTTTTTTGAACCACCTCTTAAGAAAATCTAAAAAATTAGAATGGAATGATAAATCACAAGTACAGATTCATCATATTTTGTACATTTTAGATACGATTTATTCGGCAAACTTTTGAGCTGACGTCATCAGTTTTTTGTAGAAGATAACCAAATATATTTTGACTAAAAATTTATTATGCTCTTTATAACCTTAAAACATCTGCAAGATTTCAAAGCATTCGGTTTTGTATTTCCTGATTAAATCAATAAAATAAATTTACGCATTCATTAATTTTTTTGAGTTACCCTGTATATGCAAATCGAAACAATTTGAATGGAATGATAAATCACAAGAAGAGACTCATCATATTTTGTACATTTTAGATAGGATTTATTCAGCAAAATTTTGTGGTGACGTCATAAATTTTTTAGGGGGGACGACCAAATACGTTTTGATCAAAAAATTACCATGCTTATGATAATTTTAAAATATCTTCAAGATTTCGAAGCATTCGGTTTTGTAGTTCCTGAGTAAATCAGTAAAATAAATTTACGCTTTCATTTATTTTCTTGAATCACCCTGTATATGCAAATCCAAAAAATATGAATGGAGTGATAGATCACAAGTACAGACTGATCATATTTTGTACATTTTAGATATAATTTATTCGGCAAACTTTCGAGCTGACGTCATCAAGTTTTTGGAGGGGATAAGCAAATATATTTTGACTAAACATTTATTATGCTCTTTATAACCTTAAAACATGTGCAAGATGTCAGAGCATTCCGTTTTGTAGTTCCTGATTAAATCAATAAAATATATTTACGCATTCATTAATTTTTTTGAGTCACTCTGTATATGCAAATCCAAAAAATATGAATGGAGTGATAGATCACAAGTACAGACTGATCATATTTTGTACATTTTAGATATGATTTATTCGGCAAACTTTCGAGCTGACGTCATCAAGTTTTTGGAGGGGATAAGCAAATATTTTTTGACTAAAGATTAAAAATTAAATTTCAAAATGTTGTTTTATAATTTTGATTTTTTTTCCAAAAATCTGGACGTTTCGGGTGAAAAGTCGATTCAGAGTTGTAAACTACATGTGTAGGACTATGTTATTTTATACAATTGAAAACCCATTTACTATGTACAATTTTGAAGTGACGTCATCGCATTAGTGGTGGGGATGATTAGACAAATTTTGGTTAGCGTTTTACCATCTACATGATATTCTTAATATAAGTACAAAATTTTACAACAATCGGTCGAGTACTTTCGGAGATTATCTGTCTAATAAAAATCCGGGACGGCAGACGGACAGACAGACGGACGGACAGACGGACAGACGGACAGACAGACGGAAATGGGAGACCTATTTCTTCGTCTTCTAGGGGTCATGAAAGATCGAGAAAACGTAAAAATAGAGAGTCGGCCGACGGACTCGATTACAATACTTCCTTTGCTTACGCTCGGGAAGTAAAAACACTATTATTATTTGAAATAAAAATTAGTAAGTTCAAGAACTTGTGCTATGTATTAAAAACATTCATTGTAAATAATAATTGACTAGAAATCACGGCAAAGTTGTGTTAGGCTCATCTGGCAACGTTGTAAATTATCTTAATGCTTACTGTGAGATTCTTACACATTTTTTTCGTCGTCCTCTATCGAACAATCATTTAAATTACCTAGTACGGGTTTAAATAGAGGCCACCTTCGGGAACAACTTAGTCGACTGTAGTCCAAACAACGAGAGGTGAATTCAATGGAACGGAGTCCAACGGGTGTCGAGAAAACCCAGTGAAGTTGCGCCGGAAATAGTTTGTACATAATCGCTGTGTATATTCGAGTTATTAAGAAATAAATTGTTGAGTTATACCCACGCCGATTTTAATTCACTGATCAACGTAAAAATACTAACAAAAAAAGTCAAAAATTAGAGTTACATAGTTTTTTTAAATATCAAACACTATAATTATTTTCAACTCTACATAATGTGATATCTTATGAGGAAATAGAAAGAAAAAATGTTTCCCCTCACCCAAATGTTACAAACGAAAATGATGATTCCCCGATAAAGTGAGCTGACACTTATCAGTGAAACGAGTTTGTTCTGTGTCAAAAAAAAAAAAAACACTCGGAATAATCAGCTGCAGTTAATTTTTGATATACCTAGTGAATAAGGACAAATAATCGCTGAAATTAATTGAGCTGTATCGGAATTATGTATCTTTTAGACCACCACACACCAACCATAGAAGTTTTTTTATTTTTTATAAAAACGGTCGATGTTCAACTCAACCACTAGAAAAAAATACTCAGGCAAAATACCATGGATTATTGCTAGCTTTGTTGTTAGATTGGTACTGATTTAACGACTGTAAAGCATCTACGTGGTTGAAAACCTGGAAATGTGGCAGAAGTCTAATCTTCAGCTCAAAGTAAAACGCAAATTGCAAAACAGATTTTCACCGATAATGAATAATATGAAAATAATGAAAATGGAAGAAACATAATCCTTTTATATAAAAAGATGCATATGATCAAAATTTTCTTTTTTCGAAACGTAAACGACTATTTTTAGTCTTCAGCATAACCATATAGTCCCACTGGATGTCCTTCCATGATTTCATATCGACAGTTCGTACTTTGAAGTTCCTCAGAATCGTCGCAACCATTACTTTTACCACCATCATTCCAAATTTTAGACCTAAGACAAAGTTACAAAAAATACCACTGCTGACAAATACAGACCTATACAGTTTCGGACACCAAAACTGAAAGGAATGTAGGAACAACGATGTCTTTTTCCAACTTCATCAGGGAGAAACCGATCTGGATCAAATTTTTCCGGCTCGGGCCACACCTCCGGATCTCTGTGTAGTAGCACCAGAGGAATGACAAGGTTAGAGCCGGCAGGGAAAACATAAGGATCTGGAAACACGAAAAATGTATTGTTTGGATCGACCTTCTAAAATATATTACCGCATTTAATGTCTTCGTCAGCATATCGCATAATGAAAGGAATTGTGGGAACTAGTCTCAAAATTTCTTTGACAACGCGTTCTAAATAGTCCAGGCGATTGAGCTCTTCCTGAGTTGGACTGTTCTCGATGTTTGGCAGAACTGAGGCGAGTTCCTGATAAACTCTTTCCTAAAACAACATTTTTATCGCTATGTTAATATTTTTGCGTGATCTACTTGGATGTCTGAGTAGATTCCTAAAATCGTTAAAATCGTGTTGATTGTGATTGATGCCGTTTCGCTTGCCGCCATCAACATAAAATTGGTTTCTTCCAAAATTTCTTCACGGGTTATCTGATTGGTTCGATTTAATTTAGTCAAATTTCGTAGAAATCGCTTACTTTCAATAGTGTCATCTGAAAAAAAGAACAAAAAATTTTAAAAAATAGTAAATGGGTTATGACTTTATACATATACCATTTCTGTCTTCGGATTCATATGATTTGTACTCTTCTGCTATTATCTGAAAGACATAAATCAAAGTTAAAATGTAGTGACGTAATTAATAAAACCTACGTTTTCGCCAATTTCGTGAGCAGTTTGACAAACGACTTTATGCTCCTTGTGTAAGTTGGATAATTTCCAAGAGAAATCGGTCAGAAGCCAAAATGTATGTAATCTCTGCATAAGTATTTCTTCGAATCTATAAACAAAATCAGTAAAAATGCTAAAAAGAAAAAATACTTAGTACCTCACGGCGATTGAAATAGCCCGTCGTCGTTCTTTAAGCTCACATGGATTTACATTTGTTAAGGATACTACAAGTAATTAACATGCACAAAATATAAGCAACAGAAACAAGAAACAATACCTAAAGCAACATCAAATGTTTTTTCCCAGACAGGGCCGGCTCTAAGGGACCAGGCGCCCCGATGCAACTTACTGTTGAACGCCCTTAAAAAAATTTTTGTAAAAAAAAACAAATAAAGTTTTATAATCACATATTTTTGTGGAGAGGTACTTTTTATTAACAAACATGCATAAAATTATGATGAATCAATCTTAGTATATAAAAATGTTTGTCTTAACTGACAGACTGACTGATTCATCAACGCAAAGCCTAAACTACTGAAGCTACAAACATGAAATTTGGACAGTAGGTTCCTTTTCTGTCATAAGCACCCATTAAGAAAAGATTTCTGGAAATTCGGCCCCTACGGGGACAAAATAGGGGATGACACTTTGTGCAGAAATCGCGTGAGTTTTTAAGTCAGACCGGTTCACTGGGGCACTGGAGGAGTGAACGAGATGAAAAATGATAATTTCGGAGGTTTGCACGGTCGGAATCAATACATGATCGTTTTCCGGGTTGGAACCGTGTAATTTCTCAAAAAAATTTCGCCTCTGGTATGGTTGACATACTGAGTTACCGTGCTTTTTTGTCTTATTCTTAACCCTGCTCCTGAAGATGCCACTTACGAAAGTGTGCGAAACGTTGAGCCCAAAAACTCACTTTACACGGTTCCAACCCGGAAAACGATCATGTATGAAAAATGATGAGTTTGCGAATTCCACGCAAACGGAGCTGCGGGCAACAACTTTTCTATAGTTTAGGAAATATCGTTGTACCCTATAAAATTTTATTGACAATGACGAGACGGACAATAGTACAATAGCAAGAGATATTTACAACTTAAAGTTGTCGCGTGGCGGGAATTCGCAGACCTTAAATTTCCAAAGCAGCGGAAGTCCGACCCTGTGCGTACAATTACCTGCTAAATATTCTCCGACAAATTCGGGGGGACTGATGTGAGCCATAAATGTTTCTTACCATTGTACTACTGTCCGTCTCGTTATTGTCAATAAAATTTTATAGGGTACAACGATATTTCCTAAACTATACATAGTATAAGTATAAAAATATTTATATTGCAAAAGTTTTTCAATTTTTACTTCCCGAGCGTAAGCAAAGGAAGTATTGTAATCGAGTCCGTCGGTCGACTCTCTACTTTTACGTTTTCTCGATCTTTCATGACCCCTAGAAGACGAAGAAATATGTCTCCCATTTCCGTCTGTCTGTCCGTCTGTCCGTCTGTCCGTCTGTCCGTCTGTCCGTCTGTCCGTCTGTCCGTCTGTCCGTCTGTCCGTCTGTCCGTCCGTCTGTCCGTCTGCCGTCCCGGATTTTTATTAGACAGATAATCTCCGAAAGTACTCGACCGATTGTTGTGAAATTTTGTACTTATATTAAGAATATCATGTAGATGGTAAAACGCTAACCAAAATTTGTCTAATCATCCCCACCACTAATGCGATGACGTCACTTCAAAATTGTACATAGTAAATGGGTTTTCAATTGTATAAAATAACATAGTCCTACACATGTAGTTTACAACTCTGAATCGACTTTTCACCCGAAACGTCCAGATTTTTGGAAAAAAAATCAAAATTATAAAACAACATTTTGAAATTTAATTTTTAATCTGCTAACCAGAATGCTTTGAAATGTTGCAGATGTTTTAAGGCTATAAAGAGCATAATAAATTTTTAGTCAAAAAATATTTGCTTATCCCCTCCAAAAAATTGATGACGTCAGCTCAAAAGTTTATGGAATAAATCATATCTAAAATGTACAAAATATGATGAGTCTGTACTTGTGATCTATCACTCCATTCATATTTTTTGGATTTGCATATACAGGGTGACTCAAAAAAATTAATGAATGCGTAAATATATTTTATTGATTTAATCAGGAACTACAAAACCGAATGCTCTGAAATCTTGCAGATGTTTTAAGGTCATAAAGAGCATAATAAATGTTTAGTCAAAATATATTTGCTTATCCCCTCCAAAAACTTGATGACGTCAGCTCGAAAGTTTGCCGAATAAATCATATCTAAAATCTACAAAATATGATGAGTCCGTACTTGTCATTTATCATTCCATTCATATTTTTTGGATTTGCATATACGAGTGACTCAAAAAAATTAATGAATGCGTAAATATATTTTATTGATTTAATCAGGAACTACAAAACGGAATGCTCTGACATCTTGCAGATGTTTTAAGGTTATAAAGAGCATAATAAATGTTTAGTCACAATATATTTGCTTATCCCCTCCAAAAACTTGATGACGTCAGCTCGAAAATTTGCCGAATAAATCATATCTAAAATGTACAAAATATGATCAGTCTGTACTTGTGATCTATCACTCCATTCATATTTTTTCGATTTGCATATACAGGGTGACTCAAAAAAATTAATGAATGCGTAAATATATTTTATTGATTTAATCAGGAACTATAAAACGGAATGCTCTGACATCTTGCAGATGTTTTAAGGTTATAAAGAGCATAATAAATGTTTAGTCACAATATATTTGCTTATCCCCTCCAAAAACTTGATGACGTCAGCTCGAAAATTTGCCGAATAAATCATATCTAAAATGTACAAAATATGATCAGTCTGTACTTGTGATCTATCACTCCATTCATATTTTTTCGATTTGCATATACAGGGTGACTCAAAAAAATTAATGAATGCGTAAATTTATTTTATTGATTTAATCAGGAACTACAAAACCAAATGCTTTGAAATCTTGCAGATGTTTTAAGGTTATAAAGAGCATAATAAATTTTTAGTCAAAATATATTTGGTTATCTTCTACAAAAAACTGATGACGTCAGCTCAAAAGTTTGCCGAATAAATCGTATCTAAATTGTACAAAATATGATGAGTCTTTACTTGTGATTTATCATTCCATTCATATTTTTGGATTTGCATATGCAGGGTGACTCAAAAAAATTAATGAAGGCGTGAATTTATTTTATCGATTTAATCAGGAATTACAAAACCGAATGCTTTGAAATCTTGGGAATATTTTAAAGTTATTATAAGCATGGTAAACTTTTGTTCAAAATGTATTTGTTCATCCCTCCTAAAAAAATTGATGACGTCACCCTTAAATTTTGCTGAATAAATCCTATCTAAAATGCAAAAAATATGATGAGTTTGTACTTGTGATATATCATTCCATTCATATTTTTTAGATTTTCTTAAGAGGTGGTTCAAAAAAAGGCGCCGTATACCTGAGTAAATTGTTTCGTTATTTTATTGATTATAAGAAATCAATATTCAAAACGACCCAATTCATTTTCCCGAAAATTTGGGAATACAATAATTTTATTCTTAGTATTACACTACATCTATCCCAACTGATATACGTGTCCTTGCAAAAATGTTGATGACGTCATCACAATTTTTTTTTTAAATTCCCACTACAAAAATGTAATGAGAAAAAAAAAACACAATAGGCATGCAGTCGTCAAGTTTCCGACAGCGAGGGAAGTACTGTCTAAACTCTTTAGACCAATTTTTTATTATTGTAAAATTGATACGATTTCAAAGTTATCTTAAATTTAGACTTGCCTCAATGTTAATCGAAATTTAAATTTAAAATTAATGATGACAAAAAGCCACGAAATGATACACAGAACCAAATTCGGCTACAAACAGGAACAGTGAAAAATATAACAAAACTGTTGAACAACCACCACAACCAAAACCAACCGACTAGACTTGGAAAATAAAATTTTTAAGTATGCCGACATGGATTTTTATGGTAAAAACAAACGTGACAAATGTTAGGAAAAACATTTGGTTGTGGTCATACCGCTGTCACGTCAAATTGTTACCCAGATAATGCATCATAAATCTGGTTATTTTTTGTCGGCATTGATCTAAAGGTCTCATCACCCAACCCAAAGGCGCACTCTTTTTCAATTATTACAGTTTGAAAGTGCCAGGAATTGACTTCTTGGGATCTGTTTTGCTAGTCATAGTGGAATGTTAACATGTAGCTTTTTCTGAAAAGTTTTCGATGGGCGCCGTGGTATGTTACTGCTATAATATTTTGTTGGTAGTGATTCAATGCAAATCTAATATTAATTTATTTTTATAGAGTTAATATAAAAGCATAGGCGGCGCCCGCCGCCCGGCGCCCCTTGTCACGGGCGCCCCGATGCGGTGCATCTTTCGCTTACCGTGTTGAGCCGGCCCTGTTCCCAGATGACTGAAAGGAAATCCGTTTGTTCGGTACCCCCTACATCAAGCAAGTACTTCACTATTTCCCTTGAATATTTGACAAATATATCATGAAAAGAACTTAAAATCTTCAAATTAAAAGAGGGATTGATCATTTTTCGATGGTCTTTCCAGATACTCACTACGAATTTTACAATTTGTCGACGTTCGGTTATGAATTTTTGTTACCTTTTGATGTCAGTAGAGTGTCTTTCATTACATCGTTAAAATTCTCGTAGAAAGGTGACTTGTTTAGACAATTTACCAAAATTTTTTCTACATCTGCCGGTCTTGTGGTAGTTATGTACAACTCTGAGCCTATCCATGTTTTTATAACCGGCCTATAGGAATCCAGATTTCGATAAACTACTTCAAAAAAACCTGAAAAATATTTTTTTGATTCGAGTTTTATAAGAGAAGCATTTTATAGAACGCACGATTTTAGGTAGAAGTGAGAAAAAATTAATTTTCATGTTTCTCAAAGCGGAAAAATTCAATTTTATTACTTACTATCTTTTGTTGCAGACAACAGGTACGTACTTCCCACTAAGGGCACTGAGAATGGTCCAGGAATTTTCCAAGCATGATACAACAACCACCGCTTCTTCCAAAGAACCGAAATGATGAGAAAAATTACGGCACAAATAAAAATCCAGATTACCATAGTAAAAGGAGCAGCTTTAAAGTAATTCATTTAAGTGGCAACCAGCTCTTAAAACTGTACGCTTGTACTAAACTGGATACAGTTTCTGTTCAAACGTCAAGGATTTCTTGTTTTGCTAGATCATACCAGGTAGATAATTACCCAGTGTTGTATATTTTGCAATGCTAAAAAAAACCTGTTGCAAAATTAAGTTTTCCAGGAATTTCACAGAGGGTATGAATACTTGCTTACTGACGTAAATACATGACGAGATATATGGTTTTAAAAAATCTACAGAGTCTCTAGAATGTCTGGAAATGGTTAAATATCTTGAGAATAAAATTTTGTAGTGAGTTAATGAGAATTTTTGGACGAATGCTACCAATCGGTCTATTGATACGCAAAACGCATAGAGCATGAACTAGAGATATATAAAACAGTTCAACCTTCACCGATATTTTCAGTACCAATTAGGGGACAGCGCTTCTCGGATTTTTAGAACGGACTTTTGTAAAGTGCTAAAATTGACGGGCTTTTAAAGTAGGTTATTTATTGACACAAATGTTTACAAAAAAAAAGGGTGACAACCATTTTCTGTGTTTGTGTTTTAATAAATAAAGATAATTTTTTTATATAAAAAGAAAAGTTAAAAAATCGATACATTGACTAGCATATATACATTTGGAAAAATGCATATGATCAAAATTTCCTTTTTTCGAAACGTAAACGACTACTTTTAGCCTTCAGCACAACCATATATTCCCACTGGATGGCCGGATTTTTGTGTAGTAGCACTAGAGGAACGATAAGGTTAGAGCCGGCAGGGAAAACGTAAGGACCTGGAAACACGAAGAATGTATTCTTTGAATCCATCTTCTAAAATACATTACCGCATTTAATGTCTTCGTCGGCATATTGCAAAATGAAAGGAACTGTGGGAACTAGTCTCAAGGTTTCTTTAATAACGCGTTCTAAATAATCCAGACGATTGATCTCTTCCTGAGTTGGACTGTTCTCCATGTTTGGCAGAACTGAGACGAGTTCTTGATAAACTCTTTCCTAAAAGAACATCTTTATCGTTGTATTAATGTTTTTGCATAATTTACTTGAATGTCTGAGTAAAAACGTTAAAATCGTGTTGATTGTGGCTGCTGCCGTTTCGCTTGCCGCTGTAAGCATCAAACACGTTTCATCCATAATTTCTTCATGTGTGATCTGCTTGGTTCGATTCAATTTAGTCAAATTTGTTAGAAATCGCTTACTTTGAATAGTATCATCTGAAAATAGAACCAGTAGGCTTTGATATTTTTTCTTTAAGTTGGATAAACTGATTTGATGATTTAGTTTTTTGTCTGTCAGTAGTTTGATTAACATTTACTTCGAGCTGGATTCCCATTTTTTTACTTCATTTATTAGATCAGAATTATTAGACGCAACTTTTTAATGAAGCAAACAAATGTTTTAACTTTGTCAGCATAGATAATTTGTCATTGTGACAGATACATAGATCATTGCGGCATTATTTAAAAAGAAAATGCCTAAAATAGTTTTACTGCAACAAAAAATTGCAATAAACAGATTTTTTTGCAGTTTCGAAAAGCAGGCCCGATCTTTCTTTCGAAGAAGTAACTATGAGGGTTTCGAACATATTTTCTGTAATCTAAAAAATTCGCTGTAAAATATTTTTTAATTTTATTTCTCATAGGTGGGAACAACTGTTGCGAAAATTTAATCAACAGGGGACCAAAATTTAAAAACATCACTATCTGGCAAGCGAAAACCAACAGATTAAATTGCAAATTATATGTTTCGGAAAGACCTGCAACGACAAATTTGGCAGCTTAATGAAAATAACGAATATTTCACTGTAGATACTCTTTTGGCATATTCTAGGGAACAGTTGGAATTTAAAGGGGGGCGAACCACATTATACAAAATTCTTAAGTCAATGGGTTATAAACACGGGGAAGTAAATGGTCGCAAAATTCTATGTGAACAAAAACATGTCGTTGCAGCCAAAATTACTTTTTTGAGAACATATTTAGATTCTAAATTCTTGCGAAAATTTGACTTTCGTGTATTTGGATGAAACATGGATCTATCAAAATGGTTCGTCCATTCGTCGCTGAGTGCACGATACTAATCTAAAAAGCACTAAAATTAAAAGTGAAGGATCAAGGTTTACTATTCTCCACGCGGATCGGCGAGAATGTTTATATTTCTGGCATATTTTTTAACCTTTAATTTAATAAAACATAACCTAACAAAAAAAGTTCAGGGAATTTTTATTCTCTGCATCGAATGCCAACAAACTCACTAGATTTTCATGGCCAACCCTACTATATAAAGATCGTGAACGAATAATAACAATCCAGTTGTTCTCGTTTCTTCAAAATTTTATTGACTGACTGTTCAAAAGGAAACGTTTATATAACGACAAATTTTAGGAAATAGTAAATGAGTAATGAATTTAAACACATACCATTTATGTCATCGGAATCATATTGTTTCTTTTCTTGTAATAATATCTGAAAGACAAAAATTAAAATAAAAATTTTTGTCACCTAAATAAACGTACGTTTTCGAGAAATGCGTGACCAGTTTGACAAACCTCTTTATGCTCCTTGTGTAAGTTGGATAATTTCCAAAAGAAATCCACGAGAAGCCAAAACGTATGAAATCTCTGTATAAGTATTTCTTCGAATCTAAAACCAAAATCAATAACAACTTTTAAACAAAAAGAAATACTTACTTCACGATAACTGTAATGAAACGTCGTCGTTCCTTTATCACTTGCGGATTTACATTGGTTAAAGTTGCTGTTAAAACAATAGTGGTCAACAATATTACTTGCAATAATAAAAACAATACCGTTTAAATGAGTAATAAGCGAAATAATTTAATTAATTTAGACCATTGCAAACTCGCTAATGTTTTTTACCTAAAGCTGCATCAAGTGTTTTTTCCCAAATGACTGGAAAAAGATTCGTTTGTTCTCCACCTTCTAAGTCACTCAAATACTTCACCATTTCAGTTGAATAACTAACAAATGTATCATGAAACGAATTCAAGATCTTCAAATTAAACGAGGGATTGATCATTTTGCGATGTTCTTTCCAGATACTAACTGCGAATTTTACAATTTATGACTGTGCGTTAAGGAAATTTTTGTACCTTTTGAAGTTAGCAGGGTGTCTTTCATTATGTCATTGAAATTCTCGTAGAAAGGTGACTTGTTTAGACAGTTTGTCAATATTTTTTCTACATCTGTTGGTCGCATGGTGGCTATGTACAACTGGGAGCCTACCCACAATTTGATTACTGGTCTCCAGGAGTCCAGCTTTCCACAAACCAGGTCGAAAAAATCTGATAAATAAATGTGTGTTACATTTCTTCTTTCGATAGTATTTAAAATGAAAAAAAAACTAAATTTAATTACTTACTATCTTTTGTTGCCGATAACAGGAACGCACTTCCCACGAGTGGCACTGACAATGGTCCAGGAATTTTCCAAGCGTGATATAACAACCATCGTTTTTTCCAAAGAACAGAAGTGGGGATAATAATCACACAAAGAACGAAAATCCAGATTAACATAGCAAAAGTAGTAAACACACGACAACAATTTATTTTAACAACTATACTCTTGACCCACCTAACTGCATTTAACTTCTTGAATCAAAAATTCAATGTTACTAAACCAAAAAACTGGAGATAATGGTTGCTTTTACTTGCGTTATCGGTGCGAAAATGTTCCAAAAGTATTTTTCCAAAAAATATTGCACAACATCTGAATGATTATTAATAAGGGTCTACGCAAAATGTTTACTGCATGCATATATGGCATATTTTATACTTTTTCGCGGTACGTCGAACTGGTTGGTTGTGTGTGAGTGTGCGGAGTTGTATTGGTTCAATTGCATAAGTTTGCAAGCTGAACTATTGCTTTTTTTTACTTTGGAGGCTTGTCTGCTCGACTGGTGAGATGGTGCCCAAATAAGGGTTGATTTGGGCTGTAAATAGAGATCTGTACGGTTGTCACCTTTAAAGTAATAGTGCATAAGGTTGAGTATTTATCTGATTTTTTCTTGTTGAGTTCTTATACTGCTCTTTTACAAATACGTTGTCACTTGTTGTCCTCTATTGATATCCGATTAAATGCAGAAAGTGCAATAAAACCATAGACAGGGTTGAGGATTATATTAGTTGCCGGAAGGAACGTGCGGCCAATTATCACTTACCTTGCGTTAACCTTACTAAATCTGCAGTAACATCTCTAAAAGATACAGGGCAATATTAACATGGGGTTGTGGTTTTTGTAGCCCCCTCTCTCTTAATAATTCTGCTGATCCTTTACTTGATAGTGGGGCACTACAAAAGCTTCCTGACTTTTTAAAAGAAGTTTTTGCAGTTTTTACGTACAGTTAATGAGAATTTTAAAAAGCTTAACGAACAAGTTGCTGGTTTAAAGCATGAAAATTCAGAGTTGCAGCAACATCTCGATTGCGACCTCCAAATTTCTAAAAACAATAACAATAACCCAGCTATATCTTATGCCACTACACTTAAAAATACATCCGCTGTTGTAATTAAGCCTAAGAATACCACTCAAACGACTATGCAAACAAAATCTGACATTGTGACATCTTTTAATCTGGAAAATACGGATAAACTTGGAATTGCAAAGGTGAAATCTATAAAAAATGGCGGGGTGCTCCTACAATGTCATGATCCTGGTGAATTCAAGAGGTTAGTACAAAATAATACACTGGAGGAGAAATATGATATTCATGATGTCAAAACACCTCTGCCACGCATTCGTATTTCGGGTATTTCTGATGGCATAAACGAAGAAATGATAGTGCCGCTCTTGTTAAAACAGAATAAGCATATTTTTTCAAAAATCATCCGAAAATTTTTCAAGTAATTTTGCTGGTTGATGTCGCATCTTACAGAAATGCTTTAAGTCTCGGTCACTGTCTGATTAATTTGGATGGCTGCAACATCTATGATGCCGTTGATGTCATACGGTGTTACAGGTGTAATGGCTACAATCATTCTGTAAAAACATGTAAAAAAAGTATTTCTTGTCCGAGGTGTTCCGAGGCGCATGTGCTACAGGACTGTCAAGCCACAAGTGAGCAACTCAAGTGCGTAAACTGTACCAGTATTACATCAAAAGATAACTTGAGCACTGAGGAGACTTCCCATGCTTGCTGGGATTATGGACATTGCGTGTTTTATAAAAATTTAATCAAAAAAGTAAAGTCTGACTTGTTTGGTATATCTGATTTGTAGCAATTAACTTCTTTTGCTGCTTCTAGATCGATATCTGATAAAACTTTCAATTTCCCTATTGATCATCAGTCTTACAAAAGTCATTCTATTCTGTCTCGCTATTGTCAGTTCACGAGGGAAAGTAACACTAAACTAATTAATATTTTACCTAATTGTTTGTCTTGTCTTCAACAGCACGGCAATATCACTTCCTCCTATTCTCAGATTTCCATTTATTATCAGAATGCTCGAGGCATCAACACTAAATTAGTCGATTTTTATAATTCTATGTTTTGTTGTGAATATGACATTGTATGCCTATCGGAAACATGGCTTAATACTTCGGTCTTAAACTCTGAAATTTGTCCAGGTCATTTTCACATAGTTAGAGCTGATGGAAATTTTGAAAAAATAAATGTTTCCCGAGGAGGTGGAGTTCTATTAGCAGCTCGTCAACCAGTTGCAGTCTATAGTTTAGATTTGTCATCAAAAGGCTTTATAAAGAGTTATTATAGTAGGGGATTTCAATATTTCGGATTATGATTTTACTTCATCTAGAGCTAGCAACTGTAGCAGAAAATCTTCTATTCTTCAAAATTTTCTACAATTTGGCGAGGTTCAGCAGTATAATAATGTTGGCAATATTAATGGTCGTTGTCTCGATCTCATAATCTCCAATTTCAATTGCACTGTACAAAAATCTGCTGACCCTATGTTGAAAGAAGATAACCACCACCCATCCATTTTAGCTTTTCCTCTTATGATAATATTCAATCTAATTTTTCGAACTGGTCTGTTCCCAGATGTGTGGAAATTGTCTATCATCTCACCTATCTTTAATAAAAATTATCGGCCTATATCGTTAATCTGTAATTTTGCGAAAATTTTTGAGACTATTCTACATAAATTTATCTCATTTAATACCCGGAGTTTAATCACTGTGTCTCAGCATGGATTTGTTAATGGACGATCTACCGCCTCCAATCTCTGCGAATTCACGCAGTTTGTAGCTGATAATCTTGATGCCAAACGCCAGGTGGATGTGGCCTATACAGATTTTTCTAAGGCATTTGACAAATTAGATCATGGCCTTTTACATGTAAAACTGCGAAATTTCGGCTTCTCAAGTGCCCTGTTTGACTTAATCAGTTCCTATTTATCCAACAGAGTTCAAGTTGTAAATTATAATGGCTATGAATCCTCCAAAACTGTTGTCTCTTCTGGAGTCCCACAGGGTTCTATAGTGGGGCCGCTATTTTTTGTTATCTACATCAATGACGTTGTTAGGGATATCAAATCAAATGTTCTCATGTATGCTGATGATCTAAAAATATTCAGAGAAGTTAATTCATTCGAAGACTGCTTGTTACTACAAAATGATCTTCACACATTTCACAACTGGAGTAATTCCAATCTACTACCTGTAAATTATGCTAAGTGTTACATCATGTCGTTTACTAACAAGACCTCTTTAATATCGTATGGTTATACCCTTAATAACGGTATACTAACTAGAGTTGATACCTTTCGTGATCTGAGTGTTAAAAATTTAAACATAATTAATATCATTTATAATGTTTAAATATGAATCGCATCAATATATGATAATTAAACCGAAACTCATTTTCCTACAAACCCGAAATTATTAAAAACAAGTCAATTTGTTTAAACAATGTTAAATTATCCCCGAAAATGTGCATTTTCCCGGCCAAAATATGAGAAATAATTTTTGCCGTCTCATCGTGGCGTACGATGACGTCAATGTCACGTGAGCCACCTGTATAAAGGTCACGTTTTGCGGTCCTTTGTGTTCAGTATTAATTTCTGTTTGATGGCGGCAAGATCGTCGCTTCATTTTGGCGTAAAAGTGGAGCGTTTTAGCGAATTTCTAGTTTATTATTAATACATATTATAGAAAATATGTTGTGTTAGTGTTGTCAACACGAACGAAAATGGATATTTTTCCGAAAAGGACCGAAAACAGGGTAAGTACGACTTCAGTTTTAATTTATCGGATTCCGTGATTCGTTTACTCGACAATGTTTACATTTTGGATAAATTTTCGAAACGATTGAAGTTGGTGGGTCAAAACTATACATTTTCGCGATACAATTAAATAAAATTTAAACATAATTAATATAATTCATAATGTTTACATATAATAAGCACAATATATGATAATTAAACCGAAATGCATTTTCCTAAGAACACAAGGTTAGCAAAAACAAATTAGTTTGTTTAAACATTGTTAAATTAACCCCGAAAATGTACAATTTCTGATCTACAATATGAAAAATAATTTTTGCAATCTCATCGTGACGTCACTGTCACGTGAGCTAACTGATAAAAGATCACTTTTTCGCTCCTCTGTGTTCAGTTTTGATTCCGGTTTGGTGGCAGCAACATCCGAACTCCATTTTGGGTTAAAAGTAGTACGTGTTCGCAAATTTCTAATTTATTGTTAATAAATATTAGCGAAAATGTTTTATATTAAGTGCTGTGAACACGAAGAAAAGTGGATATTTTTCCAAAAATGCCCGATTTTTTTTTTGAAATTTGTTGTTAATAACATGCATTCAGCACTGATAAAGTACGGCTTTAGAATATACAAAGTACACAAAATACCGTATTCATCATTTTTAAAGTACGGCGTTCAAATTTACAAAATACGGTGTCCTTCACCCATGCTATCAAGCCCTAGTCCTCTCTTTTAATGGCAAGACGCACTCCAGACCTCCTCGTATTGTTTGGTTCTTGCTGGGCAACAGCAACGAGCGAGCACAGTCATCGATCTTTGGTGGCAAAGGTGGAGAAATTTGTATATTGTAACTTTTGTAATTGAAGCATTTTGTACTGTATATTGTATATGTTACTAACTTAACTTGGGTCTTGCCAATTTATCTCTACTGGTGCAAATGCTTTATTTTCACGGAGCATTTGCTTGGGTTTTAATTTTGCAACAGTGCATTCTTTGGTTCCGAGACTGAATTCTCCATGTCGTCAGACGCTCTGGCCTGGGGGGGTTCTGTTGGCCCATAGACGCTGGGTCATCATCCTAAAAGGATGAGGTCAGTCGGCCCTGTATCTATGCGGCTGCGTTCTTCCTTGGGCGTGTGAGCGCTGCGACCTATAGATTTCGTTCCGAGTTCCATTGGTGTGCTTGCTTGGGTATTCTTTTTGCAACAGTACATTCTTTGGTTCCGAGACTGAATTCTCCATGTCGTCAGACGCTTTGGTCTGGCGGGGTCTGTTGGCCCTTAGACGCTGGGTCGCATCATCCGATAAGGATGAGGTCAGTCGGCCTTGGATTTATGAGGCTGCGTTCTCCCTTGGGCGTGTGAGCACTGTGACCAATAGATTTCGTTCCGAGTTCCATCGGTGTGCTAGCAACGTTGTAAATTATCTTCAAGGTTACTATGAGATTCTTACAAAATTTATTCGTCGCCCTATATCGATTGGTAGATTTAAGGACAGTTTTGTTACTGTTATAGGGGTTGCCTATGAGCGCGATTGGGGCACAGTAGAGATAACACTCAGTTCGTCTCCAACAGTTTCAGTGAGAAGCAACAACCGTTCTGGGACCCTTATTTTTCACCATTTATATCAATGATATCACCAAAAATGTCAGTTCTAATGTCTTAATGCTCACCAAAAACGAATTTATTTCTTAATGTAGTGTTCAAAATTTCTGAATTAAGACGAGAATTAAAATTAATTATATCGGTTTGGATATAGAATTATTTAACGATATAAATTATTAAACGGTTATTTTTGCTAAAATAAATAAAAACCATAATGAATTTTTCATTATAAATCGCTTTTTTATTGACGCAAGCAATAAAAAATTAATTGAATAAGTTCGAAGGACCGAAGGACGACAACCATGTTCGCATTTAAATATGTATATTCTAACATCTATCTATTATAATTACAAAATTACCGATGCATTAATCAACTACGTCCTTTTCGGCCTTGTATCCAAAATAACTATTACAGAAGATCTGAATGATTGTTATATTGCTAAAATAGGCCTTGTTAATAATAAAATAATAGTAAATACATTAGAAACCACTTCTTAAGCCAACAGTAAAAAATTATTTTCCGTGTTAGTATTGTAAGACAATTCAAAGATTATTTTTTATATAAAAAGAAAAGTTAAATAATCGAAACATTGATTACCATTTACCGACATTTGGAAAAATGCATGTGATTAAAATTTTCTTTTATCGAAACGTAAACGACTATTTTTAGCCTTCAGCATAACCATATAGCCTAACTGGATGTCCTTCCATGATTTCATACCAACAGTTTGTACTTTGAAGTTCCTCAGTATCGTCGCAACCATTATTTTCACCTCTACCATACCAAATCTTAGACCTAAGACAAAGTTACCAAAAAATACCACTGCTGGTAAATACAGACCTATACAGTTTCTGGCACCAAAACTGAAAGGAATGTAGGAACAACGATGTCTTTTCGCAACTTCATCAGGGAGAAACCGATCTGGATCAAATTTTTCCGGCTCGGGCCACACCTCCGGATCTCTGTGCAGTAGCATCAGAGGAACGACAAGATTAGAGCTGACAGGGAAAACGTAAGGATCTGTAAACACGAAAAATGTATTCTTTGAATCCATCTTCTAAAATACATTACCGCATTTAATGTCTTCGTCGGCATATCGCAAAATGAAAGGAACTGTGGGAACTAGTCTCAAGGTTTCTTTAATAACGCGTTCTAAATAATCCAGACGATTGATCTCTTCCTGAGTTGGACTGTTCTCCATGTTTGGCAGAACTGAGACGAGTTCTTGATGTTTTTGCATAATTTACTTGAATGTCTGAGTAAATTCCTAAAAACGTTAAAATCGTGTTGATTGTGGCTGCTGCCGTTTCGCTTGACGCTATAAGCATCAAACACGTTTCATCCATAATTTCTTCATGGGTGATCTGCTTGGTTCGATTCAATTTAGTCAAATTTGTTAGAAATCGCTTACTTTGATAGTATCATCTGAAAATAGAACCAATAGGCTTTGATATTTTTTCTTTAAGTTGGATAAACTGATTTGATAATTTAGTTTTTTGTCTGTCAGTAGTCTGATTAACATTTGCTTTGAGCTGGATTCCCATTTTTTTACTTCATTTATTAGATCAGAATTATTAGACGCAATTTTTTAATGAAGCAAACAAATGTTTTAACTTTGTCAGCATAGATAATTTGTCATTGTGACAGATTCACAGATCATTGCGACATTATTTAAAAAGAAAATGCCTAAAATAGTTTTACTGCAACAAAAAATTGCAATAAATAGATTTTTTTGCAGTTTCGAAAAGACAGGCCCGATCTTTCGTTCGAAGAAGTAACTATGAGGGTCTCGAACATATTTTCTGTAATCTAAAAAATTCGCTGTAAAATATTTTTTAATTTTATTTCTCATAGGTGGGAACAACTGTGGCGAAAATTTTATCAACAGGGGACCAAAATTTAAAAACATCACTATCTGGCAAGCGAAAACCAACGAATTTATTTACAAATTATATATTTCGGAAAGACCTGCAACGACAAATTTGGCAACTTAATGAAAAAAACGAATATTTCACTGTAGATACTCTTTTGGCATATTCTTGCGAACAGTTGGAATTTAAAGGGGGGCGAACCACATTATACAAAATTCTTAAGTTAATGGGTTATAAACACGGGGAACTAAATGGTCGCAAAATTCTATGTGAACAACAACATCTCGTTGCAGCCAAAATGACTTTTTTGAGAACATATTTAGTTTCTAAATTCTTGCGAAAATTTGACTTTCGTGTATTTGGATGAAACATGGATCTATCAAAATGGTTCGTCCATTCGTCGCTGAGTGCACGATACTGATCTAAAAAGCACTAAAATTAAAAGTGAAGGATCAAGGTTTACTATTCTCCACGCGGATCGGCGAGAATGTTCATATTTCTGGCATATTTTTTAGCCTTTAATGCAATTAAACATATCCTAACAAAAAAAGTTCAGGGAATTTTTATTCTCTGCATCGAATGCCAACAAACTCACTAGATTTTCATGGCCAACCCTACTATATAAAGATCGTGAACGAATAATAACAATCCAGTTGTTCTCGTTTCTTCAAAATTTTATTGACTGACTGTTCAAAAGGAAACGTTTATATAACGGCAAATTTTAGGAAATAGTAAATGAGTAATGATTTTAAACACATACCATTTATGTCATCGGAATCATATTGTTTCTTTTCTTGTAAAAAAAACCTCTTTATGCTCCTTGTGTAAGTTGGATAATTTCCAAAAGAAATCTACGAGAAGCCAAAACGTATGAAATCTCTGTATAAGTATTTCTTCGAATCTAAAATCAAAATCAATAACAACTTTTATACAAAAAGAAATACTTACTTCACGGTAACTGCAATGAAACGTCGTCGTTCCTTTATCACTTGCGGGTTTACGGTAGTTAAAGTTGCTGTTAAAAGAATGGTGGTTAACAATATTACTTGCAATAATAAAAACAATTTCGTTTAAATGAGTAATAAGTGAAATAATTTAATTAATTTAGACCATTGCAAACTCGCTAATATTTTTTACCTAAAGCTGCATTAAGTGTTTTTTCCCAAATGACTGGAAGAAGATTAGTTTGTTCTACACCTTCTAAGTCACTCAAATACTTCACCATTTCAGTTGAATAACTAACAAATGTATCATGGAACGAATTCAAGATCTTCAAATTGAAAGAGGGATTGATCATTTTTCGATGTTCTTTCCAGATACTGACTACGAATTTTACAATTTGTCAGTGTTCGGCTATGAATTTTTGTTACCTTTTGATGTCAGTAGGCTGTGTTTCATTGCATCGTTAAAATTCTCATAGAAAGGTGACTTGTTTAGACAATTTGTTAAAATTTTGTCTACATCTGCCGGCCTCGTGGTAGCTATGTACAACTCTGAGCCTACCCATGTTTTTATAACCGGCCTATAGGAATCCAGATTTCGATAAACTACTTCAAAAAAACCTGAAAAATATTTTTGTGGTACAAACAAATTTTTGTCGCACGCACGGTTTTACGTGAGGAGTGCAACAAAATAAATTCCGACGTTTCTCAACCGGAAAAAGGAAATTTTCTTACTTACTGTCTTTTGTTGCAGACAACAGGTACGCACTTCCCACCAAGGGCACTGAGAACGGTCCAGGAATTTGCCAAGCATGATACAACAGCCACCGCTTCTTCCAAAGAATCGAAATGATAATAAAAATTACAGAAATAATGAAAATCCAGGTCATCATAGCAAAAGGAGTAAGCGGAGGACAGTTTTCAAATAATGCGAATTGCTACCAGCTTTTAAAATTATACCCCTGGACTAAACCGATTTAGTTTTTGTTCAAACGTCAATGACTAATTGCTGTTAGATAATACGAAGTTGATTATTACGCACTGGTGTTGACTTGCATTACAGAAAAACCTGTTACAAAATTAAGTTTTCAATAATAATAATAATATTGTTACGAGGAACGGGTATTTAAAATCGGCGTAGGTTAAACTCTACAATTTATTTCTTATTAGTAACTCAAATTCACACGATTATGTAGAAAAATATTTCTGGCGCAACTTGTCTGGATTTTCTAGACACTCGCTGGACTTGACTTGTTGACTGAATGATCCTCGTTCGGCTCCTGACTGTTGATGACACCACCATCGCCGCACCTACCAGAAAGCTCTCGACAACCCATAGGCGTCGTACCGGGGCGGCGTATGGGTTTATTTCGTAACAATATAATAAGATACAGGGTTTCTATAAATGATTATAGGGTCGCAGTAGGACATGTAAACGTGCCGCCTTTTCGATTTGAACTCTACTAAACGCCTCTCGGACTTTTAGAACGGACTTTTTTAAAGTGCTAAAATTGGCGCGCAGACGTCCCCCTTAGAGGAGGTTATTGTTGCTTTATTGATAAAAATTTTTAGAAAAAAAAGGTGACAACCATTTTCCGTGTTTGTATTGTAAGACAATTGAAAGATAATCCTTTTATATAAAAACATAGTTAAAAAACTACCGATACATTGATTAACCTTTACATTTGGAGAAATAGGTACATGTGATTAAAATTTTCTTTTTTCGAAACGTAGGCGACTATTTTTAGCTTTTAGCACAACGATATAGTCCCAGTGGATGTCCTTCCATGATTTCATACCAACAGTTTGTACTTTGAAGTTCCTCAGAATCGTCGCAACCATTACTTTTGCCAGCATCATTCCAAATTTTAGACCTAAGACAATAATACAAAAATACCACCGCTGACATATACAGACCTATACAGTTTCTGACACCATAACTGAAAGGAATGTAGGAAGAACGATGTCTTTTCGCAACTTCATCAAGGAGAAACCGATCTGACGTTTTTTACAGGTTTTAGGTTTTACAATGTTTTAGATAAGCACGTGTCGAGTGTGAAATATAGTAAACCTAGATTTCCCAAGTGGTATTCAGATGAATTGAAAGGCTACATTAAACTTAAGGAAAAGAAGTTTAATCAATACAAGTCAAATAACTTGAACAGAGAATCCTATAAACAATTTTGTGGTGTTCGACGCATTGTTAAACAATTAATTTCTAGAGATTTTAGAATCTATATTCGTAAGACTCAGAATTCATTAAGTAATGACCCAAAGTTCTTCTGGTCATACTCTGAGGTTCTACTTCAATCCCAGGCAAGCTTCATCTTAATGATGTATATTTTGAAAAACCAAAGGATATTGTTAATGCGTTTGCTCGTCACTTCAGTTCAACTTTTAGTTCGTCTACTCCTGATCAAGTTAACTACAATAACAGTTTATTTAGTGCCCACAATAATCTTAATGTCAACATAGTTATTGATGAATCAGAAATATTTAGAGCTATGAAAAAGCTTGAAGATTCTCGGACATCAGGACCTGATCAAATTCCTAATTTTGTAATTAGAGACTGCAGTTCTGTTTTTAGTAAACCGTTGGTATTCCTTTTCAAATTGATTTTAAAAACGTCTTGTTTTCCTGACATGTGGAAACTTTCTAAAGTTGTAGCAATCTTCAAAAAGGGCGACCCTGGGGATATCTGCAACTATAGACCCATATCATTACTTAGCAATTTTTCTAAGATTCTGGAATCAATTATCTCCAGACAACTGTTTTTTCAGCTGAAATGTTTATTGACACCTAGACAGCATGGTTTCTTTACTGCCAGATCAACTTTGACTAACTTGACTTGCATCTCTGAAGAGATAGTCAGCACATTTGAGAGCATGAGTCAACTGGATGTATTTCTTGGTTAAAACAACTAAAAAAAACACGATTATTGGGTGAAATAAAAATAAATAATAACGACACAAAAAATCCATCAAAATACAGACCTATCACATGTTTACCGACAATATATAAAATATTAACCTCATGCATTACACAAAAAATATATCAACACTGTTTTAACTCTGACATCATTAATGTAGAACAGAAAGGATGTATTAAAGGATCCTTTGGCTGCAAAAAGCAATTAATCATAGATTTCATCATCTGTGAACAAGCTAGAAAAGAAAACCGAAACATATATACTGCTTTTATTGATTATAAGAAAGCTTACGATTCTGTCCCTCATTCCTGGCTATGCAAAATTCTGGAATTATACAAGATTGATACTAAAATCTGCACTTTTCTCAAATGTTCCATGGAATTTTGGAAGACCACCCTCCAAATAACCTTAAATGAACAAACAATTCAGTCAGACCCAATAATGATCCGAAGAGGAATTTTTCAAGGCGATTCTCTTAGCC